GGCTTCGGCTTTCGACCTCAATCTCAACGCCATCGAATCCTCATCTCTCCAATCTGCAAGATCAGCCAGATCCAACCACAGCAATCCAATCACCATTGAACTCCCGGCTGTTCGGAAGTTCAAGTCAGGCGCTCCTCAAACACCACCGGAACCATTATCCGCACGTGGAGACGTTCCTGGGTACGTTACTAATTCATCTCGCCCCCCCCAATTTCAGTGACTCTTGTCAGCATATAAAACCATACTGGCATTTTTTATTAACCGATCAACATTAGTGGTTACTTCCCTCTTCACGAAGACTCAACCGCTCGAATTCATCGTCCTCACCCTTTCGCCGGAGCCAGGAAACCTCGACAGCAACGACTTGATCCCGCCATTGAGCCCCTTGTCCTACCTGCTGCAGCTGGTACCTCAAATCTGCCCGCCATGACCGAACCCACGACCTTGCTCGCCGGCAAGTCAAACGAGCCACGATCTAACCTGCCTGTCGCATCCTACTTGCCCAGCGGTGTTCGCGATACCACTTTGCCCATGGGCAAATATTATCCTTCCAACTACGAGATGCGCAACCACCCGCCCCATCCAACGACGTCTATGGAGCCGACACCGGTGCAGCCTCGGCCTGTCGGAGTTGCCGGGCTATCGTCGTCTGTCAAGTCCGAATCTCAAGTTCCTACCCTGTCCAACGAAAATTTCCAAACGAGTCGCCAAGATTCAGACGTCCGCAGGAAGCTCGCGCAGTACCAGCGAGACATGATTGCCCAAGCTAGGCTTGCCGCCACGGAGCTCCTGGGCAGCTCAGCCAAGACCACGACTACATCACAACCGACGACGGCAACGGCGACCGTCATGCTCAATGGCTTTCCCCTTGCCGGTATACGCCACTTTGCAGCCTCTGGTGGAGGCAAGCCGCTCTCGCCGAGACTTCTTCCTCTAGGCAGCCCTGGTCCTGTTACTCCAATGGACCTTGAAGGCGGGGAACTGGGATCCGTCGACCGTGGATGCGGCTCCTCTACTTTTGGTGATATCATGGGCCGGTCGGGGGCCTCATCCCCAGCGGTTGAAGCCGGTGCCGGTCGCTTTTTTTGACATCTCGTATTGGTGTAGCCTCGTGTCAAGAGAAAGATGAGTGACATCGGAACAAGCAAGGTATTGGGAGGACAGGATAGATGCACATGTGTGCGCGAACGACTTTCGGAGAGATCGACCTCAAACTTATGATACCCCCCCACCCCCACCCCCACCCTCCAATCATGAAAGCCATGGCCATGGCTCATGGTAACAACCCCTTACACGGAGTACTTCTTTTTAGCATTTTGCATTACGTTCGCTAGCATAGGGCGTCATCTGCCTAGGTTTTCTTTCAGTTGGGAGCATTAGCTAGCTTTTTCAATGATGATCACCATTGGTGACAGCATGATGTATCGAGCATCGCCATGACCGGTTGTGCCGTGTGACTAACTTGGCCTGGAGCATCATGGTGCACTACCATCTTGTACTCTATAGCCCCTTATCTCAGTTACCAATGTAACTAGCTGCCTTTGCTTCAATTTCTTCTGGTCCCTACGGTCACTAAGCTGCCCGACAGAAATTGGCAGGAAACTGCCCCTGCGCGCCGTTGAGCTCACCCGTCCACCAATCGTCCGTAGTTTGCGTCTTCTTGATAATGCGGATCCTGTCGCCCTCGCGGAAGGCCAGATCGCCTGGCTGGCCGCCGGGATAGTCGTGTTGCGCAATGACATACTCGACCGGCGCGGATTGAATACGCTTCGCAGGCGGCGGTGGCGGGGGTTTCTTCTTCTTGGCAAGGGACATAGCGGTGCTGCTGGCGCCTGAGGGCGTGCTGGCGGCGGACGACCCGAGTTGCGAGGCATGGCCAAAGTAGTCGCCACGCTCACGAGAGGCCGAGTACCCAGGGGAGGCACGGGCGCTGCCGGGTGTCTGGCCCATCGTGGCAGTGGTGAAATCGGTGGGGAGACCGAGGGCGGACGACTTCCTGCTCAGCTGGGGCGACTGGTCCGTCGACGGTGTCGTGGCGCGGCTGATGGGCGGCGCCTGGTGGATGGAGGTGTTGGAGGCGATGCGGGCCGGCCGTGGGAATTCGCCGCCGTCGGCGGGTTTGCCGCCGGGTTTGAAGCCGGAGGTCATGCGGCTGAAGCCGCTGCGCGTGGAGGTCACGGTGCCAGAGACCTTGCGTGCTTGAGGGTCTTCAATGACGTCCATGGGGCGGCCTACGGCGCTGCTGTGCACGAGCGTGTTGATCGATTCGACCTCGCGCTGAGCCGGCTGGAAGTTGGCGGACCACTCGGCGATGACGTCCTCCATCGCCGACGGCGGAGAATCGAAGCCATTGTTCTGGCAATAGTTGTGGAGGACCGTGTAATAGACGCCCAGCAGGCGATTCTCGACACTAACGAGAGAGGCTATGAGGTAGGGCAGGAGACTGAAGGTGGCAGCGACGAGAGGCGGCAGAACTTCCCGAATATGGTCGTCAGCGATTTGGAATTCCTACTCAGGAGGTTAGGACTTTCACCGAGAAGTCAACGGGCGTGTGATGCAGAGAGAGCGCATACCTCTCCAGTGATGGCCATGTCGCTTTCGACCTTGACGAGCGCTACGTCTTCCTTGGGCGTCCTATCCACCTTTTTCTGCAGCTTCTTGACTTTGTCTTGGGCCTTTTCGTAGTCGAGCCTCTTGTTCTCACGCTTCTTGATCGTCTTGCGTATTGGCTGGATGTAGTCGCGGGCATCGGCGGCCGGGCGGATAACTTGGGCTTCGATACCGGCGACCTCTTGCAGAAGCTCGTCCTTGAGTTCGGCATAGGCTTCACGCAGGGCAAAGGTTCGACTGAGCTGCAGCTCGGAGGTGGGCTCGCTGGGACGGCGCGGACCTTCCGTGGCGCCGGCAATGGGGTCGTAAAGGCCTTCAAACTCCTTCATCATGCCCCATTGCGTGTTGGCAATGTTCACCCAGGCATCTCGAAGCTGCTGCGTGCTCTCGACAATCTGGTAGACGACCAGGTTAGCTGTGCATCAACGGAGGTGTGAGGGGCAGAAAAGAGCAGAAAAGGGCAGAGCACGTGGGGGGTAGCGGTGGTTCACCTTGGCGAGCATTTTGTCGGCATCGTCGTAATCCTTGAGCATGATGGCTACTTTGGCATTGTCCCCCGGGCCTTTGCTCATCATCCTACCAAACTTTTTATTGATGCGCTCCATGGTGACTAAAATGTAGCTTGGCTTGCTGGCTCGTCAAGTTGTCGCGTTGGGCTCGTTGTTGTGGTTGAAATCCAGACAATAATGGAATGTCCGGAGGATTACGTATGTCTCCTGACAAGGTGCAAGGAGCTCGGGAAGCTCGCACCATGTCCTGAAAGTGACGGCAACCCGGGCGGAGAAAAGGGCCCAATGAGTCGCAGCAGTGCTACCAAGGATACTGGACCTGTTATACACGGCCTGGAGACGCGGCCAAGGTTCTTCTTTGGCTGCTGAGGGGTAAATGAGTGAGTTGCAGGACAGGACAGGCTTCGCCAGCGGGGGGACACATTGGCATTCGTATCGAGCTGGGACAGAGCCGATCATGCAACGCGCGGGCAGGCACGGTGGAGAGAGAGCGAGGGTACGCACGTTCGAGCTCGCATATGGTCATTCTGGGGGTCTTCAGCGAGCACACGTCTCTCGTCCGGATTCTTGACGCCGCGAATCGCCATCCTGCCCAGGTTACATGGTAGCACGACTTGCTCCTACCAGTGCTGAACCACCGCGTCCTCCGATGATCAGCGGAAACTCGCGTGCCTGTCATCTCATCATCCCAGACGCAAATGCCCCAAGAGCCCCAAAGGGTGTCTGCACCAGGAAGCGGGCCGCTATCCCCTCTTCGCCCCCACACTCTGTCCCCTGTCCATGCACAGGCTAGCTTCCACGCTGAGCCCCTCCAGGGGCACGCAGGTACCTGGGCACATTGACTGGGCGCCTTGCGATTTGCGGTTGACCAACGGCCAAGTGACTATAGGATCGAAAGGAGTATGTGTATCCAGGGTACGATCGTCTTGTCCGGATTTGAGGGACTGGGGGGGCCGCGGGCATCTAGGGGCGACGCCATGCTCAAGCACAAGTAGGCTGTCTCCAGGGTGACTAGATTCACTATTCACCACGTATTATCGCCAACTGCCTTGTGTCATACGTCCTTCCATCATGGACATACGTTCTGGGTGACCTGCTAGCATATCTACTATGACCAAGTCGTTCGTAGTGCCATGTACGCCTGCTCGGTGTTCATGTCTGTTCACAGTCATAATCTCCGTGCCGAACCGCACCTGAGTAGGCCCGCACCAGGGTAGCTTCACTGCATCGACCTTTGAAAGGACTTGCCAGCCCTTGTAGTTACTTGGTACACAGCAGACACTCTCGTGCAGCAGACTTGATGACGGAGCAGTTGACCTTACCTACCTTAGGTAGCCACGTTCGAGAGCCGGGGCACGTGTTCTCAGCATTTCGCCCTGAGACACCCAACCTAAGACACCTTGTCCTATTTGATTTGGTGGTGCATTGAAGACGCATTACGTACTATCGTACCTGCCAACCTATGTGCGCGAGTTGATGTCCCTTGTCAGGACCGCTTCCGGCGAGCCCAGAGGGGATTTGCACCTTATACTGCTACCTACTTCAAGGGGCACAATGTATTGTGCCGGACCAAAGGACCGACCGTGACGGCGAGACTGGGGGCCAATTACCAGTGATTTCTCAAGAATCAATGAGATCACGTGACCTGGCGTCGGTTCTTCTTTCTCCAAGTCGCGTCACCCCACCTATCCGACCGCGTCTCGTTTGCCCATGTCCTACACATACGGCCCAAGACGAAAGCGAGTCCAGCACCGGAACGACGTGTCACCCAAAACAAACCCCATTGCCGATACACAGGGTTCAACCAGATGAGACGGTCCTTGCAACTGCACGACAAGTGCCAAAAAACCACCTGTACCCGGTCATGAAAGCCATCCGACCATGGCGGCCTCCACCCCGCTTTCCCACGCCAACATGAACGTTATGAACAGCTCCCAGCCCAACAGCGAGACCGGCACTGCCACTGCTGCTCCAGTCCTCGACTATGCATGCCTATTCTCACACGACCTGAAGCGAAAACAAAAACGATGGCAGGATGGGCGACTCAAGTTCCACTGCTTCAACAAGAGGGTGATGGTCTATGATGAGCGTGGTAACTTTATTGGCGACACGCACTGGACGATGGATTACGACTTGGACGAGGGTGAAGAGTTTCAACTTGCGCGCGGATGCGTCGTAGTACAGGTCTCCGAGTGTCTGGGACGCAAAGAACAAGACCTGTCCGCATTGATCGACCAACGCTACAAGCACAAGGAGGAACGCAAGGCTCATGCTGACGCCGCTGCCGCTTCCAAACCGTACAGGCCTGCTCCTACGCCACACCGACCACCAATGCCCATCACCCAAACAATGACAACTATAGCAACCCCTCGTGGTAACCAGCTCGGCCGTGCCGTCCTCCCTACGTTATCACCCTTTGAGCAGCGGAACCTCCATGCTCAAGAGTCCGCCCAGCGGGATGAGCAGGCCAGACCTGCCAAAAGAAGAAAGCCAGAGGCATCACCCCCGAGCAAGAGCGGGTATGCCAGGAGTCTCTTCGGAGCGCCGCTCGCCTTGTCTTCTTTTACCTCAAGCGCCGCACACCCGTCTCAGACTGCTCCGTCACAGGCCTCAGACATCCGCGCCATTGGCAGAGAACCGTTACTGCCCCGTTCGCGACCCATGCCTAGTCTTCTGAAAGTGCAGCCAACTGCGTTTGCCGACACTCCTTCGAAAGCTCCCAAAACCACGGCTAGATCAAACCCCATTATCATAGCTGATGACACCCCCGAAACCGACTCAAATCACGACCACGTCGATTCTGCGGAGCCATCTGTCAGTCTCGCTGCCATCGCTGGGAAGTCGAAAGCCAGAGCAGGCCGGTCGAGCAATAAGCCGTCCCATCGAGACGAACACCTGGCAGAGGAAGATGGCCCCCCGAGCTCAGGCGAAATCATTGGTGCGCGAGCGGTTCCTCCACAGTTGGTAGCTGCAGCAAGCACGCTGCTTCAACCACGTACAGCGAAGCGAAAGACCCTTCTATCCGTGCCAAGGAAGCAGACAGGACAGCCGACTCGCAACCAGCTCGAAAGCTCAACAACGGCTAGGACTGACGATCAATTCTCTACTGCGGATGCGCTAGATCTAAACCCAAGAACGAGCCTTGTGGCAAGCACTAAACGGGCAAAAAAACGTGGTCTTCTGATAGCCGCGGAGAAGACAACAACCAGGAAGCGACGCAAAAATGTCGAAGATGGATCAGGCCGCGACGTGCCGAAATCTGCGCACTCTGTGCGCGCCGAAGAAGAGGAAGTCGTCTCTAAGGAGAAAAGACGCCGCAAAGTTTCGGCTGGCTTGATGTTCGATGACGACGATGTCATCAACGTTGACAGCGACTCTACGTGCCCATCACCAAAACTCTCTATCTCTAGTGCTCGACCTTGTGACTTTGTGGATGAGACCACCAATCAGGGCAATGTGTCTCTTACGGCGAGGAAGGTCGATTCCGTTCCACAGAAGAATGTTGAAGTCCCCGGGGGTCATGATGCTGAATCGAGCGAGGAAGACGTCGGTGTTCGTCATCGTCTCAGGGGTAAACGCGCAACCTGTCGCCTGGGAGAATCAGACTTGGACACACCTATCTCCGTGCCAGGTTCTCCTGTATCTTCTAGCCCTTCGACTCCCGTGGAAGCGCCCCCACCAAAACGGACGCAAGCTCCCACGAAGATCAATAGGCCTCATTTGGCTACCTTGCGGCGGAGCGTCAAGAGCAAAGAGATCATTGGGTTCTATGATAGTGCCAATAGTTCCCGAGAGGCAGCAGCTATCGCTCGCATGCGTGAATCCATGGCGTTCGCAAGCGACGAAGACGAACCTGCGGTCATCAAGCAAGGCCTGCAAACCGGAGCCAGAAGGAAAGAAGCTGGAGATGAGGGGTGTAATCAAGGGCAACTCCGGGCGAGGGAGGTACGGAAAGAACGGGAACAAGAAGATCGACAACGACAGCTGCGGGAGACGCAGGCTCAAGAGGAATCTGAGAGGAAGCAGAGGGAGATGGAGGCACGTGCGAAAGAGGCGCGTGAGGAAGCAGCTCGACAAAAGAGACGACAGGAGAAGATGGCTCTGGAAGAAGAGAAGCGCCGACAAGAAGCACGTGAGGAGGAGGCTCGGCAAGAGGAGCTGCGTCAACAACGAGTTCGCGAGCAGGAAATCCGCGAGAAGGAAGCTCGCGAGGAGCAAGCTCGCGAAGACGAAGCTCGGCGAGAAGCACTGCGCCAACAGCAGATCCGCGAACATGAAGCTCGTGAAAAACAAGCTCGTGAAGAAGAGCTGCGACGTCAGGAAGCCCGTGAGAGGGAAGCTCGAGAAGCCGAGAGGCGTCGTCTAGAAGCCCATGAGCAAGAGCTACGCAAGCGAAAGGCAAGAGAAAAAGAGCTACAGCAAGAGCTGATTCGTGAAAGACAGGCTCGCGAACGTGAGGCCAAGGAGAGGAGAGCCAGAGAGGAGGAGGAGCAACGACAGCAAGAGCTCCGACAGGAACAGATCCGCGAAAAGGAGGCTCAAGAACAAGAGGCCAAACAGAAGGAAGAGCGAGAAAGAGAGGCTCTGGCAAGAGAAGTCCGCGAACGGGAGGCGAGGGAAGCAGAAGATCGTGAACGGAAAGCACGAGAAAGGGAGGCGCGTCTGGAAGCTCGAGAGAAGGAAGCTCTGGAACGGGAGGCTCGCTTAGAAGCTCGGGAAAAGGAGAGTCAGCTCAAAGAGGCTCGAGAGAAGGAGGCTCGAGCGAAGCAAGCTGATGCCGAGAAAACGCGTCCAAAGGACGTCAGAGAGAAGGCAAGGCTTCCTAAGTTTGTCCCTCCCACTAGGCCTAGTAAACTTGGGGGCGCTGTCCGAGCCAGCCTTTCTCGTGCCATACCTCAGGCTGCTGGCGTTAGAGCCTCTACAGCGGCGCGAGAGTCCACGAATCTGGATGCCACCACGAGGAACCGGGCGGCCGAGGAGCCAACTGGCCCTTCGTCTGCCACTTTGCCTGTCTTCACGCGAGCGAACGGGGGTCCATGGAGCATACAAGCACACGATCTGCTAGGAATTGGGCGGCCTTCATGAGTTTGCCGGCTATCGAGTACAAAGAAGTTAGAGGAGAAAACCATCGGGCTCCCCAGAATACTGGTGCATTAATCGGAGAGGCGTTTAAAGCTGGCGAATGGATGAACTCTATTCGTAGGTGGTATATTGCATTCCAGAAGATCTAGATCTTCATATGTTCTGCTACTTAGTTGCACGCGGTTATAGACGTAGAGAGGCGTGCGCCGCGTCCAGTAAGGCACAGATACCTTTGGGATGAGATGAATTGCATGATCTCTCCTGTAGACCTTAGTAGCATCATGCACTCGTATGGATATCGCGGCGTCGTGCTGGAGAAGTGAGCTTTTGCCGGACTGCCACAGTGGCTTCAAGAGGTGGGGCTGACTCATGGATGTCGTATCCGTGCTTTCCGCCTTGCAGTGTGCCTTTGTCCTCGGATCTCACAACAGTGATCGACCCTCACTAAATTCTGACCTTCCATTAGGCAGGTACTTTCAGCATGTACCTCCACCCACGTCGCCAGCCCGCCAAGCACGGGGTGCACCTTTACTGGGCGGGTGGGACCGCGGGAGCTGACCCTTTAAGTCGAGCTACCTCGTCTGTAGGTGTACATATATGTTCAGCAGAGCGGCTTCGTATTCTTGATAGCAGCGGTTCAATTTTGGAGTCTCCAATGGGGACCGGTGCTGCCTAGACCTTGCGTAGTACCTTCTGATGACAGGCTACCCATACTCGTACCCCCCTCTCTGTATCGGCACCTGCAGATAGACCGAATGCTCAATGCAGCAATGAGGATCCGAGGCTTGCGTTGACTCACATGTGATCACGTGACTCTGACTCCCGCGCCATTGGCCAATCAGCCTCATGCGTCCTCGCCGACAGAGCCTGCAGCATCCGTGCAGGAGTGGGCTGAACTGGCCAATAAAGGCTCCATTCTAGCCCCTCTTCGAGTCTATGTATCGATATGGTTGGCTGATAGAAGGAGGGTCCGCGTCTGGGCGCTATTCCCCTTTCAGCTCGCCGACGGTCTCATCCCAAACCACCCACTGCGCCTTCCTGGATCACGGAGGGTGCGCCTGTCCGATGGCTCACTGAAATACCCTTCGTGACTCCCGTCGGGCAACATCTAGACTACCCTCCTTCTCCTCCCGTTCACCATATCCTCGCCACCGAATCTTCCTGATCACATCAGGCCACGAATAGCTCGACCCACCAAGCTAGCGATAGCTTCGAGTTCCAGATCAGTATCTGTCGGACTGCACTCCTGGCCCACGGCCGCTTACTCCGTGCCCCCCTCTACCGTGACTTGCATGTCAAGTACCGACACCAGAATATATTCATTAAACCCTTACATCCATCGTCCACGACAACTGCCATTACACCAAGGTGAGTTACTGGGCTTGCAGCTTGCCACTCGGATCGTGCATCAGCTCATCTCGGCCCAGGTTCTCTGACCTCTGACGTCGAATCCACCTCAAGAACCACCAGTCTGGCTATCTCTCACGCCAGCTTTAGACCTTACCAAAACTCCGTCTTGAGGATACAACGCCACTCCAGACCTGCCGTCAACTTCAACTCTACCACAATGACAGCCATGCTTCGGAACGACTCCGTGCAGGGCTTCTCGGTCTCGCAGCCCAACCTGGGCGCTGCCCTGCAGTTCATTCCTGCTATGGGCAGCCAGCTGCTGGACCAGCTAATCCATGCCTACATTCCCGGGGATGCTTCCATCCAGGACAAGCGCTCATTCGTTTCCATGGACTTCTTCGAGTACTCTCGCTTGACCGGCGAGACCTTCAGGTACTACCCAGTAGCAGCACGTAACACGGCAACCTCGTCTGCCAGTTCAAGCCCCGCCCAGGATTCCGGATACGCATCCCAGTTTGTGTCTCCCGTGATTTCGGACGGTAGCTTCTCGACGCCTGCCTCTGTCGACATCGCGACCCCTGCTTCCTTCTTCCAAGATACTGCTGCCCAGCAGGCCGCCAAGAAGGCCCCAAAGAAGGCCGTCGCCTCCTCATCTCGGTCGCCCGCTAATGACTTCTCACACATCCCCGGAATGAAGATCATGACCCGTGATGGTCTGGACATCACAAACTCGGCCTCTCGCGGCTGCAAGACCAAGGAGCAGCGCGACCACGCACATTTGATGAGAATCATCAAGGCGTGCGACGCCTGCAAGAAGAAGAAGATCCGATGCGACCCTAGCCACAAGAAGCGCACGACGACACAGGCACAGGCTCCGGCACCCTCTCAATCCCAATCACGACCGAAGCCTTCCAAGAAGCTCAAGCAAGCCGCAAACGAACCACCGCTTGCCGCGCCACAAGATTTAGGCATATTCGATGCGTCTTCCTTCAGCATGGATGACGCTTTTGCCGACTTTGAGCTTCCCGCGACCACAATCGAGTACCAAGAGTCTTGGGAGTCATTCGTTCACTACGATGATGAGCCCATGTATGGTGTCCCTGTTGACTACGACTTCTTCTTCGACCCTGCCGGTCACTTCTCGCCCGGTTCGAACAGCTCTGTATCCTCCTCTCAGCCAGCCGTCACTGCCCAGTCTCAGCCAGTCTCTCGACCACCAACCACGCCACCGTCTCTCCCATACATGGGTGCTGGCAGCTCTGGTTCCAACTACGTCGACTTTGATCTGTTCTCGCCTGCTGCTAGCTTTATTGACGACGAGTCTCTGCCTGTCAACGACATTGCCAACTTCCACGGGGAACGTAGGAGCGACAACGTGGCTTCCAATGCCCGCCCGTCCTCGTCGAACCCTACAGCGAGCGCTAGCTTGATTGGCTCTCTGCCCGGATACCTCGAGATTCAAGAATGGCCCGAGCCGGGCCTACCTTGGTACAACTCTGGTGCGGAGACGTTGGGTGTAGGAAGGCAGATGCAGACACAGAACACACCGCTGGTGTCATCTGATGAGAGCCAAGCGTCCGGTGCACCATCTGCAGCATCTCCACAGCTCCCCGATACTCAAGTGGTATGTCAATACCTGTCCCAAATCATGCCGATGCCACTAACAAGTTGTCAGGATGAACCTCTTACAGATGCGCCAAGGACAGTATCGTCCGCAACTCGTCAAAACAGCTCGTCCACCGGTCGTGGCAGGCTAGACTTTGTGTCTCGACCTCGTTCCCGCGGTGCGACTGGTGAGGCCATGTGCGATATCGCGGCGGCCAGTTCAGCACCACTATCAAGCTTACGCCCTTCGGTTGCTGGTACTTCCGAGATTACTACTGTTTCGGATGCGTCATCCTCGACAACGGTCGCTGCACGACTAAGGACTGGTGCGTCAATGCAGAGGTCACAGATGTCGTCGTCAGCCAGCCTCGCAATTTCGCCCCATGCCCTTGATGTACGCAGCAGCGGCGTGCCTAGGACTTCCGTCGCCGTGTCATCTGCAGGCGAGACTATGTCAAGCCTTCTGCCCACACCCCATGCGATTAGCATGGTGGTGGCATGCGGCGTTCTTGGTTGCGTACCCCTATCTAGGGCGGTATGCCTCCTTTCCTTTGTGCTTGGGCTTGTCGCCCTGGGGTCGATCTACTGCCCCCAGACCGCATGGTCAGGTACGGATCAGAGAATCCACAAAACCACTCCCTTATCCAGGAGTCAAGACAACAAGCAGAGCTTCCTCTCTCGACGATGCGAGAGCTGGAGGTTCACAGCACATAACGAGTGTCGCCATATGGACACGTTCTATCCCACGATGGGGCGCCTGGCGACTTCTAGGTTGCTGGCGCTCACTCGGTAAAAGATGGGCCACCTCGTTCTTGTTGTCTATTGACTTGGATGCGGCATACCCGTTCCTCCGCGGCGTCGTTACTCGATGATGCCGCTTGCTGACGGGGGTGCTGCGCCGTGTAGCTGTACACTTTAGCGTGTGTACTGTTGTCGGTTGTTTGGGAGCATATTTGGTTTTTCGAGATACCCCTCTGTTCTTCATTTTGGTCCACGTTTCTGCCTTGGTGGTGGTTTTGCCGGGACCGGCATATGGGTCAGTCAGTGTGAAGGGTTTTGGACGGGCTTGGGGAGGTGAGGTAGCTGGGATGTGTGCGCTTATTGCCCCAAGGTCTGTCGATAATCTACTGATTTGGCTGAAATTTGGGCCTTGCGTGATCGTGACTGTGTCTCTGTCCGCACTTCAGACTGAAGTATCTCACTCGAGCAGGCGTCCATAATCCACTGCCCATTGCTTAATTGATGGCCCACTCAACATGTCGTGATAAGCAGACTGGACGAGCGTCTCTAGCCAACGTGCATTCCCGTTCTCCGCCCACATGGCAACACTGCAGGGTACAGGTAATAGAAAGTTTGGCTCAGTATTCAATACTTCATAAAGGCTCTGAATGCAATGGTGAAGTAACGACGGCTGTCAGTTCTCAGGCACCAACATCGAGATACATCGCTCGGTATCACGTGATCACGTGTTTGCGCTCCACTTCGGTGGACGTTGAAGTTCTGAAAATATTCTCCGTCAAAGACAACAGCAAACGAAACTCAAGTCACTCTCCGTGTGCAATTGTCCAGTCATTCTTCTCAGGCGTTCAAAGTGGTTGAGTGGTAAAGTCCCGTCCCTGAGCCTTGTTCTGGTATGGTACTGATGTGAAGGGGTTTTCAGCACTTGGCCTTGTCATTATGCAACATTGAGGCCCGTGGCTGACTGGTGGCACAACACACCTTGTTCCTCATTATTCTCTTATTCTCTTGTTCTTGAGGGAGAGAAGGCTGTGAGACCGTTGGATTAGAGGTGAATCGGATTGAGAGACGTGTTGGAAGTCGATTCTCTCTTTGGACGACGCTCAACTGCAGAGCCGGTTGGGAGGATCATTCGCACTGAAGTGTCCTTGGCTGGCGAAACGTTGCTGGTCAACCTCAATTGCTGATACCGTGGAAAGAGAGAAAATCTTGAGAGGAAGGTACTACTCACTAAGCGCAACTTCTACAATGGTGAATCAGGCCCCGGTTCCTGCCTCGGGGCAGTCATTGTCCCGGGCAGTGGCAACAACACCACCAACAACTGCTGCTTCATCTTCCAATGCACAACAAGAATCAGCCTCAACGCCTGAGGGGAACCGTCGATTTTCATCTACGGGTCGATTTCTGAATCGCTTCTTTCGCCGCCTTATCCCCCGCTCTCCATCTTCTGTGTCTTCGTCTCAGTACAGCGAATCCGAGGACACCACCACAACAGCTTCTGCGCAATCAGAAGATAACAGACCAGACACGAAACCGGACGTCGAAAGTAACGCCTCGGAGTCAGTCTCCCCAACAAACAACATGTCGATCCATGCCAACCAAGAGAATCGACCGCCTGCGTCTAGCGGCCTCGATGGCTCGATGGCTCGCCTGTCGCTGGACGATGCGTTGCCCGGGAAAGCAGGCTTAGCTTCCTCCGCTGGCCCCTCACAGCAGGAAACTGACACGGATAGTGAAAAGGCAACTCACCACGGCTTCATGGACCAAGCCCTGGATATGGTATGCGTGGCGCTCTTGAGGCTCTCGAGGGAAAGGAAGCTGACCGACTCTCCCAGGCTCGCCTTGCGCTCCGCACCAACGAGACGCCCGTCGGCTGCGTCATCGTTCACAACAACAAAGTCATCGCCAAGGGCATGAACGCAACAAATGTCACGCGCAATGGTACTCGTCATGCCGAGTTCATGGCCGTCTCGGCCCTCCTTTCCTACCGTCCCGTGGGCGTGACATCGGATGACGCAGCTGCCGAACCTCGACATGTCCCGACCGAGATGTCCGCTGCCGAGCGCGAGCAGCGAGACCGCGAGAAGGATGCCGAGCTTGGTCCTGACCCCAGCCTGAAGGACACTTCATATGTGAAGAATGGCCATCTCTATCCGTATGGCCAGAAGCAACATCCCGACCCTCGCGTGCCACGCTCCATCATTCGCGAGTCAGTGCTATACGTAACTGTCGAGCCGTGCGTCATGTGCGCCGGGCTGCTCAGACAGCTAGGAATTCGCAAAGTCTACTTTGGCGCTGTGAACGACAAGTTCGGTGGTGCTGGCGGCGTCTTCAGTATTCACTTGAACTCTATTAGGCCACAGGACAGACCATACATTAAGGAACTGCCCTCAGAATCAGACAATAACGACAGCGGCACAACAGCCCCTTCACGACCCGTGTCAGCTCAGTCAGCTCAGTCGACGCATTTAGCTCCCAAGCCACAGAACGGACAATACCATATGCCACAGTCCAACCCGGATGGCGATGGCGGAAATGTTGAGCGCGGTTTCGAGATCGAAGGCGGATGGGGACGCGAGGAGGCCGTGGGCCTACTGCGGCGCTTCTACGTCCAGGAAAACGGTCGAGGTAAGGCGACCAACTAAGTTGTTGACAAACGGAATCTGACTTTTCTCCAGCTCCCCAACCACGGAAGAAGGAAGGTCGCGCTGCTCGCCTCGCGGCGATGGAAGCCGGCAACTCTCAAGACACCCAAGGTGTAGTCACGGGCGGTACGCCTGAGGAAGTCGGCGCCGCTGAAACGGTCGATGAGAAGGAGCTGGCAACTAATGCTGAAAACCCGCTGCAGACGCCCACGTTGGAAACTGTGCCAGGCCCGCTTGGCAGTAGCGACAAAATTGATTGAAGAGGCTGCGGCTGGCAAAAAGCGAGGGTACTGCGTGGACACAAGACACGACATGAAGGCACTTATAGTGGCGGGCGAGACACGTATACACCAATGGGAGTGCCCCGGATCGACACAAGGTCAGACAGCGGCTGAAAGGTTGTGACCCAGACATCATGGCCCGGGCCGGAAGCATGTGCTTGTGTAGAGTACTACTGTCTCCCCAGACGTGTATGTGTTTCGAGGTGACGGGGGTTTGGGAGAGAGTCTCGGTTCAGCTTGCTTCCGGACTTTGGTGAAGAGCGGGATGGCAAATCAGAGACATGGCTTGCCTGTGATGTCAATGGCTTCTCAGCAGCCCCCAGAAATTCACTCATAGCAAATCACAGTCTGAAGTGGCGTCTCGATCAAAGGGGGGTATTGATTTCACTAGGCTAGTATCGACAGGCAAGAGTTGAGAAGAGACACTACGCGACCGCAGCCATGGTATTTTCTGGAGAATTGCCTTGTGCAAAGATCATATCGGTATCATAAACCTCATAACGCCGCCTACTCCCTCGTCGTCCAAGAGAGCGCATATCCAATGTGTTCGTTCTGTTCATTCGTTGAAAGTCATAGTCGAGTTGAATGTACCACACATGTCGGTATGTGGGGTACGAAAATGCAAGAAAGACAAGAGCGGCAGATCGGGAAAGTTTGGAACAGAACCACAGACACACATAGTCTAGGGACTCTATCGTTTCTTCCTTGCGTCGTGCACGTGCTGCTGCGCATGCGTCGTGGCAGGCTGGACGACAAAGTTCCTGATGCCCGCCTCGGCCGCCTGTTTCATGGCCTGGTGGCGCATGCCGCCCTTTTTGACCGGGGAGCGCTTGGAGCCGACGAAGCCGTCGACGAGGCCGGCGCCAAGGGCAGCAGTGGCGACGCGAACGCCCTTCTCGCCCATCCACGGGGAGGGGTCGTCACGAAGCTTGTAGGCAGCCTGAGCGCCGGCCTGGATGGCCATGCGGGTGGCGGCGCCTATGGCGGCGTAGCCGGCGGCCTTTCTCGCTTTGGAGCGGCCGCCTGCTACGGGCTCGGGGCTTGTGGGCTTGCTTGGAACAGAGCGGGAACGAGGCGGGGCATGAGAGGGAGCCTCATGGTAAGGATCATGGTCGGGCCCACGAGACATGTTGCGAGCACGACCACGGGTCGGATAGTGCGAGTCGGGCTCCGCGCGGCGTTCGTGATGCTGTGGTGGAGGAGGGATGGGCTGAGTGCGCGCTCTTGTTGGGCGGCGAAAGTCATCCTCGCCAGCATCATCGGGATGGCTGGGGCCATAGGCCGGATAACGAGAGTGGCGGGTGTCAGCGGCGCGTGGGGGGTATTTCTGACGTTCGCGGCTGGCGGCTGGGCCGTACCCTTGATCCAGAGACCCTGCTCTGGCTCTGGTATTCCTCCTGTATGCGTCATCGTCTCGATCATATGCTGGGCGGCTGTGGGTGGCTCGGTGCCGATATGCCTCAGGAGACTCTGATCTTGGCGCGTGTGAGGATCGTGGTGCTTCGCTACGGCCGCGCCTGGACTTTGGGGCGGGCTCGGGAGAGTTGTTGAAGCCACCGCGACTAGGCCTCATCTCGGAGGCGCCGCGGACAGGCCGTACATCGTGTTGGTGGCGTTCCAAAGGAACATCTCTGGAGTTGCGTTGCGTTGAGCCAGAAGGATAGTCTCGAGAGAACCTATCATCGTGATAACTGGGTTCTTGTCGGCGTTGCCTCTCGGCGTAACGTGGCGGCGGATAAGGATCATAGGGGTCGGCAACGCGTCGCGGTGGCTCGTCGTAAGGGGGATAGCCGGCATCGACTTCTCTTGCCGGATACCTTTGATGGCGTGCCATGTGAGTTGGATTATGATATTCCAGGAAGACAAGAGAACCAAGCGCAGTGCAATGAAGCTTAGCAAAAGGGTAAAGATGCAGTGCACATAGAGTCACGATGTCCAACTGTGGGCAGCCAAGGGGAATATATAGTAAATGCAAGGGGGGGCGGCGGCGATTGAAGAAATGCAGTGTCGCCCAGGGTCGCCTGAGGAAAAGCGTCACAAGGCGTCGATCTCTTGACCTCTTGACAGGATTGCGGGGGAAAGGGGCTGAGGGAGGACTCCCAACAAGCATCAACCAACACCCATGGCAGAAGCAGCAGCGGCCGGACCTACCTCAACGGGCCACGATGCCAGCCCGGATTGGCGCGATGCAGCAGCGGAGAGAGAATGAAAAGCAGGCTTGGCAGGTTGGGCGTTCTACGTCGACAATGATTGATGGGCTCGAACGAGAAAAGGTGGGCTGCAGAGTAAAACGCAGGGTCCTCAAGCTTGACGTCATGCTTCCCCTCCGGGGCCAAGCGACCAAACATCAAATCCCAATCGAAGCGCGTCCAGCCAGTCCGACATGGACCGCATGAGGACATCTTGCAGGAGAGCGTCGTGCAGACCGCCATTCAGCGAGGGCCTGGGCTGAAGCTTGGGTCCTCTCTCCGCTCACTTGTGTGATGCACTAGTTGCATGAGCTCCCACGCTCTCCCACGATCATGAAGGGCGAGTCTCGTGGGGATGCTTCACGCGGCTGTGAGTGATCGCCTACGCTGCACATCGCCGCGGGATTAAATAGTGGAACCTAACCCCTCGAGTCGTTGGGACCTTCGCGCCTTTTTCTCGCGTCGTATCGTCTCGAGGATCCGTGTGCTGGCCGCTGTCCTCCATTGTCGCGTGATCCTCCCTAGCGCTCGGGATCCCCTGACGTCAAACTGTCACCCACGTAGGAGCGCCGGCAGTCGTTCCAGTAGTCGGCTCCGGAGCGTGAGCCGCGCTCACCGCTGGAGTGAACATCATCGCTATAGCCCCTATGCGTTGGCGTCGGGACTCGGACAGCCGGGCTGACGACAGGCCATCGACCACGGCCAAAGGGCCACAAAAAACGACGAGACACAGTGCTATTGCCACCCGGTTGGAGCAAGATGTCGATGGCCAACCATGATGAGGATGCTGTGATGCCGTGTCACGACTACAACCAAGCCAATGGGCTCGCTCAGTCGTCAACATCGGACCTCACGGGCCAGCCAGAACCCCGAGCACAATTTCTTCGTGTGTCAGTCGGTCAGAATACAGCATAGCCAGTAGTACAAACTTCCTGGTGCTGCTTGCGGCGTCGTCATCATCCGTGTGCGTGAGCAAAGTCAGGACGGGGCACCCACTCGGCGTCCACGATGCCTCAGCAAACGAGATGAGGCTCAAGGGCGTCATCGTGCCGCTAAACAGACATTCGACGGCCACTGCTAGCCCTCGTCGAGCGCGGGCAGTGAGGCATAGTCGGCGCCATGTCTTCTGTGGGCTCCCAGCACGTTGAATTATATTGTGTGTCGTGTGCTCCAACCATTGTTCACTTCATTGCCGACACTGACGAGACTGGCACAGGCTGGTCTCGTTGACTGGCTTGGGTAATTACAAAGGTGATCTCAGGGGTGATGTCCAGCGTTCAGGTGTGTGAGCCGCGTGTTATTGAGTTTGACTGCCAGTGCACGGCGTGCTGTCGTGGAACCTTGGCATGCCTCAGCATACGTCTGGGTCATGTCCGGGCGAGGGGATACTGGAAGGCTCTTCTTGGGGAGTTCTCCGTCGGCTCGGCGGCTAATGACCGACAGAAAGGTAGACGACAGCTTTGGGGTCAGTAGCTGGGACGAGCTGGACGACCTCTCAGCTCTCACCAAGCCGTGAAAGATGATGGACCTAGGTCGATGTCCCAACACTCCGGCGGCGGGATATGCGATGTAGCCTGTCGCAACGTGCCTTGTTCGAGCGCGGAAGGAAATTAATAGTGTAGGACCACCAGGGCCTTGGGCTCGCCCTCCACTGTCATTGAGTAGCAGACCCAGGACGCCTGGCAACACAAGTACGACCGCGATGGTCACAGATGCAGCCTCTCTTGCACGTCCTGCCTTCTGTATCTGACCTGTGTTGGTAATAGCGACGGGCTGCTGGTGAGTGTTCTGTGGAGGAAGGTGATACGCCGAGTTGGGTACCGAGGCTGAAAGAGGATCCTTCAACCGGCCGGAGGTTCGTTGGTAGATTGATACGTGAAATGCTAGAGAGGACTGGCGTGGGTGGACTCTTTCGGGACTTGGGGGTTCTTGAGCGGGTCTCGGCGAGATAGGCGTGGCATAGATAGGACGGCGCCGGTGGCGCACTGGCTAGCCTCCCGAAGGTGCGCGCTAGGTGCCTCTGATGTTGATACCCGCCTCGGGACGTGGGTGATGGTTGGTACGATTAGGGAAATGTGTGGTGGACGATGGGACAAGATCGAATGGCTTCAACGGAGGAAGAGTGCGCACATGCCTGATGGCTGTTCAGCCCAAGGCACCTAAAAGTAGTGCAGGCGGTGATGGCCGATGGCCTCTGTCGCTGCTTCCTCGTCGTGCGATAGCACCTTCTCCAACACTCACATGTACTTGCCGCCGTGGTCATGCCTGCTATGGTACCTACAGCGAAACTTTGGCCAGCAGGACGGCCTCAGACGAGGACTTGCCCACCGGCCACCCCCGCCACTGGCTGTCTTGGTTCTGTTACCCAGACCTTCGCGTACTCCCGATGACCATGCCACCATCATGTTCATCCCATCTATGCAGCTCTCAGTATCCCGATCCCATTGGCATACCAACCTGGCCTGACCTCCCATCGCATGCGTCTTCGGCCGGACGGGATTGGAACAATACAAACAGGTAAGGCAAATTGGCGTTGTTCTCAATCAGAGACGGAAATGCCTGCCGCGCTTCGACTGCAGTCAGCTCCGGGGTGGCCATTGCACGGCGTTGGCATCCTCATCTGGCTGATCCGCGATTCAGAAGCTTCAACGGCACAGCATCCAGTTACCAGACTGGGCAGCCATCTCCGCGTCCAATGCCTCGCCGACCGCCGGCCTTTTTCTGCAACCCCACCCCACATCTCAGATACGCACAACCCGTATCTGCGACCTACCTACCACCCGGCAACCCGCGATACAATCCCCTCCCCCAGTATGCAGCTAGCTGGCTGGCTGGCTGGCTGGCTGCACGGGAGCTTCAGCATGTCAAGACACACAGCCATGACAGGACCCTTGCTATTCATCTGGTGGTGGCGACCACCAACCTATGCCATGTGGTAGGCCCATCGACGGCTTCACCCCGCCCTAGCGGCAGTCTCATTCTGCAGTGCAAAGTCGCCTAGGCTAAAGTTTTGAGACGCCACGCTTCGGCAGAAAACCTCCTGCTCTTCTCGCAGCCCTCCTCGTCGCCCGTTGGAGAGTGGCCATGATGTCTGTCGCCCCCCTCCCCCCTTCAACACTCGCATAGCACGACGCGACACGATAAGTTCACGACAGCAGGCCGGAGAAGCAGCACAACCTCGGATCGTACGTCGTCGACTACTCAGTTGCGCTCTCTACCGCAGGGACAGGCAAATCAGGGCCCAGCCCACCCAAGCCCACTCAGGGGACGGCAGGGACTGGCAAGGATGATGCGATATCGCCTGTCCTCCCCATCAACGTTTCCTTGGCCTTCCGCCTTCTCGGTGCCCCTGGTTGCCAGTTCGTGAGCAGCAGCAGCGACACATGCTACATGCGACATGCAGGCATCGACAGGGCTCCCCATCCATGAATGGATTACTCGTGCCAATCCCCAAGTCCGAAAGGCCATTCCCGCCCTAGTCCTGCATCGCCAAAACCCACCCGCCCACCTTCCCAAGGCCCCAAGCTACGGATCTAGCTAATGATCACTCATTTACACCAATAGTAGGTCGAGCCTGTAAAGATAACGCCCCTTGTCAGATGTTGTCCCTAAGAGCCCTGACACAACCTTTTCGCCGCCGTGCCTCCCCATCGCGTTTGTGCTGCTCCTGTCGCATTGAAATATCACCAGGTTGGTCCCCTCCTCCTGATCGCGACTTTCTTAATCTGACCGCCCGTAGCTGACGTTTGCACTGTCGACACTGCTCTCAGTTTGCCTGCCACAGTTAGTGTGCGCCTTAATTGTCTGCACTCCTCTGCCTCAACTTTTGACGCCCCTTCCTCCATTGCCGCGACCCCGTTACGCCATCCCAAGGGACCCATCATTGGCAAGATCTAGCCTAGCGACTTGGAGAATTTTTTTTTTCCTCCTGAGGCTTCGCTATCCCCAATTTTCGGCTTTTGACGCACTACTAGAGGGAGCCGCTTTCGCCTTGCCAGCGACACACCCCTGCCTCTTTGACCTTCATCTCCTTCGTTCATTCATCCGGCCATCGGCTTCGATTCAAACTCTGCCAATATGGCGTGGACCGACACAATCAACAACAAGGTCGCGCGCAGCCGCGCTGGTCGCTGGTTTAAGCTTGATGGCTGCGGTCATGTAAGTCGTATTGGAACCCTCCGGATGGGCTGAGACTGCCCACCGAGACTGGGACTGATCATGAGATGCGCAATCATAGCCGAGGGAGCGAAAGGGCTCCAAGTTCTTGACCGAACTACGTGCTGGCCTCGTCACCTTCTTCGCCATGGCCTACATTCTCGCCGTCAACTCGTCTATTGTCTCGGACTCGGGCGGCACCTGTGTCTGCAACAGCACACCCGACGACCCCATCTGTGTTGAGAACACCGAGTACCTCCTGTGCAAGACGGAGATTAGGCGGGACCTTGTCACCGCCACCGCTGCCATCTCTGCTCTGAGCACCTTCTGTCTGGGCCTTTTTGCCAACATGTAAGTCTCTCGATGCGCCAACCCCAAATGCCATGGAGGAGTCCCTCACTCACACCCGAGAAAGGCCTGTTGGTATTAGCTGCGGCATGGGTCTCAACGCCTACCTTGCCTACGACGTTGTTGGCTTCAACGGAACTGGTCGTGTGCCTTACGAAGTCGCTATGACAGCCATCTTCATCGAGGGCTTCATCTTCTTCGCTCTCGCCGTCCTCGGCCTCCGCCAGTGGCTCGCCCGTGCTATTCCCAGATCCATCAAGCTTGCCACTGGTGTCGGTATTGGTCTCTTCCTGACACTCATCGGTCTGACCTACGGCGAGGGCATCGGTCTCATCACCGGCTCCACTGCTACACCCGTTGCGCTCGCTGGCTGCCCGCCGTCGACGCGCCTGGAGGATGGCACTTGCCCTTCGTCTCACAAGATGCGTAACCCCACAATGTGGGTTGGAATCTTCTGCGGTGGTTTCCTTACCGTCTTCCTCCAGATGTTCCGCGTCAAGGGTGCCATCCTGATTGGCATCTTGCTTGTCAGTATCATCTCGTGGCCTCGCGGCACCCCGGTCACCAACTTCCCTTACACCGAGCTTGGCGACAGCAACTTTGAGTTCTTCAAGAAGGTCGTCGACTTCCACCCCATCCAGCGCACCCTCAACGTTCAACAGTGGGACATCTCTGGACACGGCGGCCAATTCGCTCTCGCTCTCATCACATTCACCTACGTCGACATTCTCGACTGCACTGGCACTCTCTATTCGATGGCTCGCTTCGCCGACCTGATTGACGAGCGCACTCAAGATTTCGAGGGCTCCGCCGTCGCTTACATGGTTGACGCTCTTAGCATCTCCATCGGCTCCATCTTTGGCACCTCACCTGTCACAGCATTCATCGAATCCGGTGCCGGTATTTCCGAGGGCGGCAAGACGGGCATCACTGCCATGACGACCGGCTTTTGCTTCTTCATCTCCCTCTTCTTTGCGCCCATCTTCGCCTCTATTCCTCCTTGGGCCACGGGCTGCGTGCTCATCCTCGTTGGCTCCATGATGATGCGAGCTGTGACAGAGATCAACTGGGGCTACCCTGGCGACTCGATTCCTGCCTTCCTCACTATCGCTATCATGCCCTTCACCTACTCCATTGCCGACGGCCTGATTGCCGGCGTTTGCAGCTACATCCTCATCAACACGATGATCCTCCTGATCGGCCTCGCGACGGGTGGCCGTCTCGTCCCCCACAACAAGGACCAGAAGGACCCCTGGACCTGGCACATTCCTGGCGGTCTCCTGCCTGGCTGGATCGTCCGTCTGTTCAAGGGCAAGAAGGACTTCTGGCGCCCCTACCCTGGCGACGACGAGTCCAACACGGCTCCCGCCGCAGTTGCTGCGCCCGCTGATGAACCCGTTGCTCCATTCAAGGGAGCGCAATACGAGGACCGCACAACGAGCTCGGAGCATGGCGGATCGATCTTGATGGGTGAGGAGAAGAGGGTTGGCGAGACGCCTGCGCCGGCACAGCCGCAGCCCCATATTGTCCAACAGGACAAGGTTGACCGTGAGAAGAGCGCCTAAAAGTCATGGGCTTCACACACGTATTGCAGGGGAGTAATGAATTGGGGAGACTCACATTGGTACATGGCTCTATGTATAGGCTGTTTCTGGTTGAAAATGAATAGTAGGGGCGAAGGCCTTATCTTGTATCTTGTATAAATCATGTTTCGCTCGCTCAATCGAGGTGCGTCTTGCCGAGAGGGAACACTGCCGCAAAACGTATGCAGCCCTTTCCCTTTTTACACATGTGACCATATTTGTCTTTTTGTTGTGGCATTAATGCTGTGCAATCCTAACTTAGGATCGACAGGCCATTGCTGGGAATGTTAGGCTACGAAATTTGGCCCGCTTGGGCTGATGCTTTTAGATCTGCTCTGCATATATTACTGGCTTCAAGAGAAGTCCGTTCCATTCGGAAGACCTGAAGGCATTCGGCGGGCAGATTGTGCCGGGTTTTCTGGGCCTGGAGGATCACAGTGCTGCAAATCGCGCCAAAGCTTAGCCCAGGATGACCATGATGGAAGGTGGCCCGGAAAGTAAACAGGAAAACGCCTAGTACATGTCCTACGAACCTGCGGCTAAAAGATATAGCCTCAAGCTGACCATCAACGCCATGCGTCCTCGGCGACAAGCATACATAATTTCTCACGTGCCCGAGAGGCACGATGTGGCTTGTGGCAGAGGAGCCGACGCTGACAAAAGTGATTCAGGGGAGGCTCGAACTCCCGACCTTCAGTGAAACCCGCGATCGCAGACGATCTTGGATGTTAGACTGACGTGATAAACCAACTACACCACCGAACCGGGTTGACGGGGGTGTGAGGGTTGAGGTATATATTTTCAAGAGTCGTTGTGTGATGGGTCCTGACGGGGCCACGATGGGGACATGAGGGTACGGGGCAGACAGCAAACGCTTCCGAAGGCGGAGCCGGTTGGCGTGGAGTTGCTCGGTCTGGAGCTATTCAAGTCAGCCATCATTGCGTTGTTATCACAAGAGACGCAAGCACCAAGTCTCTTGTCAGTGAGGCAGGAGTCTCAAGAGGGCGAGGATAATCGCTTTAACACCAGGTGTGCTGGGGCCCCTGTTGTGCGGTATTGAAATTATATCACCAACAGTGCGGCTTTGCTCGCCTCAAGTGCAGATCGGTAAGATCCACGGACAAGCTCGACGAGGTGGTGCGAGTAACATATTCAGCCTGACTGGTCAACTCTCATCGGGCTGTTTGAAATTTCAACCTCTGGTATCTAAGCCTCCCCAGTCCACACAGCTTGATCGCGCAAATTGATGGCTATGAAGGAACGGCGACGGTGAATTCTGGAAAGACAATCGCAGCATACTAGAGTGATCGCAGTAGAATGAATATCTGGCATCTCCTTTACGGATTCGTTTTCAATTTTGGGTTGTGTAAAGCCGATATCGTAGATATATCCAAAGTCTAGGCGACGCGTGAATTCTCCGTACTATTCAGGACAATGTTTCCAGCTGGATGAAGTTGGCTTCTGGCCCCAAACAAGCAGTCTGATAGTATGAAGTGTAAGAGTAGCGGTAAGATGGCGCAGGATCTCAAGTTCGCGGCCTCTATGTGTCGTACGTATGAGACAAACGCCTATCTATGATGACTTGGGTTTCTTCCACAAGTGAAGCTGGAAAAGCCTATCAAGATAGCTGAAACTACGCCATGCAGGGAATTTATTATATATACTAGTGAAGACATGCAGAGGATACGACTTGCCTCCCGAAGCTCTGTCTGGCTGATGTGGTTGGACATGAACGAATCAAGACGATTATGGACCGGCATCGGTCTTCTACACAGCACGTTATGAAGCCGGCATCGTGACATCCGGACCAGCAATATCATGGCACACGAAGACATCGGCTTTACAAACAACAGAGCCCCCGCACAGGTTGGCCGTCAAGTGAAAAAGAAAAATCATTGCTCGGGTGACAGCCCGCTTCTATCCGTCTTCCTCTTTATACACACATCGGGCGACCTCCATCCTACAACCTCTCCTCCGCTACTGCCCGCCCCCCCTTTTACTCTCCACAACACATGCAAGCTTACGCCTACTTCCCTTGCCTCTCGGCCTCGAGCTCCCTCTCGGCCTGACGGTAGTACTTGGCCGTGTCGACGCCGTGCTGGTTGTGGTTGACAAAGTTGAACCAGGGCAGGACGCCCATGAAGAGCGCCGAGTAGCGCGACTGCCGCGCCGCGACGCCCTGCATGTGCGGCGTCAGGCGGCTCTCGCCGTAGAGGGGCTCGCCGGCCTTGACCTTGGCCACCATCTCCTTCATGTCGAGGTCGATCTCGCGGGCGTTCTCGGTGGCGCCGTAGAAGCGAACTGGTCGGGCCGTTAGCATGCTTTCCCCTTTCTTTTTTTTTCTTCATCTTCATCTCTGAGGCCTCTGTCCCTCGCGCACACGTGGGCGGAAGACAGGAAGGGGGGGAGACGCACGGCTGGAGCGCTGGTAGAAGTAGAGGAAGCCACCGGCTAGGCCAATGGCGCCGGCCAGGCGAAGGGCTGGGGCGAAACCGCCCTTGCCGACGTGCGAAGGCGCGAAGCGCTCAAGGGTGAGGAGGGCCGCGGGGGCAAATGCGGCGGCTGCGACGCCGTGGGCGTAGTCGGAGGGACGGGCATAGCCGATGACGCGCTTGAAGTGCCTGATCGTGAGAGGGTCCTACATCAGCAAATTGGGTCCTCGAGGGCAGAGGGGTCGGATCGGAGACGGCATGTTCTCACGGGTCGTTGTCGATGAGCTGGATGGGTCAGAAGTATTAGCTCGACTGCAATTGGTGAGAGCCATTGACGGACAGGGACGCACCGGGTAGTCGCTCGGGACGGGCTTTGAGGGGATAAAGGTGGTGGTCTGCGTGTTCGACATGGCTGCGGTCGTCGGTTCGCCTGGGTGATGCCTCTCGAGCGACCTTGGATCGTTGAATTGGCGAAGATTAGAGGTGCTTCACAGACACTGGACGTTGAAGATGCAAAGTTCTGCCTGAGGCTGCCTGTGCTCGACTTCGCAGTACGTACCGTCGGCCAAGTGGGACAGCTCTTGCCAGCTGCCAACTGCCGTCGTGTCACCAGCTCCAGAACGCGTCCAGCTCCCAATCAATTAACCCAGGCGCGTCTCGAGATCACGGCTAGGCGTCAGTTCGTAAGAATTGGTACCCCTCGTCCCTCTGATTTGCGTGACCCTCGCTGCACCAACCACGACACCACAAGGCATACCCGCTCGAGAATACAGTTGCCCGACATGGCGCCAGGCACAACAGCACCACCCCTCGACGACCTCGATAACTACGATATTGACGACTTTGACGACCCGTTCCGCTCCCCCAGCCCCCAACCCCAGGCCCAAACCCAGAACGGCTCCTCCCAGAAGCGCAAGACCGACGGCCTCGGCCTTGACGAGGAGGTCGACGTCGCCAAGCGCGCCCGCGTACCCCGTATCAAGCTCGACGAGACCCGTCTCCTCTCGGAAGATGGCATCCCCAAGCTGCGCCGGCGCGCCGCCGACCTAAAGCTCAAGGGCAAAGGCCACGAAGTGCGTTGGCCCCTCCTTTTTTCACCTCCCTCTCCCTGGGCGCACTGTCCCTCTCGTGACATGGCATCAGCATCACGAGCAACGAGGAGGGAGGGGGAGTCCCGAAAATCGAAAGCAAAGGCTGACCGACTTGGCGCGCTAGTTCTCCGACGCAGCGCGGCTGCTCACGTTTTACCAGTTCTGGCTCGACGACCTCTTCCCCAAGGCGAAGTTCCTCGACGGCCTCGCCATGGTCGAAAAGGCAGGCCACAAGCGCACGCTGCAGAGCAAGAGAATCGAGTGGATCGACGAGCTCAAGCCGCGCGCTTCGGCGGCCGCGGACGACGACGTGGACGAGGAGCCGCCCGCGGACGATGGGCCGCTGCAGCACGGCGACGACGCGGACGACGAGGCGATGGCGCAGAGAAACGGGCACGCCGGGACGACAGGGGCAGCGGCGGCGGGAGCGGCGGGGAACACGAGACCCAAGACGCCGATGGCGCTGGACGAAGACGACGTACCGGACGAGGCGGATCTTTACGGTGCGACGCCCAAGAGGGCGGCTGCTGGCACGACGAGCGTACCGAGGCCTGCGGACCCGGATGATGAGGACGACCTCGAGGCGCTCATGGCGGAGGCGGAAGCAGAGACGGGCCCGAGACGGGAGCCTGAGAAGAAGGTGGCGCCCGCGGTCAACGACTACGAAGATGACGAAGCCGCAATGGCTGAAATGGATGGGCTGTGGTGAGAGTATCTTACGATGTTTCACTCGGGAAGGTTTGCTTTCAGAATATCATGAGGTCAGGAGGGTCAAGGCGTTCGGCGCACACATATGAAGCATGATTTCTCTCTAGCCATTGAACGGTTGTAATGCGTACTCAGTCACTGGTAATCGCAGAGCATGATTTATCTTCTCAAAAATTCAATTCGTCATATTGTTACAGGCCCGGGCCATTGTTTGACCGCTCCTTCAGGAGACCACCGTTGCGCCATGGACCATACAATAGTTCCCAGTTTTGTCTGAACCCGCCGTTGTCATGATAAAAGTCAAATCAGCGAGAGCGTAATCGTTTCTCTCCACCTTCTACCAACGCATCGCCCTGTCTCTTCTTGACAGGCGTGGTTGTTGTCGAGTTAAATAAGCTGGCTGGTGTGTGGGTGTTCGTCTCGGGATGGGGGTTGGGTAGTATCCCTTGTTGGATCATCTTACGCTCTTCGACCCGAAGGGTCCAGAGAAGCGTGAGGAGTACCTCTTTAGAGGGCAACGCATTACCGTTGAACCACGTGTGCGGCTCGCGGGAACTGTCGCGCGTGACCGGTGCTCCGACGTCCGTATCCCCAACCCGATTCTCACAGCCCTCAGACACCAACCGCAATGCCTCCATCGTCGCATCCATAAGTGGACGCGCCAGATTGGGGCTGCAGGTTAGGATTTTCTGAAGAGACTTGAGTCTCAGGGTTAGGGGCACGGCGGCTGTAGTCCGGGTCCGCTGCGCTGTTCTCCGCTGCTGACGCGTCAGTGGCGGCTGCGCTGGCCTCATCGTTGAGGAACTCGTCCATGTCGAAGTTGAACGCGGATGCGAACGCGGACGAGTCACCAGCCATAATATCGTTGTCATAATCGACTGAGTTGGGGGAAGAGAGAAGCCCGCTCTCAAGGACATAGCGATCTGCATCAAAGGCCTCTGACACGCTGTAATGACCGCCGAGGAAGTGATCATGAGCATCTGAAGCTGAAGGTACAAAGTCCATGTTGGGTGCAGGGAAGTCTGTGAGGCCACCCACGACTGAGGCATTTCCTCCGACCGACACGGCAGGTCGAACAACATCACTGCAGGACGTTGTGTCACGTCGGAGGAAAGGGCGACAGGGGAGGGGGCGGCCACGGCAGCTTCTTGCTGGGCGCTGGTCTCATCCGTCTCGGGGACGGGAGTGAGGGCGGGCGAGAGGGAGGCGGGGTTGACGGTCGCGGCGGATTTGGATGCCGCCATCAGACCGTCGACGAGTGTCGACTCGGAGTCGGCCACTGATGGCCGACGGCCGTCTTGTGAGCCGAACAGCTCGGGGGAGAGGGTGACCGAGTTGCTGTTGTGGAATGAGTCAAAGGGGGAGGAAGAGCGGGCGACGGCACCGGAACCACGGCGGAACTTAGTAAGCTCCTCCATTAACCTGGCGTTCGCCTGTTGTGCGTGGTTCAGGGCAGTCTCGAGCTCCTTGTTCTTCATCTCGAGGGCCTCGACCTCGAGCCTCTTACGCTCCCTCGAAGACTGGGCAGCACGGCGGTTGCGCAGAACGCGTTCCACACGACGCTGCTCCTTCTCATCCTCGGTCTTGGCTCGTTTCCTGCAGGGGTATTAATGACAAATTCTCCGTGTTTACATGGTCGATTGACGTACCTGGGCGGCAAGTTGGTCTTGGGTTCTGGAAGGACCTGACCCCAGGACTTGCGCTTCTTAGACCCCTTCTTGTCGCCGACGGAAGCCTCGGAGAGAGGCATGTCCGAGTCGGCAATGGTGAGGTCTTGCGGTGAGGAAGGGCTCATCATGTCGGAAGGATCGAGGGTGTTGGGGGAGGCGGACTCTGGGAAGAGTGACGGGTACATGTCGCCTGGTGTCGAGACGAAAGACTCGGCTGGCGAGTCCTCGAACTTGATCATTGGTGTGGTGGAGTGCTCCCAAGACTCCATGTTGGACGGCTTTGTGTGTGTGTGTGTGTGTGTGCGTGTGTGTGTGATAGAGACAAGAAGTCTTTGGCGAGTTGTGTGCGTGTGAAATGGTGGTGCAAGCCGAAGTGAATCGGTTATTGCAAACTTGCTTTCTGTTTCTTGGATGGTGGTTGCGCAGCTTCTTGGTGGTTGATTGCTGTTTGCATGCGCTGGGGATGCCGTCCGAACCTCACAATACAAATAAGGGATAGATCTGGCTGCCTAGATCGACCACATGGTGGACGAAGCGACTCGATGAGTGAGTCAGCCAATGAAGTGAGTCAACGATGGAGAAGGTATGAGGTAATCCTCAAGGCAGTCGTGAAAAGGGAAAAGGACACGGTGGTCGCTGGCTCGTCAGGTGTTCAGGAGCGGACTTCAGAAAGGGCGATGTGGCCTCTTTATGATCGAAGGCCACGTTTGGATCAAGGGGGGGCAGGCGTTGGGGGGCCCTACCTTGCCAGGTACGTAGAAGGGGAGGGGGCCAAGGGGAGGGTTGCGGGCGTGTGGGTATGTGTGCCTGAGGCAGTCACGGAAGCTCTGGCCCAGGCGGCCGCAAGGGTGTGGTCCGTGTCTGGGGCAGTGGCAGCAGAGGATAGGCAGAAAGGAGACAGGTAGCAGGGGTGCTGGGAGAGGTTCCCTTGGCCTCCGGGAAGGGGCCGCCACCGGCGGAGCAGGGTTGAGGCTGGGGGCCAGCTGCAGGGGGGCGGAGTCCACGCTGGTGGTGCCGGTCGTGGGTAGGCGGGCGCGACCAATGGCAATGTCGGATCTGCCCTCGCGGAAGGAGACTCGCAACGGCCAAATGGGATTCCACGGACACGGGCCAAAAGGGACAAAACAGCCCCACGGGCCAGAAACACCTTCTGTAATCAGCACCAAACTCGCCCCCCTCCCAGGGCCTTCGACCTGCCACAGCAGCAGCAGCAGCATGGCCCGGCCCCCCTGGAGAGCACGGAGCGCCAGGGCCCCTCGCCTCTCTGTACGGTACAGTTCTCGGGGACCTCGACTCGATCCAGTTCGCACCAGGCCCCCTCAAACATGATCATCCTCATGGATGATCTCCAGGGTCCTTCACGTGCGAGATTGACTCGCAATCTGGCGAGCCTCCTTACTGATCTGGGCGAAATAACGCGTGAGTTTGCGTTGTCTCGCCTTTTTCGTATCAGTTCATGGGCTCCGTCCTCTCAGGTGTCTGCGGTATGCCTAGCAGGAGAACTCTATCAGGGTGGGATCCTGAATAGGTAGGTAGGTACCTTACTTAGGCACCTAGGTAGGTAGGTACGGTATCATGCTAAGGTTCTAAGGTTCTGGAGGCACTTGAACAGACCTAGCTGGGAGCCACGGCTTTGTGGTTTGGCTGGTTGCGCCAGAGCGGGTACGGAACGCGCCAGTGGCTCAGGGACCCAGCGCTGAACTGCACGTCAGCCATGACCTCAGCCATCTCAGCTGTCGGTGGTGAGCAGTCAGCCAGCCTGGAAGCCGCTAGCAGCAGCAGCAGCAGCAGCAGCAGCAGCAGCCAAGTTGCCTACCTACCTACCTACCTTAGGTACCTGAGGCACCTTAGTAGGTACCTAGGGCTCCAGGTTCCAAAGGATTCCACTCCCGCCATCAACCTGCTCGAACAGCGCATAGGTGCCGTCCACACCCCGATCGTCGCCCGCTCGAGTTTTAAAAAAGGAACTGACATGACGGCTTTCATGCGTCCCCTTCCAACGTGCGTTTGCCCGTTTCACCAGACTGAGACGGTCGTGTGGGCTTGACTCTTGTCATCCCGTCCTCACAAAGACGCGTCGTCAAAGTGCCCCCCCCCCCCCCTTCCCCTTTCACAAGAAGGTTTGTTCTACCTCGAACCTTCGTTGGGGGCAAAGGAATATTGCCCATCAAACCACTTAATCAAATCAACCTTTCTTCGCATCGCCGCCGAGGCCGAAGGCAGCGGAAATGACCGTTTGTCGCCCCGAGGGTGCCTTCACAACTGACGCGGTGGGCCTATGGATCCATCGATCCGTGGATCCATGGATCTCCATAGAAGTCGATGGCCCCCTATTTTTCTTGTGTGTCTCTATTTAGGCACGAATACGGAATCTGGCCAGTGGAGCACCATCTGCACCATCGCGCCATCGTATAGCGAGTTGGGCGGGTCCCTTTCGCTCGAGAGCAAAGGTTATGTCGCCGTGTAACCTATCCCGATACCACGACGTCTTACGCAACCTGCCCCGTCTTCGTTCCTTGTTCGCGTCCATCAAACCATTCATCCTTCCTCCACGCCAGGCCGTTACCCTACCTTGGCCACGCATGGCCTGAGTTTGGAGGCTTGCTGGCGGACGCCAGACGGGAGACGACAAACGGACGGCATGCTATCTTGCGCCGCTCCCCTCCCAAGTGACCCGCTGTCAGCACACGCCACACACTCTCCGTGTTTCCTTGAATCGTCGATAGTCGAATCGACGGGCCCAAGAGCGCCATGTCTTTTTTCGTGACCACCGTCATTCCTTTGGCTTCCTTCCGCTGCGCCTGTTCCTCTGGACTGCATCATGACGCAACTCGGCGGATCCGCCAGCTTCTCCCCCGCCCACCGGCGGCCCTGACAAGAGCCCACCACTTCTGGTCGGCTCTGTTGAAGCTGACCCTCTCTGGTCAGTGGCCCCCGCTCCTCCTCCCTCGCTTGCCATCACGTATCACGTACGTCCAGCAAAATAAGGCCTCTCTCCTGTTCGCCGGTACCCAAACTACCCCCCTCTCCCCCCCCAATGCGGCCGTTCAGTGCATCGACTGGGCGTTGCCGATGAGCCGCCGATGGCGTGAGCATCTTGTGTGCATCTCTCTCTCTCTTTTCGAGGTTGATCACTGCCTGTGCAACGTGGGGGCTGATCCATTTCCTTCTTTTATTTTCGGCTTGATGTGATTTGGGGCTGGGCACTATTTATTTCTTGTGCTTCGCTTACATGTACACTACGTAGGACGAGTTTTGGAACATTGCATTGCCTCATCCAATAGCGCCCTGCGATCGGCAAACGCCTGGTCACAGACAATATTCTTTCGTGCTCGCCCCTGAAGTTTCCTCAAGGGGAGAAATGTATGCCCTCTGTCTGAGGAGCGAGAAAGGCAGCTCGGCGCAACGCGCAGGCAGTCCGACGAGGAGGCTGGCTGCTGAGCGAGGAGGAGGCAGGCAAAATGGCGAGTGGGCTTTGTCCACGTCGGACTATCTCATTCCATTTCCTTCCTCCCTGCTTCCTATCCGTGCTCCCTGCGATCAACGCCTCGCCCCCGTTGCTTCATCCTCGACCTTCCCCTTCTTTCCCCTCATTCCCCTTGCGGCAGAAGGGCCGCTGCAAGTGCAGTGCAGTGCAGATGGACGGCGCCTCTCGGCCGCTTGGATTTGGATGTGTGGGTGGAGGGCATTTCAAGGGGGGCCGACAGACCAGGGCAGGGCACGCCACCAGGGAGGAGGGAGAGAGAAAGGGGAGAAGGGGAGAAGAAGGGGGGGGAGGCGAAGAGGGGAGCCTCATCTTCCGTCTTCCGTCCCCGCATTCCCCGCGAAAGGAAGCGAAGACCAGGCCCAGATAGGCCTCCCCATATCCTCCCAATCTGATGCGGCGGGTCAATGAAGGGCGACGGGGAAATCACCCTGGACTCCCTCCGTACCACACCTTCGACTCACACATGCACTCTTTCACTCCCCCCTTCCCCTTCGCACATCGGCTCGGCAATGGAGCCACCCTTCTCCGCATTCATGCAATCTCCCATTTGACAAGTACTGCCAGGCCCAGGGGCCATGGCCCTCCATGCCGCCCCGGAGGGCCGTTGCCGTCGCTTCGCGGGATGAGACGAGCGCCAGGCGAGACGAGACGAACGACCTATGCGCCTTCAACGAACTGGGTCACGGAGTAAAACGCGGGGTGAGCTAGGTGCTCTTTACTCTTTCAGACTACCGATGGGCCACGTGAGGTTCCACAATCGCTCTTTTCCCCCTTCCAACCTTTGGCGGAGATGGCTGCCGACGACCGAGTGTTCAAAGACTTGGCTCGTCGAAAGCCCCTCCTCCGACTCATCTCATGCAGGCTGCTCTCCGCTCGATCCACAGCGGGGAGGGCAGAATACAAAACTTGAGATTGCTGCGTCTGAGCTGCCTACAAGCGATGAGGGGACCACGCGGGCGAGTTGTGATGCGCTGTACTCAACCCGGTAGTAGGCAGGGCCATGTGACAACTGGATTCGGCTGAGGCCTGACACTCCCGCCCTCGCCAATCTCGGTATCGCCCTCGTGGCACACCGCGCCCGTTCCATTGCCAGCCGTCGTCCCCAGGTGACCCAATGTCCATCTTTCGTGGACTACACGACGGGGTCGAAATTGCCGTTCCGCCCCTTGACGATGCCCTCGATCTCCGAGGTCACCCACCCACCGTAAAAGTCACCCGGCTGCGCCTCGACGAGCTCCCCATCGACGAAACAGTCCCAGGGCCCCGCGTAGAGCGAGAGGTAGCACCGAATCGGCTCGAAACCCCGCGTCGGGCTGTCGTAGGACCAGATGCGGTTCGAGACGGTCTCGCCCGTGCCGGGGGCTGCGATGGTGTAGTAGGTTGCCGCGCCCTTCCACTCGCAGTAGGTGCTCCGCCGGGTCTTGGCGAGGCTGACCTTCATCGCGTCGGGTGGGATGTAGTAGGCTGTCAGATATGAGTCTGTGTCTCTACAAAGTCTTGAATAGCACGTCAAAGTGGAAAGACGAAGCTAGGGAACGGCGCAACGAACTAGGCGGGTGGTGCGTCTCAAGCACCCAGTAGGCGTCTTTGGTGTCTGCTATCACAGTCCCTTTCCATTTGATTTGAATGTGCCGCGATATCTTCTCGAGGAGGGGCGGCCGGGGAAAGGTCTGGACGTTGAGTCTAGCTCGGGCTGCCATTATTCCGTCTATCTCGGAGATAGGGGGGAATATGTCTTATGTTATGTCAAAAAGTATGAAGCAGGACGTGATTGACAGATGTTTGCGTATTCGGTGGTCTTGGAATTCAACACAGATGCTTGAAAGACAAATCGAGACTCCTGTTATATATACAGGCTGGGACACTGTATCGCCGACTTGAGCATCGGTGTCTCTGAATCCATGAGATCATGACATGAGGCTCAATCAATGTCTCGTGACCGTCAGGTACAGTATGCTGGACCCTGAAGGGCACACCCGCCTTGAGGAACAGCCAGGCGTGGCTCGTAATGTGGCTGACCAGCCACAAATTTGCGTCATACAGTGGCTTGCCCAGTTGGCGGGGTCTAACGGCCTGCCAGACGGCCTGATCAGACTGTCAGGGGACTGCCGCCAGCTGAACGATGCTCCGCCCCCGCGAGGCTCCCACCCGTCATGTGGTGCGAGAACCGGCCGACGAGGCCAAGACTCTTAAGTATCTCTTACGCTCTATCAGACGCAGAACTCCGACCCATCGCCACCTCGATTCGATTTCGTCTCTCTCTCGTGAACCCCTTGCGATCTCGAGACTTTGAGCGTTCGACACTTATCCAATCGCGAAGACGGGACCATCGCTTTCTCCCAAGCAGTCACTGCCACCTTGTGTCGCACTTCCCCGCTATAAGCGTCTCAACCGCACCACGCCCGTCATGAACAACCGACAGCTCGGTCGCGACATGCAGGTCGAGTTCCAGGCCAGGGTACGTCTTCTCCTTTCCGAGCACGCTCGGCGGGCTCGCAAAGCAGGAGTCTCGTATCGCTCGTCACCCAACGCTGACGCCCGCTCCTAGTTCCAAGCGAAGCAGGCCAGGAGAGAGGCCCAAAAGGCTGCCAAGCAGGATCCCATCCTGAAGAAGCAGATCCAAGACGTACGTCTCCAAACTTCCCAGCGGCGCACGCTGTACCCGACGCCCAGGCCACGCGCATGTGCATTGCGACGGCAGCGCTGACAGACACCACGTGCAGCTCCTCAAGAACGGCGAGACCCAAAAGGCCTACCAGAAGGCCAAGATGCTCCTGTCCAAGCAGGCCCTCGCCCAGCAGATGGACCAGATGGCCGATATGGCCGAGCTCTCGGCCGCCCAGATCCAGGCCAACAACTCGATGAACCGCATGACGCACATGATGGGCCAGTCCTCGCGGACCATGTCCGTCGCGCAGAGGAACATGAACCCAGAGAAGGTGAGCCGCCCGCTGCCTGCCCTGCCCACCTGCCGCCGGCCTGCCGCCGGCCTGCCTACGTATTTTACGCTGCATTGGTGCTCCCGCCCGCTGACCATCTTACTCGCAGACCCTCGTCACCCTCGAGCAGTTCAAGCAGCAGAACGAAGAGTACGCCATGTCCAACGGCATCTACCAGGACGCCATCACCCAGTCCACGAGCACCCAGGTGTCCGAGGACGCCGTCCACGAGCTCCTCGGCAAGCTCGCCGACGACGCCGGCGTGCAGCTGAGCCAGCAGCTCGAGAGCGCCACCCCGGCCAAGGAGGAGCCCGCGCGCGAGGAGCCCACCGCCGAGGAGGAGGATGCCCTGCAGCAGAGGCTGCGCGCTCTGCGTGCGTAGACGCCGGCTGTGCCTGAACTCGGGAGGTTGGAACACACACTCAAGAAGGAATGGGGATCTCTTTTCTGGCGTTACATGGGCACGAGGAACGAATCATGGATTGCAGGCAGATACGACGAGAGGGGAAGCAGAGGGACTTGAACTACATCTATCGTTAATACCAGACTGACTGAAGCTGGCTTGCTGATGGCCGCCGTTACCTCTCCACTTGTGAGGAATGGGCAATATGCGTAAACAAGTTTCTAGACATAGAGTTTCACAAACGTGACGGACAAAGGATGAAACCCGAACAATCAATGAAAAGTCTTCAGCATGTATCCATGATCAATCATCATCATCTACAATCCAATGCCGCCATCCGCCCCTGTGCCCCTTTTCCAAACAGCCTCTCTACATGTAAAGACTTGCCACGGCCGTAATGTCTCGCTTGATCATCTCCTGCGCCGCCTGCATCTTCTGGTAGAGCTCAGGGTCGCCAATGATCCTAGCCGCGTTCTTGACCTCGCGGCACGTCTCGTCAAGCCGGGTGATGGTCCTGACAATCGTGCCTTCGAGCACATCGGTCAGGTCGGTGATGTTCTTGAAGCTCATGCCACGGGCCCACTCATACACAACCTCCATTAGGCCGAAACGCGGCCGTGACGTAAAATCGTTCGAGTCGTCCGTCGACTGGATGACCTGATGGATCGTCTGGACGTTGTTGATCTTCTCGCTAATGTCGATGATGGTCTGCTTGCCCCTCTCTAGGTTGCCCGTCAACGTCGGCTCGCTGTCCGTCTTCTCCTGGAACACAAACGCCGAAAGAAGCGCGGCGATTTCGGCCGGCTCGTAGTCCGCGAGCACGTTGTCAAGGATGAGCTCCGTGAGCACCAATTCATCGCCCGAATGAATTTCACAAGCCACCTTGCCCTTCAGCAGGATGCGAGCGCTGTCGTCAATGAACTGCAGCTCCTTGAGGACGAGGACGCGCTGCTCGTAGTCGGGAAGCAGCTGAAGGTTCTGGTTGGACAGCGACAGCTGCAACTGGGCGATATGGTCCTTGATAAGCCACTGGTCGTGACACATGGCGAACTACATAAGTGTTAGCGGCAAAGGAAAAAGGGCCGAAGGCATCATTATCACGTACGTGCTTGACAAAGTTATCGCACTCCAGCGCAGGCGAATGGGAAGCAGTGCGAACAGCCTCCTGACGCTTCTCGATGATCTCCTGGAGTGCAAGATTCCTAATCTTGGCAAGATCGACCTCGTCCCAAAGATCGTCCCAGCCCCTGCAAAGAGCGTGCAGCCTGCCCTTTGCCTTTTGGTACTCTTCACCTCCCTGGAAGATATCGGGCACGATGCCCTTGGTGGTGTAACGAGTCAGACACTCCACGTCGGCAATAGGAACGTGAAGAGTCTTGACCTGTATCTGCTTCTTGTGCTGTGGAAGAGGAGTGAGGTATTTGCGGAAGGCCGGGATGAAGGGCAACAGGTCTGTCGAGTCGCGAGTCTCGCGGAGTGTTCGGAGCTCACAGACGTGAAGTGTTGCGCCACTGGAGGAGCCCTTAACACTTGCACCGTCGGCAAGGAGGATGCCCGGGGTGCGAACACCATCCTTGTTGTAGACGATCAGGCGTGCCTGGCTAAACATCTTGCGACCAATAGGCAGCTTGACCAGTGCGGAGTAAAGACTTGTGGTGAGCTCTTTGAAGTCCTGGGATGCCTGATGGCACACGTCCATGACCTTATCCTTGTCACAAGTGTCACAAGAATCACGCTTGACCTTCGCCAAGTCGGCCTCAGAGACCTTGACTGCCTTCTCATGCTCGGGAAGCAACTGCTGCGTCGCGTGTTCCGAGAAACTGCGTTTGATCATCTCCTCGATCTTGAGGGCCTCCACTCGCAGCAGGTTGAGTATCATGTTATAAGTTAGACGGAATTGAGAGCGCAGCTTAGACGCCTCACCCAGAATCATCTTCTGTAGCTCAACCACGGGAGGTACCTCGTCGGAGGTTCCCGGCGGCACAATGATAACCGAGCCGACGGGGTCAAGACCTCGGCGTCCAGCTCGACCGGCCATCTGCGTGTACTCACCGGGGAGGAGATTGCGGAACGAGTGTCCATCGTGCTTGCGGTAGCCGGAGAAAACGACAGTCCTCGTTGGCAAGTTGAGACCCATGGCAAAAGTCTCCGTGGCGAAGAGAACCTTGACCAGGGTCTGAGCGAACAGAATCTCGACAACCTCCTTAACAATGGGAAGCAGACCACCATGATGGACAGCGATGCCACGAGATAGAAGCTCGCGAAGCCGGATGATTTGTGGTAGTTGACGATCCTCCGGCTTCAGCCGAGCAACTGACTTCTCGATCGTCATGTGGATGGCGCTTTTCTCGGATGCTGTACAGAAATCCTGGTTGCTGAGCGCATCAGCATTCTGCTCGCACCGCTTCTTTGAGAAGACGAAGATACAAGCGGGCAGCAGCGTGTTCTTCTTGAGGAACTGGACGAGGTGAACCCAGATGTTCTTGTCTTGAGCGGCAGATGCGAATCCACTTCGTCCACCACGGCCCATGTGCCCTGGTGCATGGCTCGCACGGGGAGGACCACCGCGACCTCTCTGCTGACCGCCGCCTCCGCCTCGCTGACCGCCGCCGCCCCTCTGGCCGCCGCGCTGAGGCCCGCCGCGCTGACCCCCTCTCTGTCCTCCTCTTGGCGGACCACCGCCGCGAGCGTTGCCGCTGCTCTCGATCTGCTTGGGCTTCTCCTTGCCTTGCAGAGCAGCATTGGCGTCCTTCCAGCCCTTTTCGCTGAACTTTTTGTCGGCCGTGACGATCTTGTGGATGTCTTTGCCGGCCCATAGGTAGTGTTCCAGGGGTACTGGCCGTTTCGGTGTTGAGATGACATAGATATCCTTCTGCTTCGTTCGGCCCACCCAAGAGGCAAACTCGTGCGTGTTGGGAACAGTAGCTGACAGCAAAATGAGGGACACATGTTCCGGGAGCATGATGATGACTTCCTCCCACACGACGCCACGTTCGAGATCGTTGACATAGTGGACTTCGTCGAAAATGACAAACTCGACGTCTCGGATGAGATCTGCGCCACGGTACAGCATGGAGCGAAGAATCTCAGTCGTCATGATGAGACAGCTGGCTTCAGGGTTAATCTGAACATCGCCCGTGAGAATGCCAACCTCGTCGAACTCCTGCCGGAAATCACGGAATTTCTGGTTACTCAACGCTTTGATGGGCGATGTGTAGATGGCCTTGGTCATGTGCCGAGCAGCCAAGGCTATGGCGTACTCGGCAACCACCGTCTTGCCTGCCGACGTGTGGGCGGCCACGAAGACAGAGTCACCATTCTCGAGGTGGTAGATGGCCTCCTTTTGGAACGTGTCAAGCTCAAACGGCCAGTCCCTCGCCATGTCGGGCACCAGCTCTCTAAAGTTGGTTATATCCCTGTTGATGTCGACCATGTGCGCCCATTCGCGTCCAGCCTTTCGCGCGCTGGACGCCGCGAGTGTGCCGTGTGGTTCGAGTGCAGGAAACTCGACCGGCAAGATGGCATCGATGTCTTCGCTATCGTCCTCCTCAAGGGTGTCAGCGTCGTCTCCATCGGCCCTGGCGGCCGTCTCCTCATTCTGCGCGTCAGGCGCCTGCTCAGGCTCCTCATCGAGCTCCTGCTCGACAGCCTTGGCCTCGTCCTGGTCATTCTTCTTGCTGGAAAAGTTGATACCGCGGCTGAGACCGGGGGCAACCTCGAGAAGGCTGCCGTCGACACCGAGCTTGATGACCCTCTCGAGCTTGTTCGAGGACCCGGCGTCGACGCCGCTCGTGCGGTGCAGCTGGTCCTCGAGCGCTGCAGCCGACTCGACGCCCTCGAGGCCGCCGGGCGCAAAGGGAAAGAAGCCAGCGGCGCCGCGCACGAACTCGGCCCTGCTGGCGGGTTTCCGGGAGAACGAGGTCGAGTTCTTGGCCGTGGCACTGTTGGCAGGGACTGTGACGTTCTTGTAGCCGGTGACCCTGCCCTCGAGGCCGTGACGCTGGAACCGGGTCACGGTGCGAGTCTGCGGCGGAGCAAGCCTGAAGAGTTCCGTGTAGTCGACAGGACAGTCCCAGCGTCTGGTTCACGTGTCAGCGGGGTATTCTTGGTGGCCGGTGCAAATGCGACATACTGCTGGAGCCGGTTGAGCCAGTCATTGGAGAAGGAGGTGGATGGCGAGAGGAAGTCCTTCTCCAGACTGCTTTTCAGCTCTGACGACTGCTGCCTCACACGCTTTCGGGGACGTTGCTCAAATAGAATGTCGTCGATATTGACGTCTTTCTCGTCGAGGCGGAGACCTTGTATGGCCTCGGCCAAGTCTGTCGTCATGGTTGGCGAGACTCTCCAAGCTCAAGATGCTGGATGGGGCTCAGCGGTTTGACGGTCAGAGTGGTATTTGAGCGTTGAGTGTTGATGAGGCTCGAGGCGTGACCTGAGCTTGAAATCGATGATGGGGCCAGCAGGCAAGAGGAGGGGACCAGAGTGAGGTGGTGGTGGGTGGTGCCCTGATCCAATGACGTGGTGTCGCTTCCGACCAGCAGCTCATCAGGGCCTGCTCAGTGGCCGAACGCGCTATCATCCCCACTGTAGCTCTGCTCTACAACCATTTGCTATGCCAGCCTTGCCAGTGCACCCAGCTTCGGACATCTGACCTGAGCCTCAATGTCGATGCGTTGATCCAAACATTGCCATTCCTCTACGAGAACACCAGACACATAACAGCGCACAGTTCACAAGCGAGAACCTTCCACACGGCGGAAAAAATATAACATAGCAAAGCCATATTCTAATAGACTCAAGCAAAAAGGACTGCAGGTCACTCCCCGCTGCGTGGAAGCCCGGGCTATTCCTCATGGTATGGGATGTGTGTATATGACATTGCAGCATACAAGTACAATTTTCCGCCCGAGTCCAACGGCGCGTCAACGGCCCATTATCGAAGTAGTGCTGCTCGGATGGTCAGGAAAACCTCAATTCCAAGGCTCCCAAAATACGCCAGCGACTCTTCTTCCCAAGCCATCTACTCCTCTCTTTCTCTTTGCGCCTCTCTCGCCCTCTCCCCATTCCACGTGCATTCACCTCCTTCTTACAGCTTGAGCATCTTGGCGATGTAGTCCTCGATCAGGGGCTCGGTGGGGAAGGACATCTCCTCGAGACCCTGGGCGTAGGGCGTGGGGACCTCAGCACCGGTGACACGCTGAGCGGGGGCGTGGAGGTAGTCAAAGGCGTACTCCATGGTGAGGGCGAGAATCTCGGAGCCGACGCCGAAGGCGGGGTAGCCGGACTCGACGCACAGCAGGCGGCCCGTCTTCTTGACCGACTTGACAATCGACTCAATGTCGAGGGGCTTGACGGAGCGCAGGTTGATGACCTCGCACTCGGCGCCGTACTTCTTCTTGATGTTCTCGGCGGCGACGAGCGACTGGCCGACGCAGCGGGACAGGGTGACGATGGTCAGGTCAGAGCCGGCACGCTCAATCTTGGCCTTGCCGAAGGGGATGACAAAGTCGTCCTTCTGGGCGGCCTCGGACATGGGGAAGGTCTGGCCGTACAGCAGCTCGTTCTCGAGAACGACAACGGGGTTGGGGTCGCGGATGGCGGCCTTCATGAGGCCCTTGGCGTCCTCGGCGCTCCAGGGGGAGACAACCTTGAGGCCGGGAATGCTGCCGTACCACGCAGAGTAGTCCTGCGAGTGCTGCGCACCGACACCGGCGGCGAAGCCGTTGGGGCCGCGGAAGGTGATGTTGCAGGGCTGAATGCCACCGGACATGTAGAGTGTCTTGGCCGCAGAGTTGACAATCTGGTCAATGGCCTGCATGGCAAAGTTGAAGGTCATGAACTCGCACTATAGAAAGACATGGTCAGCAGGCGGACAAAAGCAAGTGCGCAATTCGCGGCGCGGACCATCGAACCCGCCACCGTGTTCCAGCTCGAGCCGGCACAACACACAGGCTGTGTTCGACAGATGGGCTGCCGCATCATGGCAATTCTTCCGGGGTAGAGTCAATGCTTACCACAGGGTGCAGGCCGCTGAGGGCGGCACCAACGGCGAGACCGCAGAAGCCGGACTCCGTGATCGGCGTGTCGATGACCCTCTTGTCGCCGAAGCGGTCCAGGAGGCCCTTGGTGACCTTGTAGGCGCCGTTGTACTGTGCGACCTCCTCTCCGAGGACGAAGACCTTCTCGTTGGACTCGAGCTCCTCCGCGAGGGCCTCGTTGAGGGCCTCACGGACAGTGTAGTCCTTGCTGCCCTTGGCGTCGGCATACGTCCTCGTCTGGGCGGCGAAAGAGGGGAATCGAGCGGCGGCAGAGAGCTGGAAGGCAGAAGGACGAAGGGCGGCGGCCCTGGTAGAGGCGGCCAGGCGGGTGGCGGGACGGAGAAGTCGGGACATCTTGAATCGAGCTTCGGGGGGGGTTGCGTGGTTGCTGTGCGAATTGACTTTAGCGGCAGCCGCGGAATCTCGAGGGCAAGCACGAGATGGGAAGGAAGATGATGCGAATGATGGAATTGAAAGCCCCAAGGGTGGAACACAGACACCGGCCGACGACGAGAGGATGAAAGGTCCAAAGGGGGGTGGAGGGGGTCGGGTTGGATTGCGGAAGGGTAGAGGTCGAGACGAGAATGGAGCTGTCGAGGGAATTTCGGAGGCGGTCCTTCTCGCAGCGAGAGCAGCTTTTTTTGCTTAGCTTTCCGGGTCGTCCCCAACTTTTTCGACGCAGCGACAGTCCGTTGAATTGCAGCGGACCTCTCAGCGCCTGCACGCACCAGCTTCCAGCGCCTGGGCTGGCTTCGTTGGGGGAGACAGGGAGGCCGGGGGCCGCGATCTAGTCCTAATGAGGCAAGGCGCTATCCGATTCCCATCGTCTTATGTAAGGCGGGACACGGGCAATCCAACCGTCGACACCCGTTTGTCTCCGATTGCGCCCGTCGGTCTCCGCTCACTGTGTCAACATTGGCTGCCCTGGTTGGCCTGCCATGCACTCCTGCGCCCCCCTGAGCACAGCATCAGCAGCAAGTGCCTCACTACAGATACTGTTCTGGTGTGCATGTATGACACGAATGGGACGTGATCACGACGATTGAAATAAACACAACTGTTCAAACATGTATTGTCGAATCTATGATACAATGAAAAAATAGTCCAGAACCCCCTCTTTTTCTTTTGCGAGGCAGACGTGTGGGTTGGACATGAGATTAAACCATATAGTCAAGTGCGCCGAGCCTCTCGCTCACGCTGCTGCCCCTCATGTTTAATGCCACTTCCTTATGCATTATCATCATCAAAAAAAGCCCCAACTCCTGCTCCTTCGCTCGCATGGCGATGAGCTGATTTAGTTCTCAGGCTTCTTCGCAACCATGAGGTACATGGGCGTGAAGAGGTGCTTCTTGCCACCAGCGGCCAGGCAGTCGGCTGCCAGGCCCAGGCTGTCCGCCGTCTTCTTGGTGCCAGCAGGCGCCAGCTTGATCATCTCGAGCAAGCCAGCCGTGTTGTGCGCAATGAAGCGACCCCACTTGGTCATGCGAGCAATCGTGAAGAAGTCAAAGGCGTACTGGAGGTAGGACAGGTCGCCGGCCATGGGCCACCACCAGGGGTACTCATCGTCGCCCGCCGCGAGATCCTCGTTCATGATCATCTCGAAACCAGCCGCCTTCATGGCAGCAAGGGCCTCATCGACCTTGCACATGTTGGCGATGCCGTCGCCCTGCTCAATGCCGAGACGGATCTCGCGGTGCTCGAGGTTGTCATTGTCGTACTCATCAGTCATGAGCCACTCGTACACGCCAAAGACACCGCCAGGCTTCAGGACACGGAAGATCTCGCTGTAGATGCCCTCGAGGGTGGGGGCGTGCACCGTCGCCTCAATGGCGTAGACGGCGTCGAAGGAGTTGTCAGGGAACGACATTTGCTGAAGAAGAGACGACGTTAGCACCGACTGAAGAGGAAATCAAGTAAGAATGAAATCTCGGCTTACCATGAAGTCACCCTTGACAAAGTCGAGCTGGCCGGAAAGGCCCTCCTTCGCGGCGTAGTGCGTGGCGCGGTCGATCTGGTAGTCGTTGTTGTTCAGGCCGGTAATGTGAGCGCCAGTGAATTTGGCAATCTCACGAGCAGGGCCACCAACACCGCATCCGACGTCGAGAACCTTCATGCCGCGCTTAATGTTGATGCAGTGAGCGAGGTAGTGCTCGTGACGGGCGATGGCCTGGTAGAAAGGCTCGCCCTTGGTGAAGCGGCAGAAGTGGAAGGACTGGCCCCAGCCGTACTCGTACAGGTCGGTCGCCAGGTTGTAGTAGCTGCGCGGAAACAAGTGTCAGACGGTTGCTGGCATGTGCACATGAACAGGCGAATACTCACTGTCTTGTCAGAGTCGCGTACTCGGCTTGACGGGCCTTTCTTCTCGTTAGTCTTTTGAAATGCGCCTCAGGGGTCCGAGGTCTCGACATACGGCCCTCTGCTCAGGGGTCTCGTCCTTGGCCGCCTGGTTGTCCCAGTGCTTGAAGTACTCGTCGACAGCGGCCTTCTTCGCGTCGCTGCCCTTGCTGAACATGGCGGCGATACCGCCCTTGGCCTGCGCAGACTTGCCGTGGAGCGCCTTGTTGAAGTCGGCATCGCGCTTGTGGTCCTCGCGCTCGAGGTTGTCAATAGTGGAAGGGGCCATGTTGAAGGTGGGGGGGGTATCGGTGAAAGCGGCTTGCAATGGCAAGTGTGTTGAACTAGAAGGAGACAAGAAGAAATTGAGACGCGGCTTGAATGGAGGTGGAGGAGGGGCAAAGGGGGAGATGGCGTGGTGAACCTTATGAAGGGACAGAGCTTTTATTTGAGATTAATGCTCTAGTACTAGGCGGCGTACTCAAATTTCGGGGAGCCGACTCTCAGGAGCCAAACGGGAAAATGTTCCCACCCGCAGCCAATCTGCCAATCTGGCAGTGGTATGTACATGAAGGCCGTGATTGGCCAATTGCGGGGGGCGCCTGATCGCTTGGGCAGGCGGTGAGGAGACCGCCTGTTCGGACAACGAAAAGGGGTCCTGGCACTCTACCAACGCGAATACGAATTCGAATGGGGGCCCTTGGGCTTGGGTATTGGTTGCATGTGATGATTGTGGCTGGCCGCGACGGCGCGCGCGAGGAAACACTTCTGAGTCAGCAAGACTGGATGCGCTCTCACGTGCTCAGCACTGATTAGATAGCGATCTGCAGCAGCTTGAGGGGCGATGTCAGGAAGGCTGATCCAAGAATTTCCAATCCGCATCAGGCTGCCTCACTTCACCAGCCACCTCAGTGACCTCACTCACTCATGCTGGTCGCATCACACGCCACGACAGTACCCGAACACCCGCGCGCACCTTCATCCTACCGTTTCACCTCTTCATAACCGTTGAACACACACGCACGCCAACGACATGCCGCCGCAAATCAAGCAGGACCTCAACCGCTCTGGTTGGGAGTCTACTGACTTTCCGTCCGTATGCGAAAGCTGCCTTCCCGACAACCCATATGTTAAGATGCTGAAGGAAGACTACGGCGCCGAGTGCAAACTTGTAGGTCAATATGCTGTCTTGACCCTGCTATCCTATTTACTGACCCTGCCATCGCAGTGTACGAGGCCCTTTACCGTCTTCAGCTGGAGCGCCGACCGCGCCCATGGTCGCAAGAAGAGGACGAACATCTGCTTGACGTGCGCACGACTCAAGAACTGCTGCCAGACATGCATGCTCGATCTCTCTTTCGGCCTTCCAATCGTCGTCCGAGACGCCGCCCTGAAAATGGTGGCACCAGGTCCCTCCTCCGACATCAACAGGGAGTACTTTGCGCAAAATAACGAGCAAGCAATCGAAGAGGGCCGCGCTGGCGTCGAAGAGTATGAGAAGACCGACGAAAAGGCGCGCGAGCTCCTGCGCCGACTAGCGACAAGCAAGCCGTACTTCAGGAAGGGCAAGGCCATCGAGGGTGCGGACACCGAGGGCCAAGGGGGGTCATCTAGAGGAGGAGACCCTGCAGTAGGTGCCGGCGTGGGCGGTGCTGGTCCGATTCGCACCCGAGACTCAAGAGCCGCGGCTGCGGCAGGTGCCCGGCCTGGAGGCAGAGCGAAACAGGCGTTTCCCAGTGCTGCGCAGCTGCCCCCCGGCCCTCAGGACTGGATGCCTCCTCAAGATAAGAACATCATGTCGCTGTTCGTCACGGGTGTCGAGGACGACTTGCCAGAACACAAGATCAGGGAATTCTTCAAGGCACATGGCAAGATCAAGAGTCTGATCTGTTCACACATGTCGCATTGCGCCTTTGTCAACTACGAAACGCGCGAGGGTGCCGAGAGGGCAGCAGCAGAGTGTAAGGGGCGCGCCGTCATAGCAGGTTGCCCGCTCAGGGTGCGCTGGGGTGTGCCCAAGGCCATCGGCACCATGGACAAGGAGCAGCGTGGACAGATGCTCAGGGATGGTCGCCAGATACAGGGAGGGGCGCGAAAGGGAGGGCAGCGGGGTGGCCAGAAGCAGCTTACGGGCGGCGGAGGCGCAGACGAGGGCGAGGGCAGCCACGCAGCAATCGCGGCGCCTCCTCCCGGAGCCGACGACGGGCCCCAGTATGCCAGTCTGGCGGGCGAGTAATCGGATGGTACAAAAATTGTAATTAACCGGTCACGGCGGAGTTTGGAGTTTGAGCGCAGCATCGATGGCCAGGATTAGGCCACGTAGGGTCAGCTTCATGGCAGCAAGTGAGCTGAGAATTCATGGTATCGTTTTACAGGGTATCATCATCTGTTGTACAGCAGAACGGGAACCGAGTCCCTCCCTTTTTCTTCACAGGCCACCTTTCAGCCTTGGCAGCAGCCTCCGGAAGACTTGCCCTGCCCTGCAGTCTTGATTGAGTCGTTATCGCCCCTCTCTGTGTCCTTGTGAATCCGAAGCTCTGTGGTGTCGTCAGCATCAGCACAACCAGCAAACCATGCACCCAGTACTCACTGAAGCTGTCGTTGCCCTGCGGTTGACCCTGAACAAGGTTGTGCCTAAGGAATTTGGCCACCTCCTCGGCCTTCTCAATCATCGGTTGGATCGTGGGGTCGTTGGCGGGAAGCGTCGACTTCTTGCGGAAGTTGTCGCGGATCTGCTGCCGGGCCGCAGCGAGCACAGGAGCATCGCCTATGGTCAAATAGTCAGCAGGCGCCCCGCGAACTGTCCATTGGCTTTGTTCGTACCTTGGAAGGCAATGTTGGCGGCCCGCCACAGATTCCGATATGCTACGAGGGCCGTCATGTCTGCGATTTGGTCTGGACAGAGAGGTTCATAAACTTTTCGAAACTGATGGTACAACTCAGGTAGTAGACAGCCCGTGCCACGACCAAGACGATATGGTAAGCAATCACGTGATTCTGCTGGGTCCTCTGTGGCAAGGATTGATGATGCAGCAGAAAACACCTGCGGCTCTGGGATATTGGTTCGAAGAAGTATCCCATGTAACACGTCATAAAGGCTGTGATAGGTAAAAGCCAATCCACAGAATTAAGTACACGAACGATATCACAGTAGTTGCGGCGTAGTCACATTGAGCACAGGGCCCTGCCAGTAGGGAACATAATCCTAGTGATTTGGAGTGTTGCCAATGGTCGGTTAGCTCAGTTGGTTAGAGCGTGGTACTAATAATGCCAAGGTCATGAGTTCGACCCTCATACTGACCATTTCCTTTTGCCAGATCTCGATTGTGATCTCTATCTTTTGCTTGACATGATCGCAAAAATATGCTCTGACCAGAACGACAGGCTATGTTCATCTTAGCAGTGTATTAGATAGAGGGATGCGAGAGGCTCCAAGGTACTACACCTGTCGTTACTTATGGCATGGAGGTGTCTTTGGTCATTTAGTCGACTGTGGTCCAACAATAGCTGGATTCCACATGTTTGTGGGCGTCAAAAGCATCACTAGAAACTCACCAGGACCGTGTAGTATCTCATTCATCAAAAACCCATGTAATGATTCCAACCGAGCGCCTTCTTCGCATCACCGTGATGAGTGCAGTATGCACTTAGGCAGCCTGTGCCTTTAACGGGTGTCCCGCTCGACACCCCACTAAAATTTTCGAGAGGAAAACTTCCCCAAGCTCTGGACGGGAGGAGCCCTTCCCCGACCCAACCGCCAACCCACCACAACCATCATCCACAATGGCTACCGCAACTGTTGTCGCGCAGCCGCTGCCGGCCCTCGCCGAGGGCTGGACGGCTGAGAAGGACTTCCAGGCCATCGGCCAGCTGTCCGCCGCCACCCAGCGCACCATCGAGCCCGTCGGCCCTCACTTCCTGGCCCACGCCCGCCGCGCCCGCCACAAGCGTACCTTCTCTGAGGATGATCGCATCCAGGCTCAGGAGGCCGTCAAGAACGTCGAGTCTGAGGATCTCGGTGAGATCAGCGAGGCCGAGGACCCCATGGATCTCGCCCGCGACGCCAAGGACTGGAAGGTATGTCGTTACCGCGAGCAACGTCGGAAACTAACGAAAAAGAGTGCATATGCTGACATGGTGGACTACAGAACCAGGACCACTACCAGGTTCTCGGCCTTTCCAAGTACCGCTGGAAGGCCACAGAGGACCAGATCAAGCGTGCCCACCGCAAGAAGGTTCTCAAGCACCACCCCGACAAGAAGGCTGCGGCCGGTATCCAGGACGACGACAACTTCTTCAAGTGCCTTCAGAAGGCCAACGAGGTGCTGATGGACCCCATTAAGCGCCGCCAGTTCGACTCTGTCGACGAGAAGGCCGAGGTCGATCCCCCCACGAAGAAGCAGGTCGCCAAGGGCAACTACTACAAGCTGTGGAGCAACGTCTTCAAGGCCGAGGGTCGCTTCTCCAAGGAGCAGCCTGTGCCCACGTTCGGTGGCGAGAAGGCTACCCAAGAGGAGGTCGAGACTTTCTACAACTTCTGGTACAGCTTTGACAGCTGGCGCACGTTTGAGTACCTCGACGAGGATGTGCCTGACGACAACGAGAACCGTGACCAGAAGCGTCACGTGGAGCGCAAGAACGCCAACGCGCGCAAGAAGAAGAAGGTCGAGGACAACGCCCGCCTCCGCAAGCTGCTTGATGACGCTTCGGCTGGGGATGAGCGCATCAAGCGCTTCCGCCAGGAGGCCAACGCGGCCAAGAACAAGAAGAAGGCCGACAAGGAGGCTGCCGAGAAGAAGGCCATCGAGGACGCCAAGGCGAAGAAGGACGCCGAGGAGCAGGCTGTTCGTGATGCTGAGGCTACTGCCAAGGCTGACCGTGACTCGGCCAAGAAGAACAAGGAGGCGGCCAAGAACGCTGTCAAGAAGAACAAGCGTATCCTCAAGGGATCTGTCAAGGACGCCAACTACTTCGCGTCCGGCGAGCCCTCGGCTACTGACGTCGACCTTGTCCTTGGCGACGTTGACCTTGTCCAGGGCAAGATTGACGCTGACGAGATGGCCGCACTCGCTGGCAAGCTCAACGGTCTGACTGTCGCCGGTGAGATCAAGGGCGTGTGGAGTGCCGAGGTCAAGCGTCTTGTCGACGCTGGCAAGCTGAAGGAGGGTGAGGCGAAGACCCTTGTTTAAAGGGACGATACTTAATGAGTGACGTTAGAGGGGCTCATGAAGGGATCGACTTTAAGCGTGAGATGGACAAACTTTGTTGCTTAGCGAGGCCAGTAGCACCCGTAGACGCTGCAGACATGTATAGACGATGAGGTTCTACTCCCGTGCGATCCATGTGTGTCTCGAAGTCCCGTTTGGAGCCACCCCGAGACACGAACACATGGGGTTCCGGCCTGGTTAGTGTTGAAAGAAAAAGATTGAACCCCACTTTGAGCAAGACTATCCTCCAAGCCTGCTAGAAGTCGCTAGGTTGAGATGTGAGATAGGGGTAAAGCATTGAGTAACGTTCGTGTACAATATGGTATGTCAGTACTGCGCTGGGAGGGTTCATGACAAGGATTGCACACATCACCTCTCCGCCCTTTTCCAAAGTACATGCAAAGGTTTCTTTCCCAGCTTACTGCTTGAGCTGGGTGTCCTCGCCTTTGTGTATGATCCACTCGGTCCAGATGGACAGCCCGCTGTACGTCTCTTAGCTGGACCTTGGTGTGGTTAAGGGAGGACATGCCAGTAGATTTTCGCTGTATACCTACCTTAGGTATGTTTGCCATGGTTAAAGGGCCATCAGGGGAAGGGGGGCTTCATTCATGCGCCTGCCCGATATCAGAATGCGTGCTGGCCGAGCAAAACACTCGCCTGCCGTTTCACAAGGTAACCGGCACCTGCACTTGCACTTGCACCAGCATCCGCACAGGTGGCCGTACCTGCCTCATACTAAGGTCATACTCGACCCCCAGTCATGACCAGGCATCTTTTACCGCTTGTCCTTCTTTGAGGTCAACCTGTCATTCCTCAGATCCTGCCCGGCCCCCTGGTGCCATCGCACCTTCTTGTTGCTGGATACCCTGTGTCGGATTCGAGCCGTCGGCTTCAAGTTATCTGACATACAGATCAAGAGGAATCCTAAGGACCTCTCGTTTCCTTGAACACTCAACACTACCGTACCGATGCTCCGACATGATATTTCCACAGCCGTACATTCACTAAGCGAGCGCCCTTGCTAGTCCTACTTCATGAGTCTCCCATTCTTCAACTCGCACAATCAGGAAAGAAAAGACCTTTCGACAACCGTTGACACCCACAAATAAGTAGCACGGCATCCGCGGCTGCCAACCTCAAGGCAGTCTCTCCACAGTCTTTCCAACATGGCAGCCAACGATTCCCTGCAGAACACGTCTGTCCGAGATTCAGAGCAGGAGCAGAGACAGCAGTTAAACCAGCAAAGCCAACGCGAAAGTGGCACTGACTGGGCCGAGTACGATGCCAACGCTGCACCTCAGATCACCGTTGAACAGGCCCCGGAGGTCGTTCCCGGTCAGAGTTTGAAGGGCTTAGATGGTGCTGTCGATGTTGAAGCTGATATCCGCCCTCCTTCAGCCTCCGAAAACAAGCCCCCGGTTCCGGAGCACCTGCCCTGGAAGACACGTATTCTCAACAGTCGTCTCTGCTCATGGAAGCTTCTGCTTCCTCTCGTCGTCCTCTTACTTGTGGCCATTATCGTTCCGGTCGTTGTCTCGCAGAGGCGTGGCGATTCTCGCTCGATAGATGATGGCATACCTACCGGGGAGACCTCCTTCACCGCCACGCACGTTTCGCGGACGGACACGTCGTCAAGTCCGTTAGCCTCCAGGACGTCTACCTCCAGCCCAGTGAGTCCCACTACCAGCCTGGATCTTTCAAACATGAGCAGTTCCAGTGCCCATGCTGACGCGCTGGGGAATCAGATTGCCGAATGCAGGCCATCCGACTTCAGAACCGATGTCAACTGGATAGGGATTGCTGGCGAGGTCGGATGGAAGTTTAAACTCAGCGACGCCGATGATGCCGAGGACTGCTGTAAGCAGTGCTACCAGTCCACCAAAGAAGGCTGCAACGGGTGGCTGTTCATGCCAGGCAATGGGGACGAGTCCAGTGTGGTACCCCCTTGCAACATCATTCATGGATACCGAGGCCCTGATGAGGACGATGAGTGCCCCACCGGCAAGCCGGACATTGTCTTTGCGGGTGCCAGTGATAGCGAGGAGAACTTCGGGGGCGGCGGGCCTTGTGCTGGAGCCGTCAGGGGACGTCGTTAGCGAGGCACTTCGAGCCGGCGCGGGCTGCCGTTGTCCATCAAGGTACCATCCTGAACTTATGGCAAGGTGGTGAAGAGAGGCTTGCCAGGGGTTGGTTCAGACACGAGACAGGTGACAGGCGTTGCGTTGGTTATGGGACGGCAGCGCACAGGGACTGCTGCGATGAAGCACAACCGTGGCAAGAAACCGACATCAACTGCTTGCACCTCCTACGGTTAAAGCGAAACGAAAGGCACCAGCGCTGCATGTAATTTCATAGATACGAACGTTCGAGTCCTCGTCTTAAAGCGGTCACTTGAATACACTACACTTGATCTCAGTATGCGTGCTCTTCGTGCTAGGCACATGTACAAACGTGGTATATTAGACGGTGGAAATGCCGCCATATGCTGATACAAATTACAGTCGCGATCTCACATCTGTTGGTACAAGCAGCCCCCTCTATGCAAGGACACACTATCTCGACAACTTCTCGTCTGTACTGTATCACACCCAACATACTCCTTACCAAGGCAACACATCATAGATACCGTCATACACCTTGCCGACCCAGCCATGCGTCAGCCCTCCACGGGCAACGACGCCAAGCCCGCCAGCAGCCCACAGGGCGGCAACAGCAACAGCAGCCCCCTGCACCCCCCACCAGGCCCTGCGCCTCCTGCGCCGGACGCTCTTGTCCTCGACGCGCGGGCCGGCGCCGCGCCAGCCCATGGCCACGGGCGCGATCCCGGCCCAGCGCGCGGCGCCCCACACGGTGTGGCCGGCCGTCGCCGCAATGAGGGCGACGTAGGCGGTCCAGGAGACGACGGGGTGGCGGGCGAAGCCGTGGGCGACGTAGGCGAGGCCAATGTTGGAGCTGTCGCCCTCGACATAGAGGGGCAGCAGGCGGTTGACGCATGCGTGGGCCGCCACCAGGCCGGCGAGGACGTAGCCTGACGTGGCGATCCAGCTGAGGGGCGGCCAGATGCGCAGAGCCTGCGGCTTGCCGCGGGGGTTGCTGACGTGGTGGTGGCTGTGGCTGTGGCTGTGGGTGTTGCTGCTGCTGCTGCTGCTGTTGCCGTGCCGCGAGGGCGAGTTTGTGCGCGAGCGGGCGAGGGCGTACATGCCCGGCGTGCTGCCGCCGTAGCGCGCGAGGTTCTGGGAGCGGCGGATCAGGCGCAGGGCGAGGCCCGAGGCGATGTGGGCGGCTATGGGCAGGGTGACGAGGAGGGGCTCTGTGAGGGCGGTCTGGTAGAGCTCGCGGGCCTGGAGGAGGTAGGTCTCGGAGGCGGGGACGGAGTGAGTGATGAGAGGGATCAGGGAGGTGTTGGCGAGGTGGATGGTCGTGAAGACGGGGATCAAGTAGGACGAGTATTTCTGGATGCGGGTGACTGGGGGGGGTTGTTAGCATCAAAGTGGCGGAGGGGTTCAAGGCGCAAAGGCTAGGTCCATACGGTAGTAAATGGAGTTGTGGGAAGCATGGCTAGTGCTGCGGCTGAGGCCGAGAGGCGTTGGTGAGCCAGCTGTCGTGGGTTTTGTGTGCTCGGCATCGTCTTCAGGTGAGAACTGGAGATGCTTCTCGTCTTCGGCGTAAGGAGACTCTATGGGTGCTGGGTCGAGCTGGAGCAGGGACACGAGGGTCTCCTGCGATGCCTGCTCGTGGAGAGCGTACGCCATTGCGTGCGATGGCCTGGTGTCAGTCTCGGGCTGCTATCGACAGCGGTTGGAGAGAGCATGCGACGGACAATAATTCGATGTGGTTGATGGATCGCGTCGCACCTGACATTCGCCAGGCGTGCTATAGGCTCAGCGGTGCGCTGCGACCCACTTCGAGGTGTCGAGGCCGATGACGTCGAGCAGAGCCCCTGTACCCGGCTTTGAGGCCTGTGGAAACCCTGCGTCGCCCCTGGTCAAGCCCCCGAGGCTTCTGAAGCCCCTATAAGCACGCTGATGTTCGGGCACTGCATCGAACGCTAGGCAACCTCAAACTCAGTCCCTTTACGACATTTGAAATCATTCTCCATGAAGGGCTGCAGCAGACGACCTACCACCTCATCGGCATGTTTTCACGTGGCGGCTGTTAGAATATTTTGTTTCCATGCACGTCTTCCAAGACTTCACTCCATGGTTTTTGTCACGGGGGAACTGCACACAAATTGTGCTGCTTCATGATATACAACTACTAGTTGCCTATGGGCTCCTCTACCACCAGTTTCCGTCGGCTGATACAATAACAATGGTGACCCAGATAGGCTGAAGACAGAGCTGCTCAGACTTTATACTTGATCGATCAGACATGGCTTGACATGCCAACTTTCCTTCAATCAAGGATGGCCCAATTCAGACTTGAGCTCCCAGCCTCCTGGTTGTGTTCGACTTCTGTAGTATAGCACATTCCTTGCCACAGACTCTCCAGACAACGATTCGAATTGTCGAGAAGCCACTCAAGGCCGGCCTTGAAACAGAGGGGCTCAGTTAAAGCGGCAAAGACGCTAGCCCCATCTGTCCGTCGTCACAAGCAGCCGCCGTCCAAAAGATCCAAAGAAGTGCCCGTCAGAGCTATTTGGCCTGTCCAAAGCCTGTCCAAAATCTCCGGTTCGCATTGTCTACCTAGGTCGTTCTTCGTTGGTCGAGTCAAGGCAGGGCGACTGCCAACCTGCTGCCTAGCTCGAGTCCCTCTGCTTGCCGCCTTGGTCTCGTCGTGGCCGACAGCTTGCGTGGCCTCCCATCGCAACCCATCGCCGAAGGTCCCGAATCCGTACTATTCTCAATTCTTGCCAAGGGACAACGCCCCGAGACGACCAAGTCATGGACGTCGATCCGTCTACGGGGCCCGAGGACCCGAATCTCCGCAGAGCGGTATGTCTCTGAATCAGCCGGGCCATGGCGTGCCGTGTTCCGCCAACCCCGCCGGCGGCCGTCCACGGACCGGCTTTTCTGCCTGTTATGTGTTGTGACAGTTGGCTAACGCGGCGTGGATTGAAATAGTGTGATCAATGTAGGATACGTAAAGTGAGGTCCCCGTCCTATCCCCTCGCACTTTTTTTCTTTATGCACCCTGGCCAGCTTGCCACGACCAACACCTCACCATCTGACTGGATGTGCACGCGAGCATGAGGCTGATGAGAGGCAGATTCGCTGTGACAAGGGCACGCCATGCTCCAACTGCCGGACGGCTCTGCGGTCATGTAGCTCCATCGGCGTTACACATAAACCCAGAGAGCAACGGCAGCGTGTGCTCATCTCTCATCAATAGTCAGTCCACCTTTGGAATTTTACACACGTTTCATTTCATCTCGCCATCCCGCAGGTACTCATTCATGCATCTTAATCTTGACACGCCGCTCTAGTGAGAGGAAAATCGACCTCATCGAGGAGAGGCTGTCCGGTATCGAGGACGCCCTACGCACAATCGCCAATAGTGGTCTCGCCTCCGAGGCCAACCACTCGAGGCGCACCACGACAACGACACCAAGCGTTCCAGCGTCGGCTCCGCTGGGCGATGTTCAAGCCTTCGCGCACGAAGAGCCGGACGACGACGACGATGAGACGGAAGCCTTCGAGGGTGACCTCTCGCTGACGGCGCACACGGTCTTCGCCCGCGACTTTCTCGAGAACGCCGTCCAGAGGACCTCCCTGAGCGACGTGACGCCCAACATGCAGTCCGCCCTGCTGACCCTGCGCCAGATGGTCTCGATGCAGAACGAGTCGTCGTCCATCCGCGAGCTCAAGTTCCCCAACCAGCAACCCCTGCCGCCCGGCGGTCTACCAGAGCTGCCGATGCCCCCCATGGCCGCCGTCGTGTCGCTGCTGAAGCACCAGAAAGGTCTGTTCGCCCCGTCTCGGCACCCTGCGCGTACTCCGAGGCCTTCAGAGCCGGAAAGAAAAGTCAGCGCTAAAACGTCATGGTAGCGGCCCCGCCCAGCATCTTCGCCATAGCCTGCTCCTTCCTCGACATCGACGATCTCTCGGAGCTCTGCCGCAAGGTCTATTTCTGCACCGACACCTTTTCTCACCCGTGCTTCGTCATCGTCGTAGGCTCCTTGTACTACCTCTTCATGGAGCAGAGCTTCCTGGCCAAGGGCAACGCGTCGAGGGCTGAGTTTCAGCTGTACCAGCGCATGTGCCAGGTGAATCTCGAGACCGCCCTCGCAAGCCTGCCGCTCATGCTGCCCGCCAAGACCGAGAGCATCGAGGCCCTGCTCGTTGCCGTGAGTGCTATTCCTCTGAGAGAGAGAGAGAAACCCCGTCCGATTTCGTATGCCGAAAGACGCTGACGCCCTGGCAGACCCTGTACTCCATAGACGTGTCCAAGACGTCGCTCGCGTGGCACTTTGTCTCGACGGCGGCGACCTTGTGCCAGACGCTGGGCTACCACCGGGCGTCCCGCGTCAAGCCCGAGCCCCACGCCAGCGGCAAGGACGTCAAGACGCTGCTCTTCTGGCACACGTACATGCTCGACAAGAGCCTCGCGCTGCGCACGGGGCGGTCGTCAGCCATCCAGGACTGGGACATAACGCTGCCGCGGACGGTCGACAGCACCATGGTGGAGGACCCGTGGGGCGCCATCATCACGACGTGGATCCGCGAAGCAGAGATGCACCACCGTGTCTACGAGCACCTCTACAGCCCGACCGCCCTTGCCCGACCACGGCACGAGCGCATCGAGGCCGCACGCCGCCTCGAGGCCGACCAGAAGGACATCATGGCGGCGGCGTCGCAGGCGCGCGAGCAGGCCATGTTCGGGTTCAAGGCCCTCAACGCCTCGGCCCTCATCGACATTCACCTGCGCGGCGACGAGCTGACACACCAGTCCACGTTGACGCTGATCTACCGCGCCATTCCCGCGCCCGAGGGCTCGCCCAGCCGCTTCACGCAGGAGTGCATTGAGACGGCGCGCTTCGCCATGCAGATCCACCACGAGTGCATGGCGCAGCTTGACGAGGCGCAGCACATGAAGGCTGTCTATGTGCACTGGTATGTCATGATAGCCTCGGTACCGCGATTGGCGTGGTCCGCCCTCTCGCGGCTTGCATCGAGTGATCAATTTCCAAACTGAATCGAGCTAACACGCCGCAGGGCCATCCTCCTGACGCCCTTTGCGCCCTTCTTCGTCCTCTTCTGCCACGTCATCGAAACCTCCTCGGCAGAAGATCTCAAGAGGCTCTATGAGTTTGCCGACTCGCTCGGCGGCCCGTCGCCCATTTCGGAACCGGTGCAAAAGCTGCATCGGCTCTGCCAGGCGCTGTACAACGTGGCCCTGACCTACGTTGAAGCCAAGGCGCAGCAGCCCGCGGCTAATCAGGCGCCCATCAACGAGGAGTTTGACATGTACCTGAGCGCGCTGGGCTTCCCTCCCAACGAACTGCTGGCGCCGGGCACCGGAGTCGAGGCCGGCGCGGCGGCGCAGACAGCGGTACAGTCGGAGCAGCTGGCTAACTGGTTCTCTGGAAACCAACAGATGATGGGCTTGCTGGAAGAGGATCTCTCGCAGTTCGGGCCAACGGGGTGGATCGAGTAAATGGGTTGGTTTTGCGATGTGCTCCGGTAGATGAGAGCGTCCATCCTGGTTGGATTTGTATCCTAAAAAGGGACGTGGCGAGCCACAAAACACTGTCAATCGGAGTGAAGCAAAGCGGTTGCTCAGTCGGTGGGATATCGCGGGTCATAGTGGTCGTAATCTTCGTCGTCGGTATCGCTCTCCAGCAGGCCGGGTCTCTCCTCGGCCAATCCCTTGTCCTCAACTGACGGTAGAGGCGGCCTCACAACGTCAGTCTTGGAGGTTTCCACGGCAGCAGGGGCGGAAGGCGTCTCGGCCGCTGGCGCGAATGCTGACTTGAAGCCCGACTTCTTGAAGCCGCCCTTCTTGAAGCCACCACCACCGCCGCCACCGCCGCCACCGGGGGCAGCGCCGCCGGCCGGCGTCTTGATGGCAATAATGCCATCAGCCTTAGCTTCGGCCTTGCGAGCGCGAGCGCCGGCGTTGGGGTCGCGGACCATGGCTTTCATGTCCTTCAGGCGCTGCTTGTGACTGTGATCGTAGCTCGAGAGGTGGGCTTCGTAGTCATTCATGCGTGAGTAGCCCTTGGAGCAAAGGCTGCAGTAGAATGACTGCAGAGCTTCCCGTGCGGACGAGGTGGCCGCGGGCGGCAGGGTTTGATGGCGCTGGAGGGGAAGTACATGTTAGGGATTTGGATCCGAAAAGGCAGGCGGGTAGACAAACCGGAGGCATTTTGCGGGATCAAGTGATGTTGTATGTGTGTTGACGTGTGCAAAAATGGGTGTGCGGAGGCCAAGAGAGGTGGTTTCCCGAACGGAATCGGTGATGCTGGTGGGCGGCTGCAAGGCGGAGATGTCGTGGAAATGGTGAGGATGTTGTTTTGCGATGAGGACGAGGCTGCGATTTGAGGAATCGCAGGTGGAGCTTTCATGATGCACCCAAAACTTCGGCCCCTAGTCGCTGTAAGGGTACAGTTACAGGGGTCAAAGTTCCTCCCCAGCGCACTGGCTGCGGGGGATCTGGTGGATGTCGGACTTGGGATGGAACATTCATCAGCACCTGGTCCACCTTGGCCGCCTCACCGCCTTGGCCTCGACCAACTCGTCAGCTTAAACAGCTTACTATCTCAGAGCTCAAGCTCTCCACCGAGCCTCTCTATGAATTCGAGTCGCGAACCATCTGCTGAGAACTTTTTTATTCGCCTCAGCTCTTCATCTCTGGCTGCAACCATTCCGTGAGCATGCCGAACAAGCGGCAGCGGCCGCAAGACGACCTCTATGATGCCTCCTCCCATCCCAAGCGCCAACGTGTAGCAAGCTCACCCACCTCCCGCCGCTCTGCTCCTGATCTCCTCTCCGCCCTCTCCGACGAGGTAGCCATCCGAATTCTCTCATTTCTCCCCATAGCGACCCTCGTCGACGTCGCCCTCGTCTCGCGCCACCTCTCCCGGCTTGCGTCAGACTCCCAGCTGTGGCGTGCCCTATACTACTCGCGTTTCGTCCTCCCACGCGCCCTGCGAATACCCGGCTTCCGCGATGGACCCAGGAAGAGCGCCAGCAGGCTGCACTATTCTGCACGCCGCGCCGTCTGGGCCGACGGCGGCATCGGCAAACGAGGCGGTCTCGTGGACGTGCGAAGTACCGGCGGTTCCGGCCCAGACGTCCACGCCGACTGGAAGCGGCAGTACAAGCTGAGGCACAATTGGGCGCGCGGCAAGGCCACCGTGGAAGAGCTGGACGTGGGAGACACGAGCATGTCGAAGAAGACCCTGGCCAAGGTCGTGGAAGGAGTTGCCATGACAGCAGATGCCGCTGCTGGGCTGCGGGCTTGGGATCTCAAGACGAAGGGCCTGATTGCGCACGTGGGTCTGCTCGACGACGACGGAGGGCGTTCTGAGCCGACTTGCATGGCGATTGACGACCAGTCTCTGGATAAGCAAAAGCTGGACATTTGTCTTGGGTTCGGCGATGGTAGCTTTGGCGTCTGGAGACTGGACCTTGCCGACAACAAGCTCGAGCGCCGACATAGGCATGCCAAATCCAGCAACGGCGCTTTGGTCGGATTGGCGTACCGATATCCCTTCCTGCTTACCGCCACAGACTCTGTCCTCATATCTCTCTACGACTACGAGCGGCGGCCAGCTACCAAGTCCGATGACCCGAGGCATCGCCGTGTGCGCAAGCTCGACGTCCAATACGACTCAGATGAAGAGGACGAGGAGAAGCCAAAAGATGCAACCCTTGAAGACCGAACATCACTGCCGGCCCCGATCCTCATGACATCGCTCAAGTCACATACCTCGAGGGCACCACTCGCACTCTCCATACGCACCATGGCGGGGTCAGTGGTAGCCTCGATCGCATACACCTTTGCGACGCTGTCTGGGTGGTCTATCGGCGTCCAAGACCTTCACGTTCGTCACAGCCGCACAGGCGAATCCGAGGTCACATCGACGCGCCTGGCCTACACCACCCCCGTCACAACGGCATCAGGTTATGCGACGCCTCCTGTAACACCATCTCGGACTTCGGAGAGCGCGAGGTCTTCTGGAAACCGCTTTTTGTCTCCAGACATACCTGTGTTTGCCTCGCCAGGAGATGGGCCGACGTCTCTTCGCTACACACACCCCTACCTCTTGGCTACCCTGCCCGACAACACCCTGATACTCCACGTCTGCACCTCAACGGCCACAGCCCTCTCTGTGTCCCCAGGCCTCCGCTTGTGGGGCCACACCTCCGGCATCAGTGACGTCGAGATCACGGCGCGCGGCAAGGCTGTCAGTGTCAGCTCCCGGGGCGAAGAGATCCGCGTCTGGGAGCTCGAGGGCCGGGCAAACGCGAAGAGTATCGAAGTCCGTTCGCAGCTGCAACAAGCAGAAGACAGCAACACGGGCGATGCTTCACGAGATGAGTGGGATGACCGACGCAACTGGGTTGGATTTGACGACGAGATGGTCATTGTGCTGAAAGAATCCCGTGACGGGCGGGAAAGTCTCATGGTGTACGACTTTACTTGAGCGACGCCTTGATCAGAGTGCCTTCTTCCACGCTGGCAGGAACCTCATACGAGAGGATTATTTGGGAAAAAGAACAAAATTGAGTCGCGTCGAATCTGACGCAAGTCAGCCACATCTCCATGGCAGTCCTGATCACAGGCGAACCCGTGCAGGCACGAGTCCGACCGCTACCGAACCAGTCCCTGCAGGCGGTGGGTGTGCCCAGGTTTGACCGAGGTTTGCCTCATGCTTGTCAAGTATTTGCCAGCGCAATGTAAAACTTTGGGCGTGTTGTCGTTGTTTCTAGCCTCTATTGCGCCACAGCCACCTTCGCGCCCCCCGAACCCCCACAAAGGAATACTCAACAAGGAGATAATGCAAGGGGTGGATGAGCCTAAATGATGCTTAGATCCCACCAGGGGCAACGCATGTCTCATATAATGACGACCATAGCAGACGAAGAGCATAGGGGAAGTCAGGCTGGGGCCGCCGTCATTGGCTCAAGCATCTAAAAATTGTGGAAATACGAAGGCTCTCGGGTGACAGCCGAGAACCCCGAGAATACATTGAGGCCGAGTTCTCGGGATCGCAGCCGAACCTCGCGAGTCGCCGCGATATTCGTGTCGTGTCTGATGCAGGATTGAAGAGGCTGGCGGGGCGTGGACAGCTTTGGGAACTGAGACGCGTATATGTACCGAGATCGATCGCCAGCCTGTCTGTACAGTTTGTTCCCCTCTTCACATCTCGAACACAGCAAAACCACCAGAGCCTACGGCTTAGATCATCTTCAACTTTGCTTCTCCACCGCGAACACCATTCCTCGTCCTACCTATCGCAGAATTGAGATTCTTGGAAATCGCAATCATGGTCAACGTTGCCGCTTTTTTCGAGCCTCATCTCAAGCTCCGCCTCCATGTTGCTGAAACAGTCCTGATCATCATCGCCCTCATCCTGACGGGCATCTACATCTCCATGATCTCCTTTCTCACCCGCTCCGAGATTATGATTATCCCCTTCGTAAGCTTCCATCCGCCGCTCTTTTTCATCAAGTCAAACAAAATGCTAACGAGGCCATCTCTCCCCCTCCTACAGAGCGTAAAGTCCCTGATCATCATCGGCTACCAGCTCCTCTCCCAGCACACAACCCGTTACCGCAAGTGGGAGAGCCTCAAGGCCAACATGATCCTCAACTTTATCGAGCCCGTCTTCTGGCTTGTCGTCATCATCCTCAAGGGCATGGGCATGTCGAGGTCTTGCACCGGCGGCAGCTGCGGCGTCAGCGTTGCCGTCATGCTCGTCGCCCTGGTCATCTTGTGAGTATTGCTTGCCCCAGCCTTACCGCCTGCATCCTACCCACCCTACAGGGGGAAGGTCAAGTGAACCTTTATCTAATGCCTTTTGTCACTAGTGCATTGACGATTTTGGTGGCCGGCATCTCGTACCTCGACCACAAGCATTTCAAGCGCACGGGTGTGCCAAGGGGCAGCCCCTCGGGCTTTGCACAGGAGCAGCAGCATCAGCCGTCAGCTCACAACTACGGATACGGCCAGGGACAGAAGTAAAGGAGAGCGCATGAGGGTATTTCAGTAGTTATTCCAACAACAGGGGATGATAGACTTGCGGCTCAGGTCGCTCTCCCGCCCGACAGGCAAACGTCGCCGCTAGGCAGGAACGATGAGAAACGACCGGCATGAATGAAACTATGGGTGCTGGATTAGGCATCATCCGACAGGGCATGGAGCTGCATCCTGGGTAGAGTGGTGCGTGTGTAGACTGTACACCTGGGAGCACTCACTTGGCCCCAAAAGTCACGACGTACCGACCGTGTCGAAACACGGTGCACACGGAACGGTTCCTGCGATTGGGGCGAGCGATTTTGATGAAGATGCCAATATAGATGCATCATGATGAAAGAAAGACAATTTGATCAACAGTGCTTCGCGTGAATAGGCGTCTTCGAATGCATATGTTTCCGCCCCGTCCCCGCTGTGACGTGCCTCTTGGATGGAGCCACGAGGCGTGCTGCAGATCAGGGGCTGAGAAATCAGGCCCTGGCATCATTCTTGTTAGTCCGCGGTGGCATTGTTCTGCGCCCGATTATACGTGGCCACTGACAAGAACGCCCGGCTGCCAAGGTTGTCTGTTGGCTACGGGGGTCCAGGGAGCTGTCGGGCAATATCTCCCCACTCAGAAATGCAGGTTGAGGCCGCGGCCGACTGCCAATTGGCAAATCGGAGCGGCAATCAGCCATGATCCTACGCATATTGCTACTCGTCGGTGTCCGGTTGTTAACTCGAAGGTAACCAGGTATTCTGTAGCCCAACCGACGCACCGAGAATGTCATATGACGGCCGTAGTATAAGGCAAGGGAGTCAAAGTAGCATGATGTACACTCTAGTGGCTTCAAATGTGCTCACATTGCAAACCACATGAGAACATCAATCACTTCCCGATACCCTGAATACAGGACGCTGGGATCCGTTTCAAATCCTGCTGATCATCTTACGACTGCTTTACTACCTCACCATTGCTTTCGAATGCTTTTATCACGCAAATCACGGCATCGAAAGCCACCCGGCGGATGCAATCGAAGATCCAGCGTAATGGAAAATTATTGCAAGTACGTAGATGTTGTTGAGCTTAGGTGACCGCTATTGCGCGGCAAGATCGAGCGGAAAACAGAAGGCAATCACTTGCGGATGTAAGAGGCGCCGATGCGTGTCACTCAGTCTGTTGTTCGCAGCAGCCAGTAGCCAGCAGTCGGCCAGCCACCGATCTCAGCTCGCAATGCGGCTAAAACTCTTCCTGATCAATTCTGTTTGTCCGAGGGAGGGCTGATCGGGTGTCAATACTTGTTGAGGAGCCGGCGAGGGCCAAACGAAGGCCGGCGGGGCCCGATGGAGGGGTTGAGCATTAATCAAGATAACGCAAGCGACACGAGCGATAGGAGGAGCGTCGCGGGGTAATTCCAGTGGATCAATGCGCGCGGGTCAACGTGCCCCTCCCTCGTCGCGTCGTGGTCCCCCCTCAACCCCTCCTTTCCTGTCGCTGATACGCACGCAAGTGAGCATTTTCGCCGAACAGAATAGAGGCGGTGAAATGGCGATGAGGGTCCTACTAATATCTAGCTGCCTTAATTAGGCGCCCGAGGGGTGATGCGAGCGACACGGTGATGGAGGGCCTGCTGTCCTCGGCATGAATAGATCCCAAGGGGGTTCAATGGGGTCCATCACAGGCCGGGCCAGGCCAGACCAGACTAGGGACGGAGACAGACGGAGGAGGGCCAAAATGTGAAAGGGTATGCACAACACCTTCCACAGACGATGAAGGCGTGAAGATTGATGCGCCGGCTCCACGGACCCTCTCCTCTCCCTCTCGTTTCTCCTTTTGTCAAAGTCGGCACAGACGATAAGTATCGGATGGTATTATAGAAGCCACCCGGTTTTAATCGGTGCACGGGACGTTGGCAATCGGTGTCTCGGATTATGGTTGTCGAGTGACTGGCCCAGCGTCGTCATGGCCGTCACGAGAGACGGCTGGCGGCGGGGCACATTCGTTCAGATGACAGACGAGGCACAACACGGGCCGCGCCACACCCAGCAGCGGCAAGTTGACGAAGCCGCCCTATCACCGACAGTGAGGGTTGTAAGGAAGGAAGGGTAAGGGAAAGAATGCTTGCAGAGTCATTCTTCATGTTGTAAGTGGAGGAGGGGACACCACCACCATCACCACCACTACCACACACCACTAACCCCGACAGCAGGGTCATGTGCGCTTCCTTGATGACACCGGAGATGGAGAGGGCGTGCCCCGATCAAATTGTCGCCAGTCCTTGTAGGTGAAGACGAAGCAAGGTAGGACAGGGCAGGACAGGAAAGGACAGGGTGCTCATGACCCAACCCTGATTCGGTGAACTGGAATGCGAGATTCGATGTGAGCAAGCCGTGCTGGGCATACAGTACAGTAGGGCGGTTGGCGGCAATTGGTCAATCGACGTAGAGTGAAAATCAAACTCAAGGCAGCACACAGGCCTGCGTGGCCTCAAGCTATGTGCAGCCTTGAATGCCTCGAATTCGGAACAGCAAACGGGCTGATTATCAGTGTCTAGGGCAATCGCACCAGGCAGCCAAAGGTCAACACCGACACTGCCCAGGGTAGCAAGGTTGATCGTCAGGGCGTCCAGAATAAGTAGCACGCCCCTGCACTGAATCGTGGTGGTTCAATGGTTTAACTGCACCTGGACGCCTGGATCCAGAAGTAAGTGCGTTTTTTGCTAGGGCATACTGTCGAGGCTTGAGGCTTTGACCCGGTGGCTGCAGGTGGAACCAACACTGCAGCCTGGATCTGGAGCACAGGATGACGGAGGCTCGCATTTGATCGCGATGAATTCGCGCGCCCATCGTTTCTGCCTGGACTGTGGGAGTAGCACGCGTAGGAACTCGAGTTCGAAACAATTAGCCTCTCGGAAGGTTCGGGATACCAAGCTTTAAGACCCGTGGGTCGGGGCACTGTGCTTAGTGCTGAAAGGAGCTGTCAGCAGTTGCATTTACCTGGCATTCAGGTGTTCCCGTCTCGTTTGGTCAACTAGGGGGCGTGGAGGGTCGTCTGTACAGCCTTTCCATGTACAGGTGGGTAAAGCCCGACAAGTCCGATGACTGTACTAAGAGTTGGAGAGTTAGTCCCGGCTGTTGGGGGTTGGATTTGTCAGTTTCCGAATGCTCCGACTCCGACACGGTCGGCACGCTGACGAGATCCTTGGAGTTCGGCGCGCTCTGTACCTAGCAAGGTAGAGGCAAGTCGCAGGTGGCCATGTTAGGTTGGAGGTGCAAATGGCGGAAATTCTATCACCATAACGGGAAAAACGGGGACAGGTGAATCAGGCTCCAACACGTGCGCTGGAAGGCCAAGGCAACAGCACCCGCTGGTAGGCGCGTACCGATACCTCCTGCCTAGCTAAGCTACATCGTGCCTTCTGCACCAGTGGTGACGTCTTATCGATAGAATGATGGCGATCATGCCTAGCCCGACCTAGCAAGGCGCCTGGGCGTTGTCCGATGCAAATGTGCAATGGGAAGGGCCAATCGACTTTCGAAATTCGACCTCTTCTCATGCTCGGTACTTGTGTGACTCACTCGTCGACTCATCATTATCCACCTCAACTCTTCCTGTGTGCCCTTTACCCTTCTTCTGAACCTCCACCTGAATTCGATAGCCCGACTGCTTGCGCTCTCTCACCGCAAGACATGTCGTACGAATCGGCCTCGTCTGGCGTCTCCATCCATGGCACCAGCGCAAGAGTCATGCCGTCAATGAAAACCCGCACTCCGTGATGACGATGTTCTCCTCTACGCCGCCAGGCAGGTACTTGACTTGAACAGCGGCCAGGAACTCCACAGGCAGCGACATCAGCTTTTGCAGCGAACACATCAAGCGGTCAGACCAATTCACCACCCCTTCCACCACACCCAATTGCACCCCCTCCCTTATTCAATTGGGGCTGATAGGCATCCTTCTGGGGGACCAGAGCCATTGGTCAATTCATCACGTTTTGTCCCCCTTCTGTTGTCACATGCGCGTGCCTGGATCTGGCCACTGCGCATGGCTCAGGTCTGGCGAACCTCCACCAGAGGGCTCAATGGGCCGTCAATGGCCACGCTATGTCTTTCACCATCCTGACACCCCATTGGATATTTTCCTGTTGTCGATGAAGAGGGCTCCCTCCCTTAGGGACAAGAAACCGGCTTTCTGCCGTTTCACAATGGCCCACAGCCCTGCTCGAGGTTGGAGCGACCGCTGTGGTTGATGTCGCCCTCTTTCTCTCGCAAACTGCCTCCCATGCTCCAGCAGGCGAGATGCGAAGGCTATCTATCTTGCAAGCTGATGTCGGTAGAAATATAACACCCACCGACACGAGGCAACAGAACACGCCGAGCAACCTTTCCCGTTCTTCCATTCCATTCGCTCGGAGCCTGCTCCTGACAGTGCGAGCTTGTCTCGCACCAAATGACGAACCCCTTCAAGCTAAGTGCGAGCCGACTTGCACGTCAAGAACACTACCTCATCTATAATCGATACCGTCCCAATCACCAATCTACCTTACCAGAGACTACCTCTCGAGTTGCTCCTTACTTCGGTTGACCGCCTTGCCCATTGGGGCGAGCCTACGACATACCTTATTCTTTATTCTTTTTAGAGGGCGCATGCCGTGCTCACAAGAATCGCTCGCGTCGCCCTTCAGTAGCTCCATAGATGACTAGCATTCACACATGTCGATCTAGCCAGACCGCCTCGTTCTCCACAACTCGCGTCATTTTGGACCCTAACTTTCAGAGGGGCTCCGAGGAGTTCCTTTGCGTTTCAAAGCAAGAGGCGACTTAACAAGACCAACGACAGGTAAAGTACCGCAGGTAATGTATGGATGCCCAAAACAACTTCGCACGACCATCAGTCGAGGGCAGACATGCAGACGTGCAGACTCACCAAGTGGTTCCAACCCCCCCTCAGACAGCACACGCAACATGACAATAGTCGAAGTAGAATCAGCCCCCATCTGACGTTTGCTAACCATGCCATCAGAAACATCCAACTTCAGAGACAGCATGTCACTTGTCCGTGGCGAGTTGGCACCCCTCCGTCTGATTGCACATCCTCACCCCCTCTCCCCCGCTCTCGGATGGGCCACACCTCCAGCAGCCTACTTGTTCACCACTTTGCTAAAGGTGGTCAATATCGTTCGGGCGGGTGGGCGCCAACATGCCTCTTCAACCATTGGGTGTTTCTGACAACTCTGCCAACGTTGCCAACTGCTTCAGAGCGATGGCTTGTCGCATTGACCCCTCACATTCATATGCCATCGCAACTTCGCCAACCGACAACTTGCTCGAGCGTTGGCAGCACGCGCATACATTGGTAGGTGGCAGAAGGTTGCTTAACTACAGTACCTTACAAGGTAGGGTGGAATTGAGGTGAGGACAAATGCTTGCCCCCATGCGAAAGAGGGTGGCCACCTGCTCGTGGGTCCAAGGCACCCGGGGTACTTCTGGCGCCAGGGTACATGGGGTACATCAGGCCCCAACGACTTGGCACCGACGGCCCCAGAATAGGGCACAGGCGGCGGCGGCAGCAGCAGGAACCACTCACCTCCCCGGCCTCTCCTTCTACCGCAGCCTGCCTGGGGGACGGGAACGCTCCCCTCGCTGCCTGCCTGATCGAGGTGTGCAGAGCGCCTCCATCAATTAAGAAAAAGGCAGGAATGACCAAGCATACAACAATGCAAGCATATTGTTGCGACTGCGTATTTTGCAGCAGTGTTCTGGCGTGCAAATCCTCCGTCTGGCTCACACTTCATGTCTCCCTCCTCTTTTCGCCCCTTCATCGGAAGACGGGTGTCAGAGAGCACACCGGATCATCTGGTGTGGCTGGGTCTCACTGGCTGAACGCGAATCTTCGTGGGGGTGGCCCTAAAACCCTTGCCGAAACGGGCGTCCTGGAGAGGGGCAGTAGGGGGTTCAAGGAGGGGGCGTGCGGCTTCTGGAAGCAAGGGGTGGGGCGTGATCAGAGGAGGTTCGAAGGGGTGGGAGGATTGGGGGCGTGACTCCGCCTCCCACGAAGCCGTCAAGTTGACAATGCCCACGACTTTGGGCCACCTTGACCGCGTCCCTTTGCCGCCGTTGCCTGTGCCTCTCCTGCTGTCGCTCTCTTTTGGCCTCTGCGGGAGGGGGTCCTCAGTGTCTGTCCAGGCTGGCATTGGGAGCCTTCTGCGGTGGTCCCAGTCCAGTCATCACAAACATCCAGGGCCTCACCAGTACTTCCTTCGTACACTTCCTTCTCCTTTCTTCCCATGCTTTCCTTCTCTCCTCTTCTTCTGTTCCACCTCTTCCGTCCACCCTCTTGACCTGTTGCTCATCACGTCTTACCGTTTCACACCAGCACCAACGCTGCAACAGAGGTACGCTACAAGACCACAAGACAACCGGAAGATTACGCTCGGGTTTCGTCATAAGTTACCCTTCTTCCTGATACATTGCATCGAAACGATCCATTGTTCTGTTCAGTGAAAGAACGCATTGGCCTCGCCTTATACCGCTAATCCGCTCTGTTTGTCCTTCCATTAAGAAGATCAGAAAGCATTGAGAGAGTCTCAAGGCGGTGCCTAGAATCTTACCCCTCCTCTCCTACTCAACTTGACCATCTATCCCAACGCCTGCTGTTCTCTTTGACGATTCCATTCCGTTAATGGTGCCGGCAATCAATTGCACACACCAGTACTTCTTTCACTCAATTGGTCTCTCATCGAAAAACGACCTTGCGTGCAGGGGATCATAGGCCGCAACGACGCTTTCCCACCTTCATCGCGACTTGGGCTCTCGCCCGACCGCCGCCGCTCATCCATCCATCCATCCATCAATTGAGCGCAGGGAAACGAAATCCGTCAATCAGACTCCTCTCATCTGACTTGGTGTCAGCTTTGCCTGGGAATATCAACCATTCTTCTCGCTTACGCCGGCTACGTATTTCTGGTTCGGTCGCAGGCCCTCCCATCTCCGATATCTCCATCGTTGTCGGTCGGCTTCTGTCGCCCAACTCCGCCTCACTGCATCTCGCCACCCACCACTTGCGACCAATACAAACAGTCATCAACAACCCCCCAACAGCTGACAAACACTCATCCAGACCTCTACAACTCATCACGCACCTTCTTTACCTTTCGGAGGTTGTTTTACCCACAGCGATATCTTTCGTTGGATCCCCCCCTTTCCAATTCATTTTCCCGTTTCACACTTCCTCGATTTACACTCCTCGCTCTCAACATCGCCTCCCCATCGTCACCATGAGCAGCGCGCACCAACACACTTCCGCGGCATTGACCGCCGATGCCCTTAAGAAGGGCTTCGATTTCACCAGTCTCATGTCGCCACCCGATCCGACTCCTCTCGACAGCTTCAATCACTCTGCGCAGGTCAGCCCAATGGCTACGCCTGCGCAGGAAGCTACCGGAGATGCACTCAGGATGCCCATGTCGCCACCAGTCTCGCCACTCACGAAAGCCGCAAACAACAATGCTGCCGCAGCTGCCGCAAGCCATACCGAAAAGGATCCCATTCTTTTCCCTCGCGACGACCTGTCTTTGAGCCCACCTCAGCAGCCTCTCTTCCCTGCACATGAGACTGCCTCTCACCGGCGCCTCGTCGATGAGCACATCGCTTCCAGAGACACGACCACTTTCCGCCGTTCTCCACCACCCAGACGTGAGGAATACGAATTGGTTCTACAATTCAGATCGAAGGTCATTGAGATGTACAGCAAGGATCCCCAAGGTTGGCTGAAGAGGGAGAAGAAACAGTTGGTGCTCGACAGGAAAACGAGCCAGAACAGGGCAGACAAACGATACATTGCTCTAGCTCCGGCCAAGTCGACCAAGCTGTCCGCCAAAGTGTCTGCCACAAAGACCGTGAGGACTCCTGCTGCCAAGCCCGACCGTGTCGTCAAGCCCGCTCATGGCCCCCGGCCGGCCCCCGCTGTCGCCAGGGCTCGCCCAACCAACCCGACACCCAAGAAGACTCGGGTCACGAGCGCCACACCGGAACCTAGCCGTCGCATCGTCGCACCCAATCGTGAGGATCGCGACTTCGCATCCTTGCCTGATCTCTGTCCGCCACTCTCGTCTCTTCCCGACAAGACCAACAGTCTGAAGGTGGATTGGAAGGGCACCGCGGTCGATCTCTCCAATGACCCCAATGCTCACCACCTTCACCCCGATGAGGTGACATTGGCAGCAGCACTGCGACTCGACTGCGCTACATACCTCACCAGCAAGCGTCGGATCTTCATCCGTCGCCTCGAATGCGCCAGAATTCAGAAGGAGTTCCGCAAGACGGATGCTCAGCAAGCCTGCAAGATTGACGTCAACAAGGCATCCAAACTCTGGACAGCATTCGATAAGGTTGGCTGGCTGGACATCAAGTGGATGGCGCCCTTTGCCTCCTCGATGTAAACCGGCTACTCTTCAGCAGCAGCAAGGTGGATGATCCGGTATACTCTGCCGGTTGCCATCTCCTCTCTACAAGCACACGGATTCATTTTTTAACCGTTTCACGACTCGAATCTTACGTTCAATGATTGGTTTTGCATTCAGCGACAACGGGACCTGCCTGTTTCTTTTCCTTATTCGACCCGCTCCATATTTCAGGGCTCTGCAGCCCGATATGTGGTGTTCGAGGTCATGGTCTTTTCTCCTCTCTTTTGTCACAAGCTGCCAGGTCAGGCAGTGGTTCATTCGGCACCACATGACGATATGGTCACGTCCAGCATTAGGGATTCTCATCACCATGATACCCGGAGTGTGCGACATACATCTGATTCCCCAGTCTTGTCACCCCCCTCACTCCATTTTTCATTTCCTTATTTTTCTTCACTTGTTGGTTGTTTGGGCATATGGAATATGGTTTTCTCGGACATACCCCGCTTTTCTGTGGCTTGGGAAGTGAGCGAGATGCATGTTTTTGGCGTTTGATAGCCTCGAGAAGAGATTGCGGCCTGCAGCCGAAGAAATATACATCCGAAGGAGGGTTTGATTTCCAGGGTCCTTGGAAAGGCTTTTTATTGTTTGTAGCTGCAGGAACTATTTCTCTCGAGGTATTCAACATGATTCTCGAGGGAGAACGGAAGTTGAAGAGTCGGCGGCAATCAGTCGCCAATTCATTCGATCAACACTGAATCTATGCAATTGTAACCCATACCCATGCCAATGATTGTCCCGAGCCTCTTCATTCAACCGGACATGCAGTCTGAGTAAGTTGCCAGGATGCTCGTATCGTACCAGATTAAAATGCACCGTCGATCCGATCCGTGGCTGGGCGGGTAGAAGAGCAGCAAGCCCCCCCGGCTGACAGCGCGCTCCTTTCCCAGTGCAGTAACGAGCGCAACCCCCATTCCAACGTTCGGGGCCACTGGGACGAGTGCCCCCTTCGCTTTCGCAGCGCGAGTGCCCACCCCGCCCTTTGCCCCAAAAAGGCACAGGTTCAGCCCTATGATCGCCGACACCCCCCTCCTCAAGCGGTGTCGCATCGCAGCGCCAGGCACCGCATGGGCCATGCCATGCGGGTGCCATGTGGACCGTCTGGGATTTTCCTCTTCCTTCGGCAATGGGCGTTTTTGGTCCATGATTCTTTTCTCTTAGTGTTCTTCGACTTGACGCGGCGCGAGGAACAAACCCACAACAGTGTCTGAGGTGAAGCATTGCAAGCGCCAAAACCCATTGCCTTCATTTCGTCCAACGGATCATTCACGCGAATCAATGCTGTTGCTGATGTTCTGCGTGGTATGTCTAGTCGAAGCGAGCCAACCACACCGTCCAACGGGTGCCAACTGGTCCTTAGAGTTTGTTCCTGGTCCAGAGAAACTGCGATCGAGACAGACTTTGTTGTGAGAAGTCAAACAAGTCGGGTTGTTTGCAGAAAGGTACTGGCGGATATTTGCTGGTCTTGTGCCAAGTAAGCCCCCCGAGTGGGTTCAATTGCCAACCACCGTTCGCTGGGCTAATATCAGTGCCTGATGCGTGAGGCCATCACGAATTTTTAAGCTTACGGGCACCATTTTAGCCCGCATTCGAGGCGTTTTCTTGCCGACTCGGGCGCCCAGGGTTTCATGCACTGCAACGGACAGGCCTTATCTGGAAAAAAGGGGAGTGGGGTGTGCGGAATCTGCGACAATGTGACGGGTGGGAGGTCTGACAGTTCCTTTTCCATTATCATTATGAATCATGATCCAAGTGTTTATTTTCCTCGTTACGCTAATCCAACATCAAGAGCACTATTTCTTTAGACCTCTAGAGACCGGCTTGCAAGGTATATCCTCCGTCGACGGCCACGTTCTGGCCGTTGAGGTACTGATTCGTGGCGAAGAAGAGGATGGCACCCGCCATGTCCTCATCCTTGCCGGGACGCGCCGCAGGCACCTTGGCCTCGTACTTCTCCTTGGGGATCTGGCTCTTTTGGGCGTCGTCGGCGCTGTCGCCAGTCGTCATTTCGCTGGGGAAGACGCCGGGCGCCAGACTGTTGACGCGGACCTTGACGCTGTTCTGGGAGAGTTCGTGCGCCAGCATGCGGCTGACATGAATGGCGGCAGCCTTGGAGGCGTTGTAGGCAAAGTGGTGTTGGGACTTTTGGATCATACCGCTGATGCTGGTAATGTTGATGATGGTGCTCGACCAGCCGGGGTGCGTCTCGGTCGACTTCTCCAGCAGCGGCAGCAGTGACGTCGACAGGAAGTAGCCGGAGGGCACGTTTGTCTGGTACGACGATAGCCAGTCTTCAAAGCCAGCGGCCTTGTCATCGAAGAGCTTGCTCTTCATCTCTTTGCCCGAGTCGGCCTCAACTTCGAACGAGTTGGAACTAATGCCGGCATTGTTGACGAGGATGCAGATGCACTTTTCGCGCGTTTCAAGCTCCTTGACTAGCTCCTTGATGCTCTCCTTGTCCGAGACATCGGCGCGGATGCCAATGATTTCGCCGCGGATATTTTGGCCGTAGGTCTTGACGACGTTGTCGAGCTTCTCCTGGGTGCGGCCGGTGATGTACACCTTGGCGCCGTTGGCGGACAGTGCTTGCGTGGCCATGAGGCCGATGCCCGTGCCGCCGCCTGTGACGAGCGCGACCTTTTCGGACAGGTCGAAGAGATGCTCGCGCGTGAAGAGCTTGTTGCCCTCGGGGCCGGCGGTCTTCGCTGATGACATTGTCCGCTGTTGCTGGGATGATGTGGGCTTAGGGGCGAGCACAGTGGTAGATGTAGCTTTCGTGGATGCTCGGAAGTGGGTGATTCTGGTCGATGGTGGTTCTGGGGAGCACTGGGCGCTGGTAAATAAGGTACGCTGAGCTTTGGAGCAGACGGCCAAGGTACGAAGAGTTGAGAAATGGAACATGTTTATCAATGAGACGTTCTAGAGAAATGGTACATATGTGTTTATATCCGCTACTGGCAGCCTCCCAAGACGGAAGTGGGCGGATTGACCTGTTCATGATGATGACGGCTTTTAGCGGGCATGTGCAGAGAGAACTAGAATCGAGACGTCCTCATGACGACAGCGCTCTGGATCGAACCTTCCCACGGCAGGAGAGACGCGCTTGAGATGACGAGGCGTTGGCGTTTGGGACCAGGAGCGATTGGCACACAACGCATCCACTGTCCATTGCCCCTTCTTTGCTGCTTCTGGCCGGGATTAGCCCTGATCAGCTACCCTGATTGGTACATCGGGCAGGGACATCGCCCGTGTCGGAGGGAAAGGTCCGACTCCCCAGTTCCATTGATTCTGCAATGATCTAACCATCACGCTGTCCGCATCGCACATCGAGCATTGGCATCGACAAATAGCCCCCGCGCTGGCGGCGGTCTCCAGTCAATTCATTCATCTGAGCTAGGTATCGTCAGTAGCTCCATGCCAGTGCCTAGCAAAGCGCCCCATCCCTTCCCCCCTAGATCATACACGGACGGCTCGAAGCGACGTCACGAATGGTCTCAGCAATATTCCTACATGAGCAGATAGGACAAAGTCATGGCAAAAACGGTCCCCCGTCCTTCTTTTTGGCGTCTCAACCTCACCGCACGTTGATGTGCTGAATAGCATCGCGCCACTTCTTTTCGTCCGTCCTGCCAATTCGTCAGTAATGGGCACCAACCTCAAAGCGCTCATCAGCGGGTCCTGGTACTCACTTGTTGAATTGCAGAATCCTCCCCAGGACCGGCACCAGCTGTTCTCTCAACCTGTTGTCCTTTTGCTCCAAAAACTGCAGCAGAATCGTCTTCAGGTACATGTTGTCGGCGCCGCCAGGCCCCGCAGCTCCATTGGCCCCTGACCGTGACGAATCCATCGAGCTGCGCTCCGAGCTGAGACTGGACCCGAGTTTGGTCTGTGCCGTCTTGAGGTCCTTGGACACCTTTTCGAAACGCTGCCTTGACTCCTCCAACAGCCTTCGGAGGTCCGTCTTCTGCTTCTCCGCTTCCCGCACCTGCTGCTCTGATGCGTCTAGGGCTGATTGTAGATCTGAAACGGCCGACCGCATCTCTGTCAGCTCTGCCTCAGTCTTCTCCTCGACGCCTTCAAGCTCTTCGCGTCGTCGCCTCCAGTCGCGTTCCCTCGTCTCCAGTTCGTCCTTTTCGATGGCCAGACTCTTGACCTCGCGCTCTAGTTCGCGGATCTTCTGCTTCTGCTCCTCCGTCTCGCGTGACTTGCGACGCGCCAGTGTGCTCGACTCGTCTTCGATTCTGTCCCGCTCTTCGATGGCCGCCTCCATGCGCGATCGCATCTCGCGCACTTTGCTGTCTGCGCGCCCGTCCACGTCGGCCAGCATGCCGCGCATGCGCTCCGCTTCGCGAGAGCGTTCGGATAGGTGCTTCTGAATCTCGGCTAGCTCTTCCTCCAACGCTTCCGACTGCGACCGTGACTCCTTGAGCTGGGTCGATAACTCAGCCGTCTGGTCGCGCATGCTGCCCAGGAGGCTCTGTGCGTTGGTGTATTGCTGTGTCTTGAGGGCTGCTTCATTCTGTAGCGACTTCTTCTCCGACTGCAGCTTCTCGACCTCTTCCTCAAGCTCCTTCACAAGCGGCCTCAACTTGCTGGCCTCGGCCTTGATTTCCTGTAGCTCGCGAGTCGCTTTTTCCTCTCGGGCACTGATCTCTACCTTCTCGGCCTCAGATCGGCGTAGGTCTCGCCCGGCCACACGCTGTGCATCCTCGAGACGAACTCGACTGTTTGATTCCGCATTGAGCTTCTCTCGCAGTGACTTGATGTCTGATTCACGCTCTGTTGTCAACCGCTGTGCCTTAGCCAGTTCGGTCTTGGCATCCTTCTCTCGCTTCTCAACGTTGCGGAGCTCGCTTATCTTAGTCGCCAGCTCTTCCTTGGTCGTCTTGAGAGCAGCCGAGTCCTGTCGAAGAGCCTTCATCTCCGGCTGAGCCTTTTGCAACACCTCACGCAGGTCTGTCAGGTCTTTGTAGCGGGTCTGTGCAAGCTGCTCCGCGGCGCTCAGATCTGACTGCAGAGTTGTTGATTTGATCTTGAGGTTGTCGTACTCCTTGCGCAGACCATCAAACTCGCTCTGCAGCTTGACCTGGGCCTCGGCATCGTGCGTCGCTGATCCAATCTCCCTTTCGAGCTCCTCGATTCTGGCCTGGAGTGTGGCCTTCTCCTCCTCGAGCTCCTTGATCCTCTGCTTAGACTCGACGTGACCTTGTCCGATGTCAGTTAACTCGTCTCGGAGCGTCTCAATCTCTTCGGTGAGATCCTCCTCCGTCTTGCGCTGCTTCGAGAGACGCTCGATCTGTGCGTCACGCAGCGTGACCTCGTCCTTGAGACGTGCAATCTCCGCCTCCAACTCGGCAGAACTGGTGCTTGGGTCCTCGGCCGCAGCCGCGACAGCTGCAGTGGGTTCTGTGGTTTCGGTGACAGGCTCGCTTGTAGATTCGACTACTGCCGAGCCTGCTGCTGCGCCACCCTTCTTCTTCTTCTTGTTCTTCTTCTTTGACGCTGCGGAGGCGGTCGTAGGCGCGGCAGCCGGCACGGCTGTTGGAGCGGCAGGAGCAGCAGGCGTAGCAGGGGCCGGCGCTTTCGCGGTTACTTGTGCGGCCTGAGCGTGCTTCTTGGTGAGCTCGGCAATCTTGGCTACATCCTGTGCCTTGAGCTTCTTCAAGTCGTCGATCGACTCGGTGAGGTTCTTGATCTTCTTTTCTGACTCAGTCTTGGACTTGGCAAGTTTTTCAACCTCGGCATGCTCCTTGTCGGCACGTTTGACAGCTTCAGTGGCTTTTGTCTGTGACTCTTTGGAGGATGCACGCAGTGAGTCGAGCTCCTTCGACAGGCTGGTCTTGGTCTCCTCTAGCTGGGCCTGTGTCGCTTTCAGCTTTTTGTTAAGGGAGGAGATTTCAGAGTCTCTGGCTTCCAGCTGGGTCTTGAGTGTAGCAGTGACAGCGGCTGAGTCGCGGAGCTCGCCGGCTTCACGGGTGGACTTTTCGAGGTTTTGAACGAGCTCAGAGCTGGACTCTTTGGCAACAGCGAGCTCTTGCTTCAGCAAGGTCACCTCGGCATTGAGCTTCTCGATCTCTTCGGTCTTGGCGTTGACGTCGGCTTGCATCTGAGGAACCTCGTCGTCGTAGGAAAAGAAGTCTCCCCCATCAGTTTCGGCGGGCTTGTCGTCTTCGAGAGCCTGAGGCTTCTGCTTGGGGGAGAAGATGCCGAGGACGGACTGCACGGGGGACTTGACTGACGAAGGATTGCTCGTCGGGTCGGATGCGGCGTCGGGCTCCTTGCTTTCAGTCTGGGGTTTGACTGGGCCGTCTGTGGCGTGACTGTTGGCCTTGAGAGTGGCGACCTCGTCTTTCAGCTCGGCCAGCTCCCTCTCGGTCGCCTGATGTTTCTTCTTCATCTCGTCCTTCTCAATCGAGACCTTTTTGTACTCTTCCATGATGAGCTGCTCCTTCTGCTTCAGGGAGTCGAGGTATTCAACAAGAGCTTCAGGCTCCTTAATCGACGTGACGCTCGTATGTTCCTTCAGAGCTCGCTCGAAAGGTTCGATCGAAGTGGCGCGGCTGTGGGCGATTCTGTACGACCGCAGAAGCTCTGCTCACGAGTCAGCATGGGAAGGGACCGTATATCGAGGAAGATCGGATAGCCGTGTGTTGGGGGTCGTCTCTTACCAGGATAGGTCTTCTCGAGCTTCTCCAGTTTGCGCAGCTTGCTACGGATCTCCGGGCTCAGCTCCTGCGGCGCATCGGCCTGGCCCGCGCCATCAGACCTGTCCTTCTCCTTGTCCCCGTTGGACTGCTGCTGCGCGGCGCCGAGCTCTTCGACGCCTTCTGTCTTTTCGTCGGCCGTCATGCCGGGCGGTTTGGGCGTCGATGCGCGGCTGGCCTCCTCGCCGTCGTCGAGGATAAAAGCAGCTTCGAAGACGGCCGGGTCTGGGTTCGCGGGGGCGTCAGCGGGCAGGTCGGGAACGGGCTTCTGAGACCGGTTGCGCTGCTTCGCCGTGGAGCCGCCGCCGCGGGAGGTGGAGGGGGTGCGCTGGACCGGGGGCTGGTCAGGCTTTTGGCGAGCTTGCTCTTCGGCGATCGTGCGGTCGATCGAGGCTTTGAGTCGCTGGGACGGTTGGTCAGTCTGCGTCTGCTCAGGCGCGAGGCTCGTGAATTGGGGAAAGAGAGGCAGGGAGAGGGAGAGATAGAGAGTTGAACAGGCGTACCTGGAACATGGTGATGTCCGGCGCAGGGGTTCGTTCAGCTCAGAAGCTTGACACCATGCGCGGGTCGAGATGGGCTGGTCGATGGGTGTTGAAGAATAGTGTTTTTGGTATCTAGAGACTATGCATCGTCCTCTGTATCTCTTCGAAATTTTTCGGGGCCGTACGGAAGAGGCCGACACAATGGTGGTCGTTGTGTTGGGCGGCTTGCTCCTTGAGGACAAGGAATCCCTTTTGTTGAAGCAATGGAAGACCAGGCTGTTCGCTGTTGGCCGTCGCACCAGACACCCTGGGGGAGCACGGACGACCAAAGCTTGGACGCGTGCGGCGCTGGTGCTGCTGATGGGGGTGCCTGGGAGCGGCTGTGGCAGTGCAGACCTTTTTTAGAACCAAGTGTGGCTTTACAGCTGGACCCTGATCGCCCAGAGCACTTGATATCTCAGACGAAGAAGCAGCTGATTTTGTGTTCAGGAATGTACTTTTTTCATTCGTCAAGGGAATTGTTCTCATCTGTCTTAGAGAGTAGGTAGACGTCGCACATGGGCGCTTTTTGGCCTGTTTAGCCCTTCTTTCCCTTTCGCTTGCGGGTGCCTGATGCCGTGTGTTTTCCAGACGCTTGGCCGTCGGGGCCAACCTCGTCCTTGCCAACTTGCACCATCTCGGGCGTCTCCTCCTCGCTGTCCTCCTCCTCCTTGAATTCCTCGCCCGCCGTGACCTCGCTCGTGGTTACCTTTGACCTGAGCACCTCATCGACGATGCGCTTGCCCTCGTCCACCTCGCCATTCGCGGCTCCGCAGGACATGCATTTCCACATGCCCAGCTCTGCCAGAGACTTGGTTCCCGGAGGCGCCTGGCCGTTGACGAGTCGACAGTTGCGGCAGATGAGCACCACACGGTTCTTGGGCGCCGTCTCGTCCTCGCCAAGAAGCAGGTCCATAATACGGTCATACCAGTGCGACGAGTCGGTCGTGAGCTCGGCCTGCTGGGCATAGTGCTGCGGCGGCTGCTGGGTGTAGGCGTTGGGCGCAAACTCGGCCGACGGCTCGAGGCCGGTAAGCGGCGCCGACGCACCCGACTGCGAATCGCCGTGACCAGACTGGTGCGTGCCGGAGGTCGCCACGCCCACGGGTCCGTTGCGGCGCTGAATGTTGGCCGTCGGGGGAGGAGGCAACGCAGTGCGACCAGATCTGTTGCCGTGTTGGCCCTGCTGCTGCTGCTCGTTTTGCTGCTTGGATCCGGGGTTCTGCTGGTTGCTGTCCGCCTTTTTGCCATCCTTGTCCGTCTTGTTTTCGCCGCCGTATTTCTCCAGAAGCTGCATGGTCGAGTCGTACTTGGTCGCGTCCTTGAGCTTCTGGATCGTCTTGGCGCGCTCGTCCTGCTGCTCTTTGAGGCGCACCGAGAGCCTCTCGATCCGAAAGTTGAAGTAGAGTGTGACGACCGTTCTCGTCAGGAAGATGCTGCGCGGAGGGGAGATCCATTTGTTAGCAGCGCTCACGCAGTCTACCTGGGCGCAGACTCTTCTAGGCGAAGAGGGGGGGGACCCTTACACGACCGGACCTCCTGCAACGCCCGCCCACTCGTGGGTGCGCATGTTGTTGGTGCCCACGACCAGGATTTGGACAATCGCATAGATCAGGTAGCCGAAGGAGAGGTAGAGCGTCCACAGCACCCGCACACGGCGGGACGTGGCGCGGGCACGCTCGAGGCGCGCCTGGGAGTCGGCAGTCTTGGTGGACAGAGCCGAGAGGGCTTTTTCGAACGAAGCCGGGGAGGAGTCATCGCCCTGGTGGCAGGTCAGTCATGAACGTGGGAGAAGTGCCCATCGAGTTGGAAGACGTACCCTCCAGGGCCAGAAGGACACCATGACGATGGATTTTCGACGGTGCAGTCTATCTCAAGAGCGACGGGGGCGGGCTGGCTAGCAGCGGACGTGTGGATATTTGTCCAGACCGAACAAGTGTCGCGCAGCGAGGGCCCCTCTTGTACAGCTACGTGGCCTCGCCAGTCGTTGTTGATGGGGAGGGCGAAGTCGTCTGCCTGCTTGACCGTCACAAAAGAGCTGCCACTTTGTCGCTGCCTGTGCAGCTCCCCAGCTTCCACCAGCTCCAGCTCCGGCTCCCGGATTCCAAAAACCCAGCTAGCTCAGCATGACACGTGCGTTTTTCCCAATGACGCACCTGCCTTGTATCCACTGTAGCGTACCATAAGGTAGGTGCAGTGGGGCGCCGTGTCTGGTTCCAGCGGCAGGCATACCCTCACGCCCTTTCTTACACGGACAGGAAGGAAGGTGCAGAACCATATCAGCCTGCCCGATCAAAACAGACATGATGATAAAACACTGCTGGCTCAGCCGTCGCCATGGATCGTACCGCTTCTAGAGTGCGATTCTCCGACCACATCGCCATTCAAACTTTCGAAGTGGAAGATCCTCACCCGAAGCGTAGGAAAACATGCGCAGGTACAATGGCCACGACTTTCAAGAAATTCGAGGGTGCCGAGGTCACGGAGACTATGCTGGAGGAGGCGGCCAAGTTATTTAGCGAGCACTATGGTATTTGGGGCAAGAACGGGTTTGGAAAACCAGGTAAGACAACGTGGTGATTCACGCCTCCACTACTGACAGCTGAGAAGGTAGCCGAGTCAAGATGAGCCCTGCTCGTCTTCGATCTCAATGTCTCCCAGACGGCTCGAGAAGCTCTTGTATGCAGGTAACTATCGATGGAGCCCTGGTTGGCAATGCTTTTGCCTGCCGCTGGAAACATGCGGGACGTCAGGTATGCTGGGTCACTCAGCTGGTTGTTCACAGCGACTATCGGCAACGACAGATAGCAACCACGCTGCTACTGCACATGATCGACCCTGAGGACGATGCGCTCGGTATCATGAGTTCCCACCCAGCGGCGTGCAAAGCTCTTGCCAAAGCTGTCGGAGGTACGTTGGCGCCGTCCATGATTTTTTTTTTTTTTTTGGATCGGTACTAATCAAACGCGTTAGACATCCGCTTTGCCGACGTCGCCTTGGATTTTGCCCAAGCTCATGCAGCCGGTGTGATGGCAGCCTCGCCAATCGAATATATCCAAGCAGCGAAGCTTCGCGGTTCTCTGTTCGATTCATGTAACACCGATGACATGGTATCATGTGTTGATTCCGGATTTTACGTTGACCACGACGAGCCTCTCCAAGCACTTGCATGGTTCAAGGCAAATGGCACTTGGCCTCTCGGTGATTTGCCTGATGGTCATGAATTCTTTTTCTTGGTGGAAAGATCGGCGCGAAGACGTCCACGGCCTACTTCGACACAGCGCGGAAAGGGGAGTAAGGAATGAACCGAGGCTTTCCTCAAATCCAGGCCTTGAGTCCATATTTAAAGCATTGTATGCTACATCCTTCGCCCGATCGGGTCACAGACATAGGTACCAAGACCAGGTATCAGACATGATTTCACAAGCTTCCACATACGTCCACTTAACCGCTGTTAATCACCTATGACGTAGCTAAGCCAGCTCAAGTGCAACAGAATCACTCCGCAAGTGAACACTGCGTTCTCTCCCGGATTGTATGTTGCGTTTGACCGCCCAGTAATACCCCGCCTGTCGAGATGGGTATGTGCGCGCCAAAGCCACGTATAACCGCACATGTCCAAGCTTGTCAACCACGTCGAGGCACGACAAACCACTACATATATTGAGCAGCTGACCAAGGCATTCCCTCGCCTCACTCAACCTTCACTCTTACCTAAGCCCGCCCTGGACGCGGCATAATGTGCTCTCTGCATCCGAGCCTAATGCACAGTACTAAAGTCCAACCGGATATGTCGATGTGAGCCCTGGGCTGGACTGTCTATCCTTTGACTATGAAAGGTGCTGGACCGACTGGTTTGTTTTCCAGGCGAACAGTGCAACGGTTGTCCCCCACTTTCTCGTCTACTACTGCAATGTGTTTGATCTCCTTGAAATAAATCGATATTGGTGTTATTGGGGGTGACCAAATACATGTAAAATCACTGAATATGAACAGGCCTTGTGTATCCACGTAAACCTCGCGGCTGGGTACGCTGTAGACCTGATTCGACCCCAAAGTAATACCTCGTCCCTGTCAAGTAACCTCCTGAAGACAACCTGAAGACAACTCGGTAGTCTGTCACTGTCGTTTCTCAATTCCGACATCAGCGCTCTTACTTCTCCGTCGAATTTCTATCGTAACCGCTGGGTTGACGCCAATGGAAGTCTCGAACGCCTGTGGCTGAAGCTTGGTAAGCCCCTCCTCAGCGCGCAGGTCGTACTCCAGAAGAAACTGAGCCAAAATGATTTTCATCTCATTCACGGCGAAGAATCGACCGGGACAAGCGTGTCGGCCATGGCCGAAAAGGGTATGCTCAGAGCTTGTCGATGCCAACTGCGAAGCGTTCTCGCTGCCTTGACCCTGTCGCATGGGAACAAACCTCATTGCATCAAACTCATCCGGGTTGGGATACTTCTCCGGGTTCCTGAAGTCTGTCAGGACATTAATACGGACGCCCTTTGGTAGAAACCTCCCGTCAGAGAGCGTTATGTCTTTCTCCACCAGACGATTCATGGCTGCTGTAAACGTGTTAGAAGCAGTTCCAGTGCCCATGCGTAGCACCTACTTGAGACCAGAGGAGTAAACCGCTGGCTTTCCTTGAAAAAGCTGTCCATGAGTTTGAGCTTGTAGAAGCTTGTTTTTGCCCAGCCTTCATCACCCAACACCTCGATCACTTCATCTCGTAGCTTTTGCACAAGCTCTGGGCGCTCGCAGAGATCCAGAATGGCTTGTGTGAGAACTTCCGTGGTCGTGTGAACAGCGGCAAGCGTAAGTTGCATCTGTGCGCAAACAAAGTCGACGGGCCGGCCGGCAGCGACTTGATACATCCAGCCAATGGCGTCAGATATCTTGCTCGGTTTGGCGCCAGACTGCAGAGCATCATCCACTAGCTTTTTCCGCTTCTTCACTTCGGGGTCGATGAGCTTGCGCGCGCTCTGAACCGCCTGGCGGCTCCTTCGACATTGCGGGATGAGCCAGTACGCAATAGGACGCAGGAGGCTTGGGGCCATTCGCATCAGATAGGTTGCGGTCAAGGCGTCGACGGCATAGCTCTTGGCGATCCTGAGCCACTCCTCATTTCTGCACAGCTCTTCGCCGAGAAAGACCCTTGATGACAGGCGAGCGACAAGGTTGAGGATGGCATCCTTGAGCAGTACGCTTGTCCACGCTGTGCTGTCCCCAAAGATGTGGGGCATGGAAACATTGGTCTCGTCCACCAGATCTCCGGTGATCAAGCCCAAAGATTGCGTCAGCTTGGTTCGCACCGTATCTGAGATAACGCCGTCATCGCGGGTCCCCTCCAAGAATGGCTCAAATCCGTGGTACTCGGTGAAAAAGTCCTGATAATTCGGTCAGTACGCGGCATCTCGAGAACTCGAAGGCGAGCCATCAGACCTGAACGAAAGCTTTATTCAGACTCAGGAAAGGGTGGTTTCGTAGTTCATGCGCATATTTGTTTGGAAGGATGAGTTTCGGCCCCGTGCCACTCATAATCTGGAAAGGTCCATCGTACTATAGAGGCTAGTCAGCCCAATGATCATTGATAAGGAAACTAAGATATTCCGGCACCTCTTGCTCTGCCTCTTCCACAAGCTTCCTTCCGTCAAGCAGCCAGCTCTCTCTGGCACTTTTACCTGGAATAGAAGCCATCGGATACCCCACGAGCGGCCTTTCTTTGCTCATGGTCCGGTAGGCAAAGACTGCGAATAACGAAAAGGCTGTGAACAAAGCATAAAGTGGGACTTTTTGTGATGCCATGTTGGCTCCCCAGCTGCCGAATTCTGATTCTGACATCTTGTCAGACAAATTGAACATCGTTGTCAGGTGCTACTTTTCCGCGGTGTAGACGAATGATGAGGATTGATGAGCTCGCAACAGAGGTCTGCTTTCTAACATTATCTTGAAGCATGGCTGTGCTGACAGATAAATGGTATACCAAAACCTTCGCCTGAGTCAATTGACAACACTCAAGCGTCGCTGATGCCATACATCCCGGAAGATGTTCTCAGACACGGCTCGTACCCATGTCGGCCGTGTCTTGGTGTTCATTCGATCCTGGCTCATGTGAGCTGTTATCTGTCTGTTTCTCCGAGGTGATCGCAAGATATGTCTTATCGGACCGGGAGTGCCCATCACTGCATGGAAAGACGGGAAGCAATACCTGCTGTACGTACAGCACATTCGGCCCGGCTTGTTGCCACATTCAGCTGGGCCTTCTTGCTTCTCAAGTCGAGACGGAGGTCGTCAGTCTCCATATCCCTCGTCATCAGGAAGAACCTATTCTGACTAGGGTACTGTTAGTGACCAGAGGAGACTGCTGGTGCTTCCTACCACAGAAGAGGACGAATGAACAAGCACTGATCGAACCACATTTTTTTTGACCTGATCGAGTTCGGTTCAGTATGACTTGAGCAGACAATGATGATGGAGCAAGAGTTCTGTCTAGTTGCCCACAACGAGTTCCAAATTCCCTGCGAGCACTACGTGAAGATCTACAAAGCCTGCTTTTTGAGCTCGGTATCAACAATAGCGTCCTTATGGCTCTTTGTCGCAAGCAGCCGCTCTCGTACCAGCCACCCCATACCGACAGTGACGCCAGGCCCGAAGAGACAGAGGGCTGCCGCGATGCAGACGAGAAGAGTCGGCCAGCTCCATTGCACGATCTCAGCTCGCTTCAGGTCCGAAAACAAGTAGAGAAGCCAAACAAGCAATACTGCAAAAATAGCATGTATCTCAAATAAGCGAATGGGCTGAGCCCATCCTCCGAGTTCTGTCATGAGGATCATGTCAGAGGATTGCGAGAGGACCTGTGATGTTAGAGTACCGATGAGCGCCAGTACTCTTGCGACAAACGCGAACAAGGCAAATGTATAGATTGTCAAGCCAATCGAAGACAAATCGCCATCTGGGGCCCGGATCTTGTCCTCGTCCATGACATCTTCCAGGAACAAGTGCTTGAGTCCATTCTGTAGTATAGAGATGGAGAAAGGGAAGTACTGGAACACGTATCCCCAGGTAAGTCGAGTTGTGATGCTAAAGACTGGCATAATTGCGGTGACCAGTGGCACATAATAGGCCACAAGCAGGGTGACAAGAACTGTACCAGAATAGGCTCGGTTCGTTAGTCTCATGTCCTTGGCGCGGAAGTTCTCAATAGGACTCTGCACATAGTGCGCGAAACAGTAAACGCCCATGACTTGAACAATCTTGAAGGATTGAAGGCAATAGAAGAAGGCAATCGGTCTTGGTGTCAAGGTTAGTAGATGCTTCGGCCGTGTGGAGCTCGGAACTCACAGAGAAGATATCGTCAACACATTGGCCCTTCTGGAGGACTCGAATAGCACAACTGCACAAATGATGCCAAAATCAAGATGGAAGCGCATAACGTCCAGACCAGATGAGGCGGCCAAGACACCAGTATACGGCCAAGCTCTGATACTATTGCTGGCATGATCGTACGACAAGAATAGCGGGGTGAGCTTGTCAATCATGGCGAGATTCGATGGTTCGGCCAACCACGGTCCGAAAAGAGAAAGTGCAAGTAATGGGAGGCCTGCGAAGCCTCTCTTGAGTTTCGATTCGCCCTTGCCAAGTCCGAGACTGGGGTTGAAGGGCATCGTGCCCTGAACAGAACGTTCGGGCGTGGGAATATAGTCCAGCTTGGCTGCTCCGATAATCATGTCGCAGTTAACGTCAACCAGCAGGTCGCCGGCTGTTGGAAGAATCCAAAACGCAATGATTTTGTTTGCGACCGAATCAAGAGCTTGTAGCCGAGCCAGTTGGGCTGACGCATCACACACGGCGCTCGTGCGATCGCGCCGCCCCCTTTGGTACGTTTCGAGATGCCTCTGCACCGTTTCGAGATCGATTTTGGTCTTTTTCGCAGCTTGCCCCAGCTTCCTGAGTTCATTTGCCAGGGTTGCGGCAGACTCCATCGCCGCATTGCCGCCGGCACCCATGTGAGGCGTCATCTTGTGGACGTTGTCGCCAACACAGGCAATACGGCCCCACGTCCATTCCTTCAGTTCAGCTTCCTCTGTTGCCGCAAGGGTAACGGACGTTCTGGACTGCCACAGGTCGCTAAATTTCAGCCCATCCTTGATGGTGAAGTCCATGTATTCGTTTGCGAATTCGACGGCATCTTGATACGAGTACTTGGGAATGTTGGGTGATGTGTACGTCTTATCCATCTTCGCAAAGACGAACCAGAAGACCCTCCCATCTTTGCCGCCGATGACCATCGTCGAGAAGCCAGAGGCAAAATTAACATCCATTTCGCCTGCGTCGACGCCCCGTGTCCTGGTCGACAGCCCGAACAGGCACTGGAATTCGGCCTTCAGATCATGTCGAACGGACTCAGGTGTTGCTTGCGGCTTGTCTTGCTCCGAGAGCCTCCACATCTCTCGACGGACGAGGCTGTTGACCCCGTCACAACCAACGAGCACGTCGCCCGCGACGATGGTCCCATCCTGGCAATGCACAACAACGCCGTCCGTGCCACTGTGGTCTACACGCATGATACGGCGCGACAATTGGATGGGTGACTTGTCGTGCAAGTTCTCGTACAGCACTCGCAAAACAGTTTCGCGCTCCAGGTAACTGATGGCATAATTAAACCTAGCTCACATGTCAGTAAGCACGTTGAACATGTCAAAGACTCCTACAGAAGCTTCTTGCCTTGTTTCCAGAAGACGGACTCCGTCGGAAATATGAAAAACGTTGCCATCCTGGTCAAGACACCGGGTGATCCGTACGCCTTGAGTCTCTTCAAGAATCTTGTCGTAGCATCCCAATTGGTCAAGGATACGGGAGCCGTTGGGTAGCAGTCCAATGGAGGCACCGACGCGAGGCGCAACGTTGTCATGAGCCTCAAGCAAGATGTATTCTACGCCTGCTCTTTCCAGACAGTTCGCAAGTGTCAGGCCAGCTATGCCGCCGCCAGCAACGAGTACTCGGAACCCAGACTGAGATTTAGAAGCCATGCTGTAGTTGAAAACGAAGAAGAGGATGAAGACGATGGTTTCGCCTTAAATCAGGTCAAATTAGATACCCCTTAGCAGGAACCTTCGGTGTCGTTGCAGAGCAGGATCAATCCGTCTAAAGCCCTTCATTTCTATCGAGATCGAGTTGTGTGCTCGATCGAAGATCCTCCCTTCCGTTGTTGGAAACATACTTCTCAGACATGTGTGAATCAAGGGTTTGAGACATTTCTAGGGCGGAGCTTGACACTTCATGCGATGAGCTTCCTCTTGACTGTCTCCCGTCATCGGCGCCGTGAAGAGAGGGTGGGGTGTCGCGGATATCGGCAAAACTGACCTAATCCCGTGTCTCGGTTGTGAGACTATCCCTTGCACTTACGAAGCATAACGAATGATCAAGTCTGATAGATTGCTAACACCCGGAATGAGTGCAACTGGATCGTATACTATATGTCCTAGCATAGAGGTTGGTTACGGATATGGCACCTAGTTGAACTTCAAAGTGGTTCATGCATTTTGGCTAGCCAATCCCTCCGAGAAGGCATTTGAGCGCTTGTAAGAGAAGCTAAGTAGCTTTTATATACAATCAGCTCTGTGAGATAGCATTAAGAGTTCTACTCGGCATTCGTTCCCCGTTGTTCTAGCTATTACTAAGTAATCTGCGAGGCAAAAGTCCTTCTTTTGAACCCGTATTGTTCACGCCGACCGGCGTCTGTAGCGAAGATATATGTGAGAACGTGGCTTTTCCGCAAGCTCTGCATTGCGATTGATCCGACAAGGCTCGCTATTGATCTTGTTGCCATGCTTGTCAGATAGCTCAAATTCGAACATGGCTATGAAATACGCCAAGACAATGGTCATTTCAGTCTTGGCAATCTTCATGCCAACTGCATTACAAGTTAGCAAACCGTTCTCGAGCGTCGTGTGCTTGATGTTCGCCTACTGCATGGGTGTAGGCCGGAACCCCATCCGATGTAGCCATGAGGGACATTCTTGCCCTCGCCTCGCTCATCCAGATGCCTCCCGGGGTCGAACTCAGTAGGATTGGGGTAGACATCGGGGTTCATATGAAGCTCATCGTGAAGGTATGCTGCATAAGCATCGCGGGGGATGACTTCTCCTGAGTTACCAATTGGGATATCCTGCCCAGAGATGTTCTTTCGAAATGAGCTTCCGGTCAATGCCAATCGAATGCTTTCATGGAAGCACAAGCCGATGTTGGGAAATTCTGATTCCCAATCGTCCAATGTGAGAGACCCAAGTACTTCGGTAGTGGGCTGGCCATGATACTTCCTGTACCTGACAGCAACAGCGTCAACTTCGTTACGGACCCGAGCCGTCCAATGGTCATTCTGGGCCAACTTGACTAATACCCAGGCGGCGTTGATGCCAGTGTTCAGCTGGCCTGCAAACAATGCCCCAATGACGAACTGCCAAGCGCAAAAGATGTAAGCCAAGGTGGTCGAATATCAGGAGGGCAGTTTCACCTACGCCAATGGTATTGCGCATGCTTGTCCCCATGTCTAGAAGGGTTTGCATCGTATCATCCTCTCTAATCCCCGACTTCTGTCTCTTCCGAATCAGTCCATGAAGCAGCATTCCGAGCTGAATATTCCGCAGTGTTCGCCTGAGATGCATGATTGTTGGAAGCCAAGGAAACACAACCCTCATGGTTGACTTGGAGTGCTCAATAGACTCAAGGATGGTCAATGACTTTGCCCTGAGCTTAGCATCTTGTGCTATCTCTGTCGGCCCTACCATCCTAATGGTCAATTGATAGATGATCTCGTATATTGTATCAAAAGGATCGAAAACTCCCCAGCTTGAGATTTCAGGCAGAAGCTCCTGTAGCAGCGACTGGGCGTCGTTTGTAAGTAAATGAACGTTTTTGCGTGTTCGTTCCTTTCGCATTACTACAAGAAATGTCTTCTTGAACCACTTCACAAAGTTGTCCATGTCCTCGGACGAGGAAGGGTGACCAGTGATCAGGTCGGCAGAGCTAAACACGGTCAATGTTGGACGCTGATATGACCATTTTATATTTCTTGTGTTAATCGGCGGCTCTCTGGCGCTTACCCTGCAGCGAGACTTAGCCCTCTAGTCTCATAGAACACCTTCCGTCCGACAGGTCCGGAAAGCCCAATAAGATGTTTGCGGCCAATGTAAAAGCTGAATGCCCCGGTAGAAGAGCTACGCAAGCCGTCTAGAAAATGGTCTTTACGGTTTGTATAAAATCGAGTTGCTCCGAGAAATGGCCAGTCGTGACCGCTCCACCAGTTGGGAGCGTGTTTTGGGAGCACAGGACGCCGTAGTACCTTGATCCAGAGGGCCACCATAGAAGCTGTCACTAAGATCCAGCCTAACAAGGCCATGGTCGTGTACCGTGGGGCAATATGTCTGTGAAATGTACTGAAAATCTGTGCCGACCGTCGTCGTGTGAAAAAGAGATGATAATCCGCGAAGGAGAAGAGATTGGACTGTCTGTCGTTGTTGGTCACTCGAAAGATTTCAATCGCCAGGTCGATCTGTTTCCGATGGCCATATCGACCTGAATACGTATGTTCGCTAGCACAGGGGACCGCTGCTCGTAGTCGGGCCTGTCTGAGACTCGGTAGGTATTCGGCACTCACCGCCGGCTGGCGCTGCATGAATGGGACCAATGTTTTGTGCGGGACGTGCCGTGCGGGAGGTGCTGTCTGAATTCTGTCGTTTGAAGTGGAATGTGCGCTGCGTGACAGAGGCGATGTCTCAGTCTTATGTGGGACGAAGACTGACTGACTATTACGTGCCGTTGAAGTGGTGGGTTTTGCCGTGAATAATAATGAAGGTGTTGTAGATGGTCATGTATTAAACACCGCCCATGTTTTCTGCTGTTCCGGCACTTAGCCCAACAACTGTCCATCATAAGCGCTATCATCATGTTGCAGCACTTGAAGCTAGTCATAACCGACCTCAACCTATACCAAGCAGTGGCTCTTGCAGGAATTCTAGCTTTCGCCATCTCATGGAGTCTATGGGAGACCGAGTCTTATTACCCAGGATTCGAGGTCTATGGTGTAGAGAAAGAAAGTGTCAGCCTATATGATGCCAAGCAAAAGTTCATGACGGATGCACGCCGAATATTGTTTGACGGAGCAGCGAAAGTAAGCCAAAACATTGTCTGACCCCTTGAATGAACCAGGACAGCTAAGAGCGAGAAATCCAGATCAATGGAGTTTTTCAAATCGTATCAGCCAACGGACCACGACTTATACTGCCAAGCAACTACGCAGATGAACTCAAAGGTCATAAGCATTTATCGGCGCGGCGCCTGATCGCTACTGTAAGAGAACAACACTGCTGCAACAGGGAAAAGACTGACTCAAGTCGCTCACCAGGACCTCTTTTCTCATATTCCTGGGTTCGAAGCTGCGAGGGCATTAATGCATTCTGATATCATTGTCGACACCATTCGCAAGAACCTGACCAATTCTTTGGGTATTGAGATGTGTTTACTGAGCCCTCGGGCTTCAGACCATGAGAACGAGCTGGCTAACGTTAAATACAGGCCCAATTGCTACTATCCTACACAAGGAGACGGCTACAGGGATTGATCAAATGTACTTTACCACCGAGCACTCCGACGGCTGGCGGAAATACGACGAAAAGCAACACAGCATTGGCTTGGTAGGCATGCTGTCGACAAGGATCTTCTTGGGGCCAGAAATGGTCAAGAACAAGCGCTGGTTAGCCATCACAACGGACTATACCATAGTCTTGATGATAGCCGCTCGTGCATTGCGTATGTGGACGCCAGTTCTACGGCCTATTGTCCACTGGTTTCTACCTGAGTGTACTGCGCTGCGTCGGGTCTCGAGAGATGCAAGGAATATAATCGACGATGAAGTCACGCGAATAGAAGCCCAGGTTGGGCTTTCAGACGCACTATCGCCCTCCAAGTCTTCTATCGGGAACTCTCTTGGCTGGATGAGGGCTGCCGCAAAGGGCACCAACTTTAATCTAGGAGACGGCCAGCTTTTTCTATCATTCGCATCGTTACACACGACATCGGACCTTCTTACCAAAACTCTGGTCAATCTCTGCACCTTTCCCGAATTCCAAGACTTGCTGCGGAATGAGATTCTCGATACGCTTCGTGGACAGTCTTTTGATCCAACATGCATTTCTCAGATGCGTCTCTTGGACAGTTTCATGAAGGAGACGCAACGCCTAGCACCAGCATCGCTGTCGCTTATGAATCGACTTGTTGAAAAGAAAATAACGCTCCACGATGGCACAGTACTACCGAATGGTGCCCTTATCAGCGTTATACCAAGTCGTCTCTATGACGACGAGATTTATCCACAAGCAACAAAATTTGACGGTTACAGATTCCTCGAACTACGTGCTAGGCCTGGAGAAGAGACCCATCATCAGCTTGTACGAACGAACATACACCAAGCCGGCTTTGGATATGGTAACCACTCTTGTCCAGGAAGGTTTTTCGCATCACTCGAGATCAAGATTATACTGATTCATCTACTTCTGCGTTTCGATTGGCGCAGAGAAGGCTCGGACAATTCTCCGACAACTATCTTTTCTGGAGCCGAAACTATGTCAAATCCTGAAATCACTGTGTATTATAAGGAGCGCTTGACTGAACTGGATCTGAAGTCAATTCTCGATTCCATTCCAGCTCCCCCAGACACTTAGATTGGCTCTGGTCATAAATCACGGCTTGGCCTCCGACTTCTTGATCCAGTAGATGGCCAGTCGCTAAGTCGACATCCCGAGAATAGTGTTTTGAGATGCGACGCAGGTCAGCTACAATGGTATATTCTTTTCCATACATTCCAATGAACAGGGTGGTCGTCGATAGAAAAACACGTGACATGGCTGTTACATTGGAACGTCTTCCACTGACGAACATGTAATGATATCAAGAGGATTTTCATTACACTGTTGCAGTCCAGCTACACGATCTGCATCATAGTTACCAACGATATGGCCAAGAAGTCGAGAAGAACAACAAACTTCAAGCAATTCAGCCCGTGAGACTCAGTGGTGATCATGATGCAACCCTGTGTTGTTCAGTGATGGATCAACTTACGTGGTTTTTAAGACCTAAAGACGTCAACCTGTGAGTGTGCTGTCAGTCAGTTTATGGCCGCATTGCGGTGGCTGCGCAATTCGCATACGTACCCCGTGACAATTTCAAGCCCCAGAAAAGCGGTAAGAAATCGTCTGGGTCCGGAATATCCGACGACGAAGCGATTCCCAGTCAGCGCCGCAGTAGCTAGTCTTTCTGAGCTGTCATCTGTATCTGATGCGCTGTGTAGAGTCTTGGACGACCCACAGAGCCAAGGGTAGCTTCTTTCAAAGCAAGGACGGGGCTACTACCCCTGCGGTGATGTTTTGATGGGCTAGACATACACGGGTCGACCCGTGTCTCAGACTGGCATGTAGAGGGCGCAGACCAGCCACTTGACACGTTTAGATAAGGCAGCACATCAGAAACAGTACTGATTCGGAGTGGGTCGGGAAACATGGCCTCACCTGCGTAATATAATCCACGTCAGGGATTCGACAAGCAATCGATTCAAATGTCCTGCAGTGGGTTTCTAACCCGCCATGTAGCGGTCACAAACTTCACGTCGCACATCGGCCGATACTCGGCCAATTTACATTCGTACACAGTGATTTATCCATGTGGCGGTCAGAAATTTCACGTCGCACATCGGCCGCTACTCGGCCAGCTCGCCGTGATGATCCATGTTTGCGGCTCGGGGTTTCGAAAACACATCGATTACCAGCGGGCACTCAAAAATCCAGAACCGGGTTCTAGGCCGAAATGATGAAACCGAGAGACAAGTTATGTAGAGGAGGAAGTGGTACGAGTGGCCGGGTATATGCTGCAAATGTTCCTCACATGAGACACTGCTGACACGATATTGTAGTACCATGAAAGTGCCTACGTTCGTGAGTGAATGAAGGGCAACCAAAGGGTTCTCAGTCTGTGGCGAAACAATTGATGACTCCCCCTTTTTTAATGCGTCATTTTCATTGCTCGCGTCGAACATCCCATCCCTCTTGTTGTCTTTCAGCTTTACTTCGATCTTGTCTCCAATCTCATTGCGGTTGTGATTGCAATTTGATCCCTGCTGTAGGATCCTTGGCGCGGCGTACACACGAGGTTCCCTCTCCGGAGTTTTTCTATCGCAATTGTGTCTCGCGTCAACAGTTGGATTGAATTAGAGGCAAGAGCCGTGGTTGAGCCGGTATCGCCAGACTCTTACAAGAAAAAGAGCCCCAAGGAAATGCGCAGCAAGACAGCTCGGTCACTGTGCTGCTTATCATTCTGTGACGGCAAGAGTTGGCTGTGGCATGTCAGTTGAATTTGTTAACGACGCGTAGCCCATTAACCGTTGTTTGAGCAATATACCAGCATGTACGTTAATCGTCTAAATGGACTGCTCTGCCCTGACACCTGGGATTATATTATGTATAGCCAAACTTTGTAAATGTTCTCGGATTCCGCTCATTGCGGATGCGCAAGTATAGATCGAAAACCCTTAGTTGTCACATAGGCATTACGTTGAATCATTCAAGACATAGTGTCACGGTTTAAATTTTTCATGCAGAGCAAATATCGAAGGACGTAACACATTCATTACTTTCACTTTTGGATTGATGCTTTCCAAGCCGCAGTAATAAGTTCACGATGCATTTGGAAGAATCATTCCACCAAAAAAGAAACAACCTCGTGGAACTCAAACCCAGTCCTAAACATCTGCCGTACGTAGACTTAGGAACCAGCGCCCGCAATTTGACACGTAAAGCCATCTTTCTATACGTGTTTGACAAGATTCATGATGTCAACTTCTTCCTGTCGGCGTCTGAATGAGATTTTGAAATCAGGATTTGCCATAATCTCGGACCCATGCTGAAATGTCGGGGCTGTGTCGCTGTCACAATCCTGCTGCCAGTCGTAGCGTAGAAGAAGGAAGCACAGCGCAACTTTTAGTTCTGTTGCGGCAAAGAATCGGCCTGGGCATGCGTGGATGCCATGGCCGAATCCCGTATGGTCCGTACTAGTCGTGACAAGCTGCCAATGGGCCTCCTGACCTGGCTGTGATCGCAGCTTGAGGAAGCGATATCCATCGAACTTCTGTGGCTCGGGATAGACTTCGGGGTCGAAGAGCCTATCCTGGATAATGCTGAGAATAGCTCCCTTCGGGATTATGGTTCCATCGTTGAGGGTGACCTTTTGTTGTGCGACACGATTCATTAAGCGCACTGAGGTGGGCATTAAACGCTGTGTCTCCTTCATGAAGCTGTCGAGAAGCTTCAGCTGGTACAGAGATGTCTTGTCCCAGCCCTTCTCCGACAGAACAGTAACAATCTCCTTCCGGAGGAGGTTTTGATACTCCGGGTGCGCACTAAGGTTGTATAGACACTTTGTCAATAGGTCCGACGTTGTATGGATTGATGCAAAGGTCAACACGAGCTGTCCGCCGGCGAGATCAATGTTCTTTGAACCTGCAACTTCCTGCATCCATCCGAGTGTATCTCCCACCTTGACTGTCGACGGCTTAGAATTGCTGGCACGCTCCCGCTCTCTGCGTCGTGTAAGCTCTCTCTCGACAACTATTGTCGCCTTGTTGCGCGTCTTGCGTAGCAGCCTGCATTCAGGGAGAAACCAGTGTATGATGGGCTTGAAGATGCCAGGCCACATACGCAGTGCTCTAGCCGCATCCATCAGCACCATGGTCCAGTCAGCTGCAATGGTCAGCCACTCGTCATCCCGACAGAGCACTTCTCCCATGAATGCTCGGGTAGAAAGGCGGGACACGAGTCCAGTGGCATGGGTGTGAATATCAAACGAAACCCAGTTGTCAGAGCTTCCGAACAGGCGTTCGATTGCATACGCAGACTCATCTCGTAGTGCTCCAGACACAGGGACTAGTCATATGAGCTGGTTAGGCACGATCGTGCGTACGAGTTTTCTTAGTGGGCTCCTCAACTGGATATACATACCAAGAAAGCTTGTTAGCTTGGTCCTAACTGTGGTCGGAATAACGTCGGTTTCTGTCACAAGTCTGATAGGATCGAATCCGGGGTAATCGGCAAAGAGCTCCTGTCAATTGTTATTTATCTTGCTCTGCAAGCCAATTAGTAGAGCAACAAATTTACCTTTCGAAAGATCTCACTAAGAGAAAGGCTTTTGATACTTCTCAACTCATTTACATAGCGATTAGGGAAGATGATTCGTGGCCCATTGGCAGTAACAACCTGAAAGCATGTGTTCAACTAGCGAAATTGATCAGTGTCTTAAACTAGTTCACTCTGTCTGTTATAATCACCTTTTTGGCCCCTTCTAGTAGGATCCTTCTCCCATCAGTCAAGTATTTTTCTTTTGCCGAGGACAAGGATATGTTTTTCTTGGAGAAGCCGTAAACCGGAAACCCAGGATAGAATGCCTCTCGTGTCCAGAAGCTCCAGGCATAGAGACTGGCGATGGCCAGAAGAACACCACCTATGTGAGAGATGAACTCGGGAGAACTAAGGTATGATTTAATAACTGTCATGGTGAAAGATTGGAATTTGAATCCGTTGGAAAATGCTTCTCGCAGTAAACGCTGAGGATGACTTGAGGGAAGAAATTTTTCTCTGCGTGTGAGCCACTCTGACTTTATCAATCGACACGTTATTTTGCTAGCTTGGAGGGAAATGTTTGTCTCTCAGCTTCAAGGCCAGCGAATACTTGAAGACGACTTCTTTCTTGCTTCTCATGCAGATCCTACAGGGCGTGATCGAGACATTAAAGCGCCCGCTCTTCCGTGTCTTACTGAGGGTTCACCTGCAGGGGTGGCGGTATGTCGGGGCCCCGTCGTCTCAGTTCCAAGCTCCTGCGCGGGGCTTCTGACTACATTCATTTTGCCTGCTCACAACCGTATCTGACAGATCAACCCACTTTGCGTCGTAAAGTAAAACATCAGTAAATCAGCCGTCGTTGACCGCTGGAATGTCGGGATCGGTCATGAAACACGGGATGAATACTCGTGACAACCTCGGTGTATCGACGCTGAGAAGTAGCCGAGATGTAAACCATGATGACGCCGAAAGTTGGAGGGATGATAGCGGCTCCCACAGGGCATTCCGTGTCTACTTGCGCACCCAGCCGTAATGTAATTTGTCTTTGATCGCCGTCTGTGTATACAAAAACTGAGATAAAGAAAGTCTGTGTTGTCCCATGGCGTATTTCTATCAGTCAGTTGTCGTCAAATTTACTAAAATCAGTTTGGAAGTCTTGGTTCAATCAAATCCCCTAAGTATTTGTGTTGATTTCATCCGTATCCCGGGACCCGATTTTATCATGAGCTGCTCCGGTACCAATAATTTCTGTGAGGAAAAGTCTGGTTTCTCACCGGGTGATTTCGCTGAGGCAACAACGGACCCTTCGCGATGGAGACTGTCCAGCGACGGCGGTCGCAACGTTTGGCATTATTTGACAAGGGACGAAGACATCCAAAGATGGCCACAGACGGCGGTGGACAGATACCATTTGGGTTTATCCACTGTAAGCCCTGCCCTTGGAAATGTTGTAAATCAGAGCTGACCTCTTGATCCAGGGCTTTCCTGAAGTTGAGCCGGCAAAAACGCCCATGCAGTCAGTCATCAACGCTGTCTCTGTCTATTCAAAGCTTCAGCTCCCTTCAGGTCATTGGGCTTGTGAAGAGGGCGGTCCTCTTTTTTTGCTTCCTGGATTGGTAATTACCTGGTACGTCACCGAAGCGTCCATACCAGAAGCTTTCAAGATTGAAATCAAGAACTATCTTTTCGCGCGGCAAAACCCAGACGATGGCAGCTGGGGCCTCCATATCGAAGCAGAAGGGTCCGTCTTCGGACTGGCCATGAATTATACAGCTCTCAGGCTCCTTGGTGTTCGAGCTGACCATCCACGTCTCTGTAAGGCCAGATCCGAGCTGCACAGGCTGGGTGGCGCCCTCAACGCGCCTCACTGGGCAAAGTTCTGGCTTAGCGTACTAGGAGTTATGCCATGGGACATAGTCAACCCTGTTCCTCCTGAATTGTGGCTCCTTCCGGACTGGGTTCCCTTTGCTCCCTGGAGGTGGTGGATACACATACGACAAGTCTTTTTGCCCATGTCCTGGGTTTGGTCAAGACGCTGGCAGTATCCTCTCTGCGATCTCACCAGGGATATACGTCAAGAACTCTTTGTGCAGCCACCGGAGATGATTGATTTCTCTGTCCACCGGAACAGCATTTCCCCTCGCGACAATTACCACAGCAAATCGTGGCTCCTGAATACAGCCAACTGGCTTATTGTCAACATTTGGAATCCTTATCTCCGTCACGATAAGCTCAGGACCGCTGCAGAGGCATGGGTTTACGATCTCATTCAGCACGAGGATGAGAATACCGAATACGTAAATCTCGGACCCGTGAATGCCCCAATGAATACCCTGGTTTGCTACATTCAACAAGGCCCAAAGAGCACCGCCATGGCTCGCCATCTAGACCATCTGACGGATTACCTATGGAAGAAGGATGAAGGCATGCTCATGAACGGAACCAACGGGGCCCAGGTCTGGGATACAGCCTTTTCCATCCAGGCTATCGTGGACACAGGCCTCGCGGACGATCCTAGGTACCAGCCTACGCTCATGAAGGCTCTCGAGTTTCTGAAAGAACACCAGATTCGGGACGACTGTCGAGAGCAGGGTATCTGCTACCGTCACTACAGAAAAGGAGCGTGGCCCTTCAGCACCCGGCAACAGGGCTATACCGTCACCGACTGCACTGCTGAAGGGTTAAAGAGCGTCTTAGCACTTCAGAGCATCCCCGGCTACCCGAAGATAGTCACAGAGGACAGACTTTGCGATGCCGTAAACATCCTACTATCGATGCAAAACAACACAGGTGGGTGTTCTAGCTACGAACTCCGTCGCGGGAGCGAGCACCTGGAATACCTGAATGCCGCAGAGGTGTTTGGCCAGATCATGGTTGAATACGATTACGTTGAGTGCACAGCGGCATGTATGCTGGCACTCAACAAATTCCGCAAGGCCAACCCATTTTACCGAGCCCTGGAAATTGAAAATTTTATACAACGAGCGATCAAGTTTATCCGATCCGCTCAACGGGATGACGGCAGCTGGTATGGTTCTTGGGGAATATGTTTCACCTACGGAACCATGTTTGCTCTTGAGGCGCTGGAGGCCGTTGGCGACACCTGGCATAACAGCGAATCCATTCGATGCGCTTGTGAATTCTTATTGGCCCACCAGCGGGAAGATGGAGGCTGGGGCGAGAGCTTCCGGGGCTGTGAGCTTGGTTTCTATGTTGATCATAAGGACACCCAGATTGTGCAGACTGCCTGGTCCTGTATAGGGCTCATGCAGGCAGGGTATCCAGACATGGAGCCTATAGTAAGAGGGATACGGATGATTATGGCACGCCAACAGTCTGACGGACAATGGGCACAAGAAGCGCTTGAGGGAGTTTTTAACAAATCTGGGTGAGTATGCAACGATCGCACTCGATGGTACCTACTGATTCGTCTGGCAGCATGATATCCTACACCAACTACAAGTATATTTTCCCAATCAAGGCATTGGGTTTGTTTGCGCGGAAGTACGGGGACATAAAAGTTTTGTAGACTTGTGTCGCAGGATTTGCGAGCTTGTTATCTTTACTCGAAGCTATAGGCCGTCACCCCAAAACTACCAGCAAGCCCAACCCACCGACGAGAATACTAAAAATCGGGGTCCAATTATGAGTACTGGGATGCTTAAGTTGTTTGAGTCTGTCACCGTCATCTATGCGTGGGGAATCCATGACGGCATCTAACCCGCGTCTCGAACATATGGGTACTGTTCTCATCTAGTACTTGATCTGGTCATTCGGTTTGTCTTGTATTCTGAGTGATTTAGGACTGGTATTGTGTAGCATTCTTTTTCTCTAGGCAAGGAATAGCGTAGGCTGATTCTCGTCGTCTACATAAGATCTGACAAGCACGGTAAGGTTCAGAAGAAGTCGTTGTTATAGCTGAAAAATAGATGCATATTCAGACGCCTATGAGAGTTACTAATTCCATTCGCATACTCATCTAGTTGCGTCCGCCCATGGGTTCTGCTTGGTCTATACCATCGAGCAGTTCAGGCAACGGCTTTAACGGCTTCAGGCAACGGCCCCAAGGGTGCCTTTACTCACTAATATCAGAAGCCAGATTGTGATCTTAGACTTCCTTCAATCTTGTCCCAGACATTGCGACGTAAGTTCCCTGAAATCCAGTATTCTCCCTCTGAGCCTTTCCCCAAGATAAAAAATGAGTTCGGAAACTTGAAGCCTTCCCAAAACTCGATGCACCTTGGTCGACCAACTTTCATGGTATCCGTAGCCGCAGAAGACTCAGATATAATCGCCGCGGAGAAGTCGGTTCCAAATAAGTCTGCTTTAGTGAAGTTGGAAAACGAGATGACGTGAAAGTTTCCCTTTCCAAACGCAGGATTGAGCTTCCGAGACGACTTCCGGATCAAGGAGGCATAGGCCTCTAGTTGTTCTCTCTTCCCAAGTTCTTTAAGGGATTGGCGAATCCTATTTGCCACCAAACCCAGGGGCTTTCCCAACACATCTTCCATGGGGACAATGGTTGTAACAACTCCCATGGCGTTGGAAAGGTAACTCTTCCCGGCCGGTAACAAGTCTTGGGAAAGAGCGGATCGCAAAGATATGGCGTTGTTAATCACCAAAGTACTCTTCTTATTTCTGACAACCTGTGAGGAGACGACCCGACTCCACCACTCGCACAAGACGTCACCGTCGCTGACAAAGGGGTTGATGTTGCTGGGGTCACGAGCGATCAGCTCACCCAGTATCCTGTTTCTCATGCGAGCGATAAAAGCTGAAGGCACGCAGACGCTTCTGGTGTCTGTGCCTAACAGGAGGCCGGAAGCATTTCTCAAGCCGAACTGCGTTATCAATCCGAAAGTAGAGGCTTGGTAGTTTTGAAGTTTGTAGACTTCTTGAGGGCCGGATCCGAATTGTTCAAGTGGGTCGAAGTTGTGTCCCCAAAGGTTCGGCAGATCTTCTGGTCGATTGTCAAGCATAGCCTGCCACCCTTTCAGGAGAACTCCTGTCCCCACCATGTCGCACAGAGTGTGTGGGAAAGATAACGAAACAAGTGTGGCGTCGTCGAACAAATTGACGAAGAGACCCAATTGCGGTATATCTGCGTCTAAGTAGTCTTGCAACAGACGAGGAGTGTCTGGGTGAAAAGCTAGGCCTCGGAAACTGACTGTGTCGGCCAAAACACTCGGGCCATCGGTCGATACAGGCAGCTTCGAAGCGTTTGGGTGCTCAGAAACACTGCACGAATGCTGGACAAGCCGAAACATAATGGCAGGGCAATGTTCGCCAAAGGTAGACGGTGTATGATACTCCAGCCCCCCCGATTGCTAGATACGTGCATTAGCGACAACGGCAAAGCTGGTATCACGGTTTCTAAAGTTTGCCTACACTGCGACGCAACCTCGCACCCAACTTTTGCCAGCCATCTTGCTGAACTAGACTTTCAAGGCTTTCGCGAAGCTTTCGGGGGTCTAATAGATCGTCGTATACGAAGAGTAATGTCATAGCAAACTTATGGAATAGAGGAATGTCATCGTAATAGTGCAGGGGGGTTATTTTGGCCATTGGTGCAGAGTACGTGTTTGCCTTGCAGGGTAGAAACCATGTAGTCTTGTGTGAAAAGAGGGCGGGTTAAAAGCCAGCCGTGCTTTAGTATTTTCGGATTGGAGAAAGCAACGTATACTGATAACCTGATCTGTTATAACTCAATTGGCGAAATATCGGTGACAAAAAGTCTCAATGATGAAAATTACCTGTCTCGTTGTAGGACTTGGTAAAAGAAACCTGAACCTAAAACCGGACGCAGGGTCATTGTCGGTGAGGAAGCATTCAAGTGACATCTCGGCGTGTCTCATGCCACGCCAACTGTCTTTAACAGCCTTCTGAACATATACCCAATTATACGTGTCGGTGAAAGATCCTTTCGTTATTAGATCGACTTGTTTCATACTACACCCATCGATTGGTGTAGTCTTTGGACAGCTATCTTATGCTTCATGTCGGTGAGAGCTTCTCTTGAAATGATATCATGCTGCCTTGTATTCAGCAGTGAATCATGTATGAGCATCTCAGAGAGATTCATGAATAAATACCTCAGTTTATGTCCTGATTAACATTCAGGATTTTAACTCCGTTGTTCGATTGAAAAGTCTTGACTTCCAAAAGTAGGAGATCTGACAAAATTTTCGTCATCTACATTAGACAACCCACCTTTACTGCATCTCATCTCTACCATTCGTTGAAATGCTCCAGCGCAACTTCTCGATCTTGCTTGTGGTTATAGCCAAAGCCTGGAAAGTCTCGTCTACCAATATGTTTCACAACCTCTCCTCTATGACCGGTCCTCAACCGCAATGGATCATTCAATCTCTCCGAAGGCAGTGCGATGCAGACGATGTCGAATGCATATTTGAATTTTCCATCAATACACAAGTTGATGCCCCTCTCGATTGCACGTATGCCACCACTGCTGGACATGGCCTCCCAGCATCACAGTCTTCAGGGGATCATCAAACTTGTGGCCAATTCACGATTGCATCTGGGTGGAGTGATATGGAACCTATGGGAAGATTCAGAGTATTGGCGATCATCGATCCTGTCGATCGAATGTTGATTTGGGCTACGTATATGGATGAACAGATTCAACTTGGTGCATTTGTTAAACCTGACCAAGCATATGCGCCTGTCAGGATTGGTGGATGGGACGTATGCCCTGTATAGTGCGGACCAGCTTTAATGTCGTCCAAACCAGAGTGTGGGCAATGAATTGCTGTGTTGTACATGTGGGTGACACAGAAGGGCCTTGTATGTAACGGGGTAAACAGCACCTACCGTTCTCTCATGGTCACTCAGTTTGGGCCTCTTGACGATAGTCTGATCGGCCGAACTTGGAAGCATAGACTTGGCTATTCACTGTTCGCAAAGAATAGACGAGGTACAATATGTCGATAATTGACTGATTTCTCAATCGCGCGGTAGTCGGCAGCGTGACTGTCTCCCGATTGTATCTTGTGATCGAGTGGATCTCCGGGACCTAATTCGACCGACCGAAATACCTGTAGACGGCTTAAGATCAATACAGTGATGATGAGCCTGGCTGCTGTGATTTTTTTTTTGCTCATGTGCGTTTATTAGTTCATTGGGGGCTTGATCCGGATCCTCCGCTGGTCACAGGAGCCGACGACATGCTGAGCGTAGTTGTCATCCTCCTCGTGTCCTGTCCGTCCATGCGATTGGCTTCTTATCGACACCAGGCCAGCCAACAAATGGAGACTCTGCGTAACGTTGATGTCGTTCAGCCTGAATTGCAGCATTGGATGCGGCCGCTATCAGCTGGAAGCAGCTAGATGGGGGGTCAAATCAGAGTCTGAGGATCTGACTGGGTAACCAAAAATGGTCACATACGCAGGGTTCTGAAAATTGACCGCCGACGCAGTCTTGTTCGTCTCCTCCTACTGGCATGCTCGGGCCGACCAGAGAGGCTCGGCTGCGGTATAGTTTCAGCTTAGCATTTCTATCTTTGAGGACATGTTCATGATCCAAAGATGCGCCCAGCATGAGTCTTTAGCAATTTCTCCACGCAAGCCAAGGCCCAGGGGTTCCTCTTTTGTAACTGATCTGATCAGATGCATCCACCCAACATGACATTGCAAGACCTGAACCTGATAACGACAGCGCTGAACGGCCCATCAGAGATGCCAACAGAGATCGACACTACGACTGGTCGTGGACAGATAGGGTGTTGGCCGGTGAGCGATGTATCTCTACGGCTGGCCCAGATAACCTCCTCGAGCCTTGCCACCGAGCAGGGAGGGCAAGCGCCGGGGTTCACGGGGACTCGCCACTGCTGTTTGTATGACGGCACGGGCCGAGCTGTCAAAAGCGGGGTAACTGGACTCTTCCTGCCTCGATGGACACTTACGCCACTATCACAGCATCATCTGGTCCACTTGACTCTGAGCAACCTCGTCTTCCTTAATCTCAACTACTTGGAACTGAAGGAACGTTCCTAGCCGCCTCCATCCAGCAGCCATAGAGCACCACATCCAGAACGGCCAGACCAAGGACAACAGGACGCAGCATGATGGCCTTTGATCCCATCCCACCGCCGCGCAAGTTCAGCGGCGGCTGGACTATCAAGGACGCTCTCGCCAAGACGGGTTTCCACGCCACGACCTCGCCCGTCTCGTTCTTTTCCCTCGCAGGCCGCCTCAAGAAGCTGCAACGCCAGGGCTGGAAACGCTTCGGCATCGAGTCAGTACCTGACTTCTCCCCCCCTTGCCCTGCCTGAGCGCCCTGTTTGAGCTGACATTGTCTCCTTTACTCTCGTGAAACGCAGCCCGGAGTCAGTCGCTGATCATTCACACCGCATGACTTTCATGGCGCTCCTGGCGCCGCAGAACCTCGACCAGGCCAAGGTCGTCAAGATGTGCCTCGTGCACGACCTCGCCGAGACGGTCGTGGGCGACATAACGCCGGCCGACGGCGTCTCGCGCGAGGAGAAGACGCACCGCGAGGAGGCGGCCATGCACTGGATGACGACGCACTGGGGCGACTTTGGCCGCGAGGTCCACCACCTCTGGATCGAGTTTGAGGCCGGCCTGACGCCCGAGGGCGAGTTTGCCCAGGACCTCGACAAGCTCGAGATGATGTTGCAGGCCCTCGAGTACGAGCGCGACGCCGACCTCGCTGTTGACCTCGGCGAGTTCTTTGCCGTCGCCGGGCGCATACGGACGCCGCGAGCGCAGGCGTGGACGGCTGAGGTCCTGCACGACAGAGAGCTGCTGTGGGCTGGAAAAGAGCACGTTCGCGGCGATCTGGGCGTCGAAGGTGGTCTGCTGCAGAAGAAGCAGGAAGAGCAGGATCTGTACTACAACCAGTGAGGGAGGCGACAACTTTTGGTCGCTTTTCTCTCTCTCTCTCTCTCTCTCTCTCTCTCTCTCTGCCTTACTTTCCCCCTTTTTTTTTCTCTCCCTCTTTGCTTGATCTCTCTTCTTTTACCACTCTCGTGATGAGCAGGTAAAAAGGTACGTTCGGCGGTCATAATCTCGCCAGGAAGAGGCGTCCTAGCGTATATCAGGGAAACCAGTCATTCGGACTACGGTAGTCAAAAGTCAGCATCTCCCGTTTACTATACACTATTGATGAAACACGTGGCGCACGCCCAGTATTATTCACGAATTGTTCAGTCATCATCCGAAGGCGTGGCGATCGAAGTGACACTTGTCGGATAAAGTCTAAAGCCCCTGAGGGGTCAAGTCAGTGCAAGAAACGGAGACGCCTCGACATGGCGGCCTTTGTGCGCCTTCAACCCCGGTCAGGTAAGACAGACGCGCACTCGTGCAAGGCACAGCGTTCGACTAGAGGAGACGCCAAAAAGGCCAACGACGATCAACGTGACAGCACCGTCGGCGACGTGTCGATCCAGTGCGTAGCCGGAGGGTTAATTGAGGTCCAGGCTCGGCACGAGCGCTGGGACCCAACCAAAAGACTTGAAGCGACCCGGCATTCCGGTACGGTGAAGCGCCACGGCGACGTGAGTATGTCGTGTGATTGGGAGGGATCGCATGTCTCGTGAGACGGCGTCTATCAGGCTGTGGAGCATATGGAGGAGTTGAAGGCGGCGTGTAGCTCGGGTGTATGGTACGGAGAAAACGCGGTACGACCTGTGGCGATTCCTTCTCATCTCTGAGTCTACAACGTGGTGAACAGCAAAAGTGCCAAAGGCCTTGCTTGCGTGATCGTGTTCGGTCGTCGGCAAGGGGTCCCCCGAAAGCACGAGGGCGGACGGAAGAGCAAAAGCAAGTGGGCCGCCGGGCCGCGGGGAGGATGATTCTGAGGTCTCGGAGGGCTTTTAGCGTCGAAAGCTGACGAAGAGTCGCCGGCACACGGTCGCCCCGTGATGCTGACCGAAGATGAAGGCGTCTGGCGATCAGGACACGAGCATGGTCAAGTTTGGGGTCAGTATGGCTATTTCCACGGAGCGGACCTAGAGGAGTCTGATGAATTTACATGCTCGATTCACTCTCCATTCATCATGCCTTGGTATTGAAGCGATGGGGAAAAATTGGTCAACATGTCGGGAAATGACGGAAGAACTATGGGCAGAGTCGCTCGGTGGTGTCCCGGTATCGCTCCGAGATAGCTGAGAAGTACCCCCGCGGCTCAAATAGAGTGTTGGGATACTTGTCGCTTATCGGGCAGACGCATGGTGCCATTGTGGCCGGAAATGGGCTGTTCGCCTTCGTTCCAGACGTTCTTCCATCAGCCCATTTTCCTCCACACTCGAACGGCTTGTGTTGCCCGTCTGTCCTCGCACCACGGGCGGTCTTTCGATTCTCTCGTTAGATGCGCCGGTTGAGCACTGCAGGGACCTTTGTTTCCCTTCCCCTTCGCCCGACTGCCACGAATCGAACTCCATGAGCGTGACATCACAGGGTCCTCTTTGGATCGAGATCTCGACTCTATTCTGGGTTTTGCGTTGTTTGCTTCCGTCTGACCCGCCGCATCTGGTACCTGGTGGGCTAGATCCGGGTCTGGTGCGCTTGTTACACACACACACACATTGTTCGGCTTCCTGCTTGAGCACAACAAACATCAGCAGTTTCAATGAGGGAGCATGCTCCTCCAGCAGCGCGCCGTCAATTCCGCCATGCACTAAGGAGCATGCTGGACCACCGAGACCACTCCACGATGCTTGCTGCCATCAATCACTTCACTCGACAATATGATTGCGAACCCGAGGAGGACAAACAAGCCGAGTCAGCGGATGGGGGGGGGGGGGGGGGGGCGCTTTGGGGGATCACCCGCGGCACTTCCCCGGATTCGCATGCAAAGCGAGTCGTCCCAGTCTGAGTCTGTCTCGCCTACAGGACCCAAGAGTGCCCAGAAGCGTTTGCCATGAAGATCCCCCTCACTTTTCACCCGTGCCAGCGTTCCCCCCCAAATTGGCATGATTGACGCCATCGAGATGTGCCAAACGCACAATCATGCCCCCATCCGAAAGGCTTGTTCGTTTGTCACCTGTCAGGTCTGAACGAAAAATAGGTACCAGAGACGATCTGCCTACCAAGCGTGTCTTTTGCTTCGCTACTCCGTGATCCCTGCTTCATCTACGCCTTACACTAGAACCAAGGAAGACTAGGCCCTGCGCTGCTAGTCTTGTCCGTTTGTCTGTCTGCCAGTACCCGCTGTGCAGTCCAGCTGCTTGCTTGCAGCCAGCCAGGTCGAGGGGAGCCAGCATAAGGGCGAGGCATCGAGGGCGCACCACAGCGGCGCCCACTCTGACGCCAGGCTGGAGCTCCCCGTCATGCCGTGCCACGCCGCGCCTTGTGGTGGCGCTTCGCTCGGCGGGAGAAAACGTCAAGGGGTGTAGTTCTCCTGTCCCAACGAATAAGGTAGCTAACTAGGTACGGCATCTGAAGCTTCTGCACGTTGCCGGATGCCACCTCCCACGCCTTGACCAGGCCCCGTTCAAATCCCGAAGCGAGGCAAACCCCCTTATCCCTAACAGTACAGGCCGGCACCACGAGACGAGACATGCTGTTTATTTCTTCCTCCTGACAGGCCTGGCTCCGGCTACGACTGTATGTCGGGTCCCTCCGAGGCCCCGCCCTCGAAAGTGTCTTCTTGTGAATGTACCTTTCTCTGCCTGATGTTGCCTGGTAATCGAGGGCTCCCCGCCCAGTTGACAAATGGATCAAGAAATGGCCTGCCGGGGACCACATGTACCAAGCCCGCCTCGGCCGTTTGTCCTGCCTGTTGGAATCACTTTTGTCACTTCTCGAGCCCACGCGGACGCTTGTCACTTTAGCTCTCGTATGTTGCCCGAGCGTTCATCGCCAGTTCCCACGCCCGTACCTCTCCGACCCCGACAAGACTCCGTGCTGTTTTCTTTGCGTTCCCTTGTGCCTCTCGGCCATCTTTACCTTGTGCATCCCTGGCTTAGCCCGGGTCCGACTTATATCTGCCTGCCCATCTCCCCACCATCCCACCTTTGCTTCATTCCAATTCTTCCGGAACATACAATCACGCAACCCAACAAGCATAACACCACCAGATAGTCAACGTCAACCTGACCATCATCTGCTGAGCAAGGATACTAGTCCACTGGCTCTCACCTTCTAATCTGACGTCGACTCGTCCCACTCAGCATACACATCTTCACGCAGTGCTCTCAGCACCCAACAACTCCATTCCGCCATGGACACCACGATAGCACAGCAGCAGTCCTTTGACCGCCTTCAATTTCCCCAGACCGGCCTTGATATGGTGTGTAACATCTATCTTCTTATCTCTTCATCTCCTAGCCCTTCCCTGAACCTCTCCTGCTTGCTTCTCCCCGCCCACCTCAGATATCTTGTTCAGACCATGTGATCCACAGTGCCTGGTGAAGCCGGCCGGAACCAAGCATCAACCACAGCTAACACCTCGACAGAGCCCGCAACAGGTGTCGCCACTTTCATACTACGACCCTCAGGCCGACTTCAGCGCCGACTCAGCGCCCTCACGAGGCTCTCCCATCTCTCCCATCTTTGGCAACGCTTTTCAGCTGCCCATCGACCCTGACTGGCCCGCCTACCTCGACAAGAGCGGCATGTCTCCCGATCTCGACATGTACTACGGCGAGTCCTTCGGCGGTCCTTTGGCCTTCGTCGACGCGCAGGCGCAGAACTCCACACTCAGCCCAGCCGCCAACCCCTTGGATCTCATGTCCGAAAGTGTGGCGTTTGGCGGTGATCTCAACGATGTCCAACCCCTCTTCCAGTCGGCTCCCGCACCAACAACACTGTCTATCGCCAACCCGCCAGCGGCCGCCACGGCCCGGATGGCGCGGATGACGCAATCTCGGTCCCAGTCTCAGTCCTCGACCACACCAACGGCACCCGCGGCACAGGTCCAGACCCGCAGTCAGCAGCGCGCCGCCCAACGCGCGCCCGCCCGCCGCCCCGCCGATCTCAAGCGCAAATCGTCGACCTGCGACGACTCGGCCTCGTCCCGCTCGACCTCGCCGGAGCCCCCGGCACGCCGCACCAAGCACGCCGGCGCCGGCGCCGCCGACCCGAGCAAGAACCCGCACAACCTCATCGAGAAGCGCTACCGCGTCAACATCAACGAGAAGATCCTCGCCCTGCGCGACGCCGTGCCCGCCCTGCGCTGCGCCATGCAGCTCCAGCAGCCCGGGGCCGAGGCCGCCGACAACGACGACGACGCCGCCGTCGCCGAGGAGCTCGGCGGTCTCATGCCCGCGCGCAAGCTCAACAAGGCCACCATCCTCAGCAAGGCTACCGAGTACATCAGCCACCTGGAGAAGAAGAACGAGCGCCTGGCGCGGGAGAATGAGGAGCTCGAGAAGAGGCTCTCTGAGGCGCAGAGGTGGCAGAGGGCGCAGGCGGAGGCCGCGGGGTACTGGGTTTAGACGGCTGTGCGTTTTGTTTTGGGCAATGGGCGTGCGTCTTTTGCGCGCATTGTGTGTTATATGATACCCCCCCCCCCCCTCCCCTTTTCCTTGCGAGAGTGGTTAAGTGAACGAGTGGGTGTGTGCATAGGATGGGCGGGAAAGGCTTGATCGGTCTTGTTTTCTGGGTCTGCCATGCGGAAGTGTGTGCCTTACTGAGGAGTCGCCTGAGTTGGCACACAGTGGGTTCTCTCTGGGAGAGCCATGGGCGTTTTACGATTTGGCAAAAAGAAGTCAACGTGGTAATGAATGATGAGAGCTGGTCATAATCTCCTCTAACAGGTTTGCCTCGGATATCGAGGTGTGAATTTACAAGTGTTCTGCTTGGCTCCCTTGATTGCGTATCTAAAAACCGGGTTCCATGTTTCCTCAACAAAGGGTGTCCTCGATTCATATTCATGACTGTTACACTCTTGTATGCGCAAAGATCAATGCCCATTGTGCTCGTGAGGTAGGCTTTCCCGAATGTCCAAGTGAAGTCCTATTATGAAAATCGCTCAATTCTGCTCCTGATTCATAGAATAGTCGGATGTGAGAGAAGTGTAGATGGGTCTTGACGAAGGGGAGTGAAACCCACGATATCAACCTGACGTAGCTGTCGTACGAAGATTTTGAGCAATTTCTACAGAACTGTGAACCGATTCCGGAGCTACCGCTGGTGAGACAAAACCAGGATGATTCGCCTATTTCTCATCTAGTACATCGAGAGAACAACAAGGTCCCTGTCGGAACCTGATGTCTTTGTCCATCTCAACGACAAGACCAACAAGTGCATTGTTCTCTGCCAAAGCCCTTCCTCAGGTGTTCTTCAACGACAGAGGATCACCGACAAAGAAATCGAGAACGCCACAGATAGCTCACATCGCTCTCACGAAGATACAAAAAGGGAACTACATCCATCACTCCAAACATGTCGAAGCTATACAGGACACAACCATCGAAGCTTCCAAGCACAAATCGAAACAGGTCTCCCTCCACTCTGGTAAGTGGTCTCTCCCGTGCTCTGACTTGACAAGCAAGGAAAAGAAAATGTCCGAAGCAGGTCTCCAGATCCGCTGCATCGGCTGCCACCAGCGATGTGCCTGCTATTTTGAACACTGTCACATATTCGCCTGCCACACTCCCAACTGCGAGTTCCGGACCGCACCCCCCAACGTCAACGACCGCGTGCTTCCCGACGGGACCGTCATGTTCGAGGACAACGACTGCGCGCGGGCCTATTTTGTGCCTCCCGATCTCCTTGCTGGCGGGGCCGTCCTCTGCATCCTCGACACGCGCAGGGATATGTGCATCGACGTGGCCATCCAGAGGCCCAGCGGCGTGATGGAGGTTGTGCTTCTCGAGCCGTTGACACTCCGTCCGCCGAGGACGGGACCGTCGTTTGACGGATGGAATTGGCGAAGGGCCTTTGTGCCAGTGCACAGAGAGCTTTATACGCATGAGCGGTATGTCGACAGGCGGTGTCGCAAGAGACACCGATGAGGGCCACGACGAGTGTCTTGACGGTAGGCTGCAGGCCATGCGTGAAGAACTCAGGAGACTGAGAGAGGCGTCATATCGTTTCGCTCATGAAACGAGCCTGATTCTTGCGAGCATTTAAATCAGTGTAGGTTTTGACTATACAAAAGCGATTCCAGTAACCAGCCTTCAGGGCGGCCGTATCTGCGGTGCTTCCAAAGAATTCTGGCTTTGAGATCTAGCCCGAAAAGCCAAACTTGAGAAAAGGCATGTTAATAAACACCAAATACCCCAGTTAACCAAACGAGAGCCTCGTATGAAGTCGTTGATTGACATGCCTGAGTGACCTTACTTGCCTTGTCCAGCAGAGAGCATTGCTTGCAGTTGAGAAAATGGGTGCCTCTCATGCTCCCACGCAAAGCCCCTACGTGAAAACTCAATTGCCACCACTCAATCGCAAGACTAGTGCAATTGGGTCTGCCAGCGGCTCTCGTTGATAATCTATGTCGTGCCCGGACCGCAAGACGCTCGTGTCATCTCTTTTGGATACTTGAGTGACCAGACATGCGGCAAACTCAACATCTTCTGTCAACTCTGCGGGGCAGACCCAGGTGTCGTGCCCAAAGTCTGGTGACAGTTCGTGTACGGACGGCATGAAGAGTTGATAAATGGTTTCGACAAGGTCACCAACGCGGAACTGTCCACCCTCGCCGACGACGGCAACGGCAACGGCAAGTGGTTTAAACGTTTTGAAGATACGCGTCAAGCTGATGAAGGAATATCGGGTTGAACGTCCACCACTCGCAGATGCGTTGCAGACGCTCAAGTCGTTTATCCGGCTCCGCGATGAGCCTGCCGTGGCGGATAACACGCCTGTTACTGCCATAGAGGTTCAAGGGGGTATCACAGCACCGGAACAATTCGTGTGATGCGAGCGTCCAGCGTTCTTCATCATCGTGTAACCAGTAAACATGGCATGGCAATGAAAGGAGACTGGTCGGCTTAGTCAGCGTACTGGATTTCGAGCACCTACCTCGGCATGGAATCCTTCTCTTCGCGTATGCCTGAATGTCGGTGAATGTGACAGATGCTGTGCAGAAAGTGGCGTTTCCGCAGCCAAGAGCTGTCTGTCCCGATGGCCGTGGTCCGATGGAACGTCCTTGAGCGTCCTGTGATGGAAGGGTGGTCAGGCGACAAGGGCGAACAATGACCACAAGCTGGGTGCTGGCCCAATGCGAATGCAGATCCGACAGCATGTGGCTGGAAAAGTCATAGGAGATGCCCTTTTCCTCTCGAAACGTGACTGTGAAGGGACGACTGGGGCCATGATTCGCAGGGTCAACCAGGTACACCCAGAGGCAGCCAAGCAGGGCCAGGATCCTGGGCCTGAGGGGAGGGGTTGGAGGGGCTGGGATAGAGAAGGCGATACAGAAGGATGAACTGATGACAGGTCGAACGGCTGGATGCTGTGTCGTGACTGAGTAGCTCGCAGTTCGTCCATATACTCCTGGCGGGCAAGATGGATCAATGTGCCCTTTTGAGTACTCATGTCGAAACCTACCTACCTACCCTACAGTAGGTAGGTGTGTACACGAACGAGAACACAAAATGGATCATGACGAGAGTTCCCGAGAAACGTGTGTGCGTACCATGGACAGAAGGTGCCCCTCCCAAGAAAAGAGGTGGGGCCGACGTTGTGTGACCGACCCGCTGTGACCTCATTGCTGGAACCAAAAGCATGGACCTCAGCATTTCTGCCATGGCTGCGGTTTGGGGGGCCGCCTCCAAGCTGCTTCAGCAGGTGCAGTTCCCCGAGCCCAACATGTAGACGTGCTATGTCCCAGCCAGTTCGTATATCGACTTGACTGACTTGGGAACTGGCGATGCAGCGGATATGCGGAATCCATACCCATGCATCTTGCAGTCAGCAGGAGCATCCTGGAGCATCCTATCCAAGTGCTTCAGGTACAGGGTGGTTTGTTGTTCTCACTACCAAGGTGCCTAGGTAGTGAAGTAGTATGTAGGAAGGGTACCTACCTAATAAGGTAGGTATGTAGGTGGTGGCAGTGGCATGTCCACTGTTGTGACCTGCACCACAGCTACCCTGGCAGGCAGGCGCCTGGCAACCCCAACAATTTCCAGCTACAGGCACCTCACTTACCTAGGTAGGCACCTACGGTAGGTGCCCTGGCTTCGGGGCCTGCCCGTGGACTAACACCGCCCTGAATCGACAGCGCTGCTCCACGGCGTCCTCCAGTTGCCTAGGTGTCCCTGATCAGATCACCATCTACACATGGCAATGTAACAGCTGATAACCATGTCTCCATCAACGACAAGTGAACTGCATCCATCACATCTACGTGTACCTCGTGCCGCCGACACAGTGCTTGTTGACTGCTGGCTTGCTTATCCGACCGCCCTGTCGCCCCGCGCAATCCTTCAACGACCCTGTCAGGGCCTCTCCAAGACCCAAGACCGACCAACAGTCAGGGTTGCTTGCTTGCATTGAATCTTGACAAGCTCCGCCTGCCAGGGGTGGCCCAGCCGCGCCTTTACATCATCACGCCCTCTCGGGCTCGCACGCTCGCACGCTCGCACGCATGCTCTACTGGCCCCCCTCCATCGCTGCGGCTGTTGTTGACGCTTCCTTCCCGTTCTGTTGCAGCCCAACACATCGGTTCAGGTTACTCGTCCTGCCTCTGAGCATCCTGCATCCTCTGGCCCCGGTCTTCCGACTCTCACCCAGCCTTGAACAGCTTGCTTCCCGTCCACCTTTGCATCATCGTTGCCTCCCCATTCTCCCGCAACAGAGACCGAACGAGGCCTCGACTTGCTGCCCTGAGCTTTCTTTTGCGCCGACGCCGACAACTACCCCGCGCCGGCCCCCAGTACATATCGTCAAGACGGATGCCACCACAGCACAAGCGCGCGCGAATTCAGTGACGTCCTCAGCCTCAAGTCATCCGAAACGCAACTCTCGCTACGGACTACGTCTTGACCTGCACCACCCCATCCGCCACTAGACTCTAGACTCTAGACACTCCTCACCATCGCGCGCGATCCCCCATCTGCACTGCATCGCGCTTGAACTACACCCGGAATCTTGGCTTCTGCTTGACCGAACCCCAAAACCCTAACCCCCAGGCAACACAGCACCAGTCGACCGAAGCGCCGACTACAATCTTCTCGCGCACGCAAGGAGCCTCTCCCCACGACCAGCAGCACTTGGTATCACCCTAGCACGGGTTCCCCCTCTGACAACGCGGAGGCCCGATCATCTTATCTCACCACGGTGACCCGCACGAATTGCATGCACAGAACTTGCGTGCGCGACCGAGCCGAGCAACCGCAACCCGACTATCGTCCTGACAGCACCTCAACCAACCCCGATCTGACCAGAACCCAGATCCAAGCTGGGTAGACAATCGCCACCCACCAATTGACCACCGCTGCGTCGAGAGAACAACAGTGACCGCGCATCACAGCAACACAGCATGGCCGGCGAGCAGGAACAGGCCCAAGAGGCTGCGGCAGCGCAGAAGGCCTCGGCCACGCAAAAGTCCGATCCCGACCCTGAACTCGAGCCTGTCGCAACATCTGCCGTCGCCAACGGGAGCGCGGGGGCGCCCAAGAAGAAGAAGAAGGAAGCCCTCAAGCCCATCATAACCACAGAAACTCCCCAGTATGTCCATTTGACTTTCTTTGCTGTCTCTTTTTTTTTCTCGACATGAACATCATTTGTGCGCGCGCTGCCCTCCCCCTCCTTCCCATGTTGATTTACAGGCCCGCGCCATTTATTTTTGCGACTCGTCGGGGTCAGGCTCATGTGGCGGGGTGGAGGAAGCAAGCAGGAAAAGACACGAGAGACGCTACTGGGGTCGAAACACGGGCCTAGCTGTACAGGCGGGCTGCTGCGGCCAGGCGAGCAGGCGAGCAGGCGAGCAGGCGACTCGAACAGCACCCACGCGAGCGCCGCTCAGACCTATCAGAACCGGTCAGAGGCAAGGTCTGATCATCATCAGAGGCTGGCAGGCGGTACTCAGGCGGCGGCACACGCTGCAAGCTGCCCAGTGGCATGCACATCGCAGGGGGGGGGGAAGGAGGCTGTTCCTGTCCAGTCTGCTGCTCCCGCTCAGCTCCATGTCCCCCTAACATCTTGTCCTATCGTTCTTCATCAGCATTTTGCTGGGCATAACTGGCCTACCACCCCCCCCCCCCCTCGCACTCTTCTCGCCCCCCTGCTCCGTGCCTCAAAGAGAGACCCGCCCGCCTCGTCGGGCACACCTCAAGTTGTGTTCTGCTTGTTCCATCCTCACCACATGGCTTAACCCGGCGACAGTCCTTGAACCGGATCCGGTTCTGGCACTCTCCCACTGCATCATTCCTTCGCCTTTTGCCATTTGCTTTACGAGTTTCCCTTGTCAAACTGATTGCGCTTTGCGCGCAATGTCGCGAAGATGAGCTTCATCAAAACAAGGTTCTGCTGCCCGAAATGTTGTACCTACCCGCCGCGCTGCCTAGGCCCGGTCGCGAAACCCTCAGCTTCCCCGCCAATTTTGCACCGCCGTTTCTTTTGTCGGGCGCTTGCGGCGCCCACCACCTCTTCTGCTACCACCTGCTAACCACTCTTCTCTCCACGCAGAGCCCATCAACTGTCCGCCATGGCGTCGCCATCGTCCCCGTCGTCAGACGAGCAAGAAAACACCGCCGACGAGGAAGACTCTGAGGACTACTGCAAGGGTGGTTATCATCCTGTCCAGATCGGGGAGCGCTTCAAGGATGGAAAATACACAGTCGTGCGAAAGCTTGGATGGGGTCACTTCTCGACTGTCTGGCTCTCGCGGGACAATACGGCCGGCAAGCACGTTGCGCTCAAGGTCGTTCGCTCCGCCGCCCACTACACCGAAACCGCCGTCGACGAGATCAAGCTCCTCAACAAGATTGTCCAGGCCAAGCCCAACCACCCTGGCCGGAAGCACGTCGTCAGCCTTCTCGACTCGTTCGACCACAAGGGACCCAACGGCACCCACGTCTGCATGGTCTTTGAGGTCTTGGGCGAGAACCTGCTCGGCCTGATCAAGAAGTGGAACCATAGGGGAATCCCCATGCCCTTGGTCAAGCAAATCACGAAGCAGGTCCTGCTGGGTCTCGACTACCTCCACCGCGAATGCGGCATCATCCATACCGACCTGAAGCCCGAAAACGTCTTGATTGAGATTGGCGACGTCGAGCAGATCGTCAAGAAGGTCGTTAAGAGCGACACGAGCGAGAAGGAAGGCAACCGTAACGGCCGCAGGAGGAGAAGAACTCTCATCACCGGCAGCCAACCTCTACCCTCTCCCCTCAATGCGAGTTTCAACCAAAACAACATGTTCCCATCGTCCGAGTCTCACAGCAGCCTCGGGCAGATGCTGCACGAAGGTATGTGCGGTCGCGCAAGAATGCAGCCCCCTCCTCGCACTCTACCCCACCTTCCAATCAGCCCCGCGCACACCGCATCGGTCATCACGATGGAGGCCTGCAACCCCCCACCTGCCCCCATTCATGTATGCCATTTGGGGAGAAAGACACCGACTGACGAGTTGTCACAGGCAAATCCAAAGAAAACTCACCAAAGCGTGACAAGAGCGCCGACCAGAAGCAGCGTGAAAAGACCGCGTACGTTTCCTTCTGCAATGTCCCATCACGACAGTGAATGCTGACGTCGCTTGTACAGCGATCTTCTCACCAGGGAAGTCTCTGGTATCTCCCTCGACAAGGCGAGCAGCTCGTCGGCATCGTCTGGCGAGAAGCGCAAGGCGGACGATGGCTTCACACTCGAGGTCATCAGCGTCAAGATTGCCGACCTCGGCAATGCCTGCTGGGTCAACCATCATTTCACCAATGATATTCAAACTAGGCAGTATCGTTCCCCCGAGGTCATTCTGGGTGCGAAGTGGGGTGCGAGCACCGATGTCTGGAGCATGGCTGCGATGGTAAGACCTTCAAGATCCTGTCCACGTCGACGCACAGTATCTCCTTTTGACGAGTCGCTGACTAGTGACAGACATTTGAGCTCATCACGGGCGATTACCTTTTTGACCCCCAGTCCGGTACCAAGTACGGCAAAGACGACGACCACATTGCTCAAATAATTGAGCTTCTCGGCCCATTTCCGAAATCGCTTTGCTTGTCTGGGAAGTGGTCTCAGGAGATCTTCAATCGCAAGGGCGAACTACGCAACATCCACAGGCTTCGTCATTGGGCTTTATCCGATGTGCTAAGAGAGAAGTACCATTTCAAAGAGGAGGAGGCTAAGCGCATCGCCGACTTCCTTGGCCCCATGCTCGAGCTCGTTCCAGAAAAGCGTGCCAATGCTGGCGGCATGGCTGGACACGCGTGGCTCACTGACACGCTTGGCATGAAGGGAATTAAGGTTCAGGGCCTTGAGGTGGGAGGCCGCGGCGAAGGTATTGAGGGCTGGGCAACAGAGATCAGGAAACGGTAGTGGATTTCACTACGTACGACAACATGAATCGGAACACACTTCACAACCGCACAGGACAAATTGGGGATACGAAAGGTGCTGAGCCCTTCCTCGTCTCGTCACAACACAACACATCGCTGGTCAACGTTTGCTTGGTTCCTCTCGTCGCGGGTTTCAAGTCTGGGCAATGGCTGTGCCTCCACGTCTAAGGAAGAGCGTTGTTGTGAGAGGCTAAACAAACACGTGCACTGGGCGAACAGAGGATGGGCCGAGGAAACAGGGACATGCCGACGTTGCTACACTACACATTGCTATACGCCGAGCAGCCTACACCACAATTGGTGGAACCGGTTTGAGGAGTACCGCAGCTGGGAGCTTGTTATTCATGGCTTGTCGGTCTGCATGAAGGATAGATAGACCACTGACTTTTTCATGGAGTTCGTGCCTTGGAATCAAAGTGAGCACTCAATTGAGAGTCCACGGGTCATGTCGGGGCACTACTGCGTGATCACTGCACGTCTTTCACAAGCGGCCACACGAGTTGCGATGACATGTGAAACAAGCTCGTCAATCGGTCCACGCAGCCCAAGGTCGTGCAATGCGTGCATCTTGCGTCCCGCCGCTCTCTCTTCTCTGTAGATCCTCTTTCGCAATACATGCATGGCCATATACACAGGGCGAATGATGAAGAGAGGGGCGCCATTGTGGGTCGGGTTTTGATGTTCAAATCTTGTGAATTGGTGCCAATCTCGACGAGACAGATAATCGCCACGCGGAGCGCGCAGCGGTCTCGAGCAGGCGGAGGGGGCCACAACATCGCGATATCCCTATCTGACATGACAAGAGCCCAAACGCCGTATCCCCAATCCCGACCGTGACATGCCCTCTTGAACGGGCGTCGCCCCACCTCACCAAAATCTACTACATCTCCACACTGCTCAACGCTTCTTCGCCTTCTGGGTCATCTTGCGGAAGGCCTCTGCGCCGCTGGCGCCGATGGGGCGGTGGTCGGGCGCCGTCGTCGGGTCGAACGTGCTCACGGGGGCGATGCTGTAGCTGGCAGGCAGGCCGCCGGGGCGGGCGCGGTTGCTCTTGACGCCGTTGGCGAGGAAGCGCTCGCGCTCGGCGTCGCGGGCCGAGATGGAGGGACGCTGAGCGAGTGTGTACTGCGAGTTTGCGTTGCGCAGGGAGGCCTTGTGAGCGCTGGAGAGGAGACAAACTTGTTAGCAGGGAGGGGTCACCGGGGTCTTCTGAATGGGGGGTGGGGGTGGACAAACTCGTAGTCGTAGTCGCGCGTTTCAATCTGGCGCTTCCTGTAATCGTCGGTGCGCTTCAGCAGGGGACGGCTCCATTCGCCGAGGAGGCGGTCGGCCATGCGCTTGATGCTGACTTCGGGCCGCTTCGAGTGTTTGTAGAAGAGGACGACCTTGCCGATGCCGGAACTGAGGAGGACTTCCTTCTCTAGGGTCAGGTTGCAGAGCGCGGTAAAGATGTCTCGCTGAATGTTATACGCGGGTAGACTGCCGTCGTTGAGGGGCTCGAGGAAGAACTTGACGTGCTGGAGGAAGTTGGTGTCCGGGTCGAGCACGGCGTGCTGAACGGTAGTACGGTTCAGCAGAGCGGTGACCTCTGGCAGCAACTTCAGCTTGTGCACGGCGGGCTGGCCGGCCTCACGAGCCTTGTTGTCCGACTCGCAGGCACCTTCCATGCGAAGCTTCAGCGAGGCAATGTGATCGTCAATCTCGTCTTCCAAGTCCTGTCGTAAACGTTAGTAAGCCATAGCCCTATCACGTCCATCGGAACCTAGAGCTTGGCGAACACATACCTCCTCGTCCTTCCTCTTTCTCCTCTTCGTAGGCTTCTTGAAGACACCGTCCAGCGTCCGGTCGATCGCTCTTTGCCTTCGCTCCTCAGGCGAGAGATGGTCCTCGTTCTCTGGCTGGGGCGATGGTTTCTGCGCGCGGGGTCGCGGCTCTGCGCCGCGGCGGGATTTCCGCGATGGCCTGCTCTCGTCAAAGTCGCCATCCGCAGCCTCGTCCTCGTCGGCGCGCGAGCGCTTCTTCTCGCGGCGGCCCTCCTTCGGCTTCCTCGTCTTGTCGCCGTCCGTCTGCTTCCTCTTGGAGGCCTTCAGGGTCTTTGCAACATCCTCGTCCACGGCTACGGGACGATCCTCAATGTTCGCTGTCTCGGGGTCGTAGTCTTCGAATTGATTCTCGTCAATCTCGGAGAGGGCGTCGGACTCGACATCGGAGAGGTCCTCGGCCGTGGCTCCGTCGACGCCCTCACGGGGCTCCTCAACATCGTCGACAGTATCTTGACCGACGGCGGCCGGAGAGCCTGGAAGGGACTCGATGTCGGACATTGTGAAGAATTTGTGGCGACCCGACGTTGACAAGAGCAGGTGTCGAAGAAAGTGTCCAGGCCGTGAGACGGCTCTCCTTTCCGTAGTGAGTGGATTTCCTCGTGCTAATTAGCGTGTTTCGGGTGCTTCTTTGGATGTGCCGTAGTGAGTTTATGGCGTAAAGAGGATTTGCCGATGCCGTCGGATGTCGCGTGAAGATTATAGCATCTAGTTGAGAGAGGATGGGATGTCCTGCCCCGTCCCGAAAAGTGAGGTATGGAATATAGAAGTGACGATGGTCCAAGCGTCCGGGCTATTCAATGCCCAGACTTTCCTTCTCTCTCTCAGCTCCCAGACAAACGTGCGACGGGCTCGGTACGTACAGGCTGGCGGGTAAACTTCGGTAGTGTGGAAGAGCTCGCGCGGGCATACAGCGGCTGGCGAGCGGGTCGCGTTGCCTGAGGCGAGGGGCAATGTTTACTTTGAATGCCGACAGAATTCCAGACGTCCAGGCTATCTCATTTTCCGCCTGGAGCGCACACCCTATGTTGCGACCGTTGCGCCCTTGTTTTTCTCCTTCGTTACAATCTTGACCAAAGCAGTTCTTGGGCGCAAAATACTACATTAAGCATGGATCGCAGAACGTACGAAAGTCCCATGGAGTGGGAATACCAAGATCAAAGGGGCCCATTGGATGCCACCAGTCCATTTTCTCATGTCGCCAAAAGCCAGGCGACTCGCATCGGTGCGTCTTCCTTCTTCAGACCCTCACTCCTGCCTTGAATCTCGCACTTCAGCGCTAACTTGGCTGCAGATTTCAGTTCCCCCAGCAAGTTGAGCTCCAGCCGACCGAACCCATTTGCCAACAGCCCATCGAAGCCCTTGCCTCCGTTGCCTCAAACCTCCCTCTTCTCGCCACGCATCCAACATACCAACACGGCACCACCTTTCAGGAATCCCGCCTTCACGACTCCACGCAAGCCTTTTGATGAGACACTCTTCTCGGAGGCCGAGAGCAGTCCTGCGCTGACTGAAGCCTCGGATCTTCCCAACGACACACCCGACGTTGATCGCACCACGGACCTCAGCATGGGCGGCATGTCTCCTTCCAGGATCAACAAGAACCTGCGTTATGCAAGGTCACCCGGCCAACACCTCAAGCGACATATGCCGGGCAAAGGCGAGATCTCACGAGCTCACCGCGACCATGCCGGGGCGCTGCGCAAGCGCAAGCGGCACAACTATGACCGGGACGTCGGCAACGTGCGTTACGACTCGTCGCGAGAGACGTCTGCATCTGATTCGGAAGACGAGGATGGATATCAACGGCAGAAAAAACAGGGCGGCAAGGGCTCAAAGAAGAAATCAGGCGCGTCAAAGAGCTGGTTCGAGACCATTGTCCAGACAATCAACCAGAACCCGAATATGCCCGACAACCTGGCCAAATGGATGACCTTCTTCGTCAACGCCGGCGTCGTCAGTGTGTTCCTCTACTTTGGCTGGTCTCTGTTTTCCACCGTCAGCACAGACATTGCCAACGCCCATGACGCGGCGCGGCGAGACATTGTCACCAAGGCACTCGAGTGCAACAACCAGTACATCCTCAATGGCTGCGAGAAGAAGGACAGGCCTGCGTTGAAGGCCATGTGCGATGAGTGGGACGAGTGCCGCATTCAGGACCCGGAGTCCATCATGCGGGTCAAGAACACGGCCAAGCAGGTGGCAGAGGTTATCAACGAATTTGCTGGAACCATGAGTCTTCATGCCTGGGTACGCTGTTGTCTGCGCGTTTGGCGTTCTTGCGATCACTGAGCATTTACTAATCATCTGTCGTCTTTGTAGTGTTTCTTCTTTGGCATCTTGCTTCTCTGCCTCGGACTCAACGCCTGGAGCCATGTGCAGATAGGAACGAGCGCCAAGGCCGTGCACCCCGTTCCTTCCAACGCAGCAGCCGACGTGGGCCACCACCCGCAGCCCTCGGGATTCCCAGGCGACTCAGCGCAGGCCTACATGTGGGTGCCGATACAGACGCCATCTCATCGCCGGCAGCTTGACTTTGACGCCGACGGAACAGACACGGATGGCGCATCACCACCATTCCGCAAAACTATTCTGCCGCCCCCGCAAACACCGTCGAGAAGGAGTCCAAGCAAGGGAGACTACAGCCGAAGTCCGGTGAAGTACGGGCGATCCCCGAGTAAGGGCTATTGAGAAGCGGCAGTCGTTCACGACTAGCTCCGTGAGACCATTTCTTTTGTCAGGCCTTGGAAGCGCAAACTTGCACGGATGGGTTTCGTATGGACTAGGTTATGAGGACTTTTGTAGCATACAGCGGGGGGGGGGGGCTGAACGGAACAAAAAGCCGATATATGCATGAATGCGATTTTGCAGGTAACAGCCGCCGGCCAGCGTGATCGCCGATGCCACCAGACTGCCACAAGCAGGGCCCCATGAATACGCACTGAGCAGGGAAGGCAATGCAGGATCTAGTCTCGTGTACGTAACTTGGTGGGTTCGACAAGCCTGACAGGTAGATCTGTAAGAATCTGCCATGTTGCCGGGCGGTACATATAGAACGATTGACTTTGGAACGGTGTTGCGCTGGCGACCGGGGCACATGTGGATCATCATTATGACGTCAGGAGGCTGCATGTAGTCTGGCGCGCCGCGCTACGGATCACGTAGCTACTTTCTGCTAGGCGGCTTAGCAGGCGTGTCTGCTCGCGAATGAAGGTCTCTACCCCGGCTTGCCCAGGTACCTTACAGGCAGGTAGGTGCCGAGCTCGCCCTCCGCAGTGTAACTCGAGCTCTGAAAGCTCGGACGGGACACATGCGCCACTGAGCCCTGGGGCCATTAGGTGGGATTCCCATCGAGCAGGCATCGGCATCAGCTCCCCATTGGCGTAGTTATGCTGGTCCGATGATGGCATCGGCTGTCAGTGAGGGGGCTTGCATCTGCCACCAGCTGAACTGCGCAGTTCATAGGCTCGTTGCAATGCTTTGGGGTGGCACCGAAGCTCAGTGTCGCAAGTCAGATCCTGACCTCGATTTCTTGAATTCCCTTGCATATTCACCTAACCCCGCGCATCTCCTTCCACGCGTGACTGCCAAAAACCTCCGAGACGGTCAAACCAACTATACACACGACGAAAAGCGAGACCCAGTGGAAGGCACAAACCAAGCTGACTGTCTGCGCTCCCTTGTCCCGTTGCCATTTGTTGAGAAGCACAACTCAACCAAGAGCTTGCGCCATCCCGATCCTCGAAGCTGTTTGGCGCATTGTTGACTGTTGCTGCTGCTTTCATGGAGCTTAGGCAAACAGAGGCTGCGAGCTAGAATACAGCTGGACGGACGTGAGCTTCCCCCCCTCCCCCCCCCCCCCATTGAACGCAAGCTACCCGCAAGTGTTGATTTCATCTCTCCTTCGCGCCTGCCTGCCTGTGCCTGCCTGTACTTGCCCGCACATGCCATGAACGATGCGCACTGGAATGCCTCACTTCCCGTGGTTCACCTCTCCAGCGCGATTCTGTTCCCGAACTGCAGAGTGTCTTGCTGACCGGAAGACGAGATAGCCCAACGTCGCTTCACAACCCAAACCACTCTGCTTTCATATTGCCGATCAATCAAGTTAACAACCGCCAACACGCCGGTCGCGGAGGGCCTCAGCATGTTGAATAGACCACGAAAGCTTCCCTGTCCGCGACCGTAATACAAATTCCCGACCAAGGAGGCTGGGTTTAACTCGTTCAACCGACGATCCGGCAAGAATTGCCCATCCTGAAACGCACTGCGTCTCCCAAGATGGAGGAGGCAAACAGCGACAGCCATGATGGTGATGGACAGGCCTCCTCCTCCGCCGCGCCCTCGGCACCCCAATCCAATTCAACACCATCCGCGCCCTCGAGCTCTGGACCCCCCTCCGTTGGCCCATCGGGCTCGACACCAGCCCAGCAGCCAACAGCATCGCACAACCCGCTGTCTAAACGGCGTCGAGGGCTGGGGATTGTCACCCCCAATGCCTGCACAGAATGTCGAAAGAAGCGGGCAAAGGTACGTGCCCCGCCCCCGCCAGTTGCTAGAAAGCGCGACTGACTCGCGCGTCTCCCATCCAGTGCGATGGACGCAAACCGTGTAGTCGTTGTCAGGGCCAAAAGGACATTGAGTGCGTCTACGAGATACCGGTGCGTCAGTCCAAGGAGAACCTCCGCACTGAAATTGAGCAACTGCGCTATCGACAGCGCTCGAGCGACCAGGTCTTCGCTGCCCTCGTGCGGCCAGATGCCTGGGAGGAAGTCCTCAAGCGCCTGCGCAGCGGTCAGTCCGTAGAGGCCATATCCGACTGGCTCGGAGTGGCCCTGCCGCCTGGCGGCTCGGTACCATCTTTTGGTCGGTCAACTGGAGAGGCCTCGGGATCTTCTGCAGTTTCTCTGGCTCCCATAACAACCCTGGGACTCGGACGCGGCGGCTCGTCTAACAAAAGCCCATTGACTGCCAGCCAGCCGTCTGGCCTGAGACAGGAACTCGACCCGAACAGCCCATGGAACTTTTCCTCATATAGCCACAGCACGAGGAGCACCTCCCAATCACATCCTGACTCGATGAATTGGAACACCGACGGGAACAATCAGCCACCACAGAACAAGGTTGGCTACTGGGGCGACTCTCTCGGCGGCGAACATGTCGAAACGAGTGTCATGTCCTATAGGGGTCTCGACCAGGTCCTTGCACCGCTCGAGGCTCCCAAGATGAAGGCGCCAGCCAGCACCTGGTCAAACATCTCGACAGACATTGTCCTTGTTCAACATCTTCTGGCGCTCTACTTTTGCTGGGAATATCCCACGTTTGCTTCTTTGAGCAAGGAACATTTTCTCAAAGACTTTCAACAAGGCAGGCCACGCTACTGCTCGCCCATTCTGGTGAACGCCCTACTCGCCTTGGGCTGCCGGTTCTCAACAAAGCCGTCCACCCGTGCCGTTCCCGATGACCCGTACACTTCGGGAGATCACTTCTTCAAGGAAAGCCAACGTCTCTTCTACTTGGAGGAGGATCACCATACCTTGACTACCATCCAGGCGCTCGGTATCATGTCGATACGCGAGGCTAGCTGCGGACGCGATTCCGAGAGCTGGTACTACGCGGGTCAGAGCATCCGGCTTGCAATAGAAATGGGCCTCCACCAAATCGACGGTGATGGAGATGCAGATGAGCTTGCCGTGCAGGCCGCGACGTTCTGGGGCGCTTTTGGGCTTGACCAGTATGTTTCTCATGATCACGCGGAACCAACGTTGAGGCCCCAAACTAACGATACTTTTCATCAAGTGCCTGGTCCCTTGCGACAGGCTCACTACCTCAGTGTTCCTGTTATCCTCACCTACCTCCCAAACCAGCCATCATCGACGATATAGAGGCGTCCCTGTGGATTCCGTATACTGACGACGGTATGAAACTCCCACCGATTCCAGCCTCTGCTTGCTGTTCGCTACTGACTCTGCGTACAGGTGCGCCGCTGCAGCGCTCAGCGGAGCAGCCTTCCAATGTACGATCGGTGTACCGGTGTTTCTGTGAACTGAGCGAACTCGTGCACCAGTCGCTTTATGTCCTCCACTCGCCCGGCCGACCTTTGACAAGTCGTGACCTTCTCAGCCTCTACACGCAGTACCTTAATTGGTACGACCGCATCCCCGAGGTGCTCCGTCTCGGCCATAATTTCACGCCGGCCGTTCTCTTCACACAGTAGGTGCCCCCTCACTTTCTCACCAGTAGTCTGGGTCTGAGAACTTCGTTGTTTTCTTCCTTCCCACAACGCTGACTCCTGCGGTAGCATGTACTATCACTTTGCTATCCTGCTGCTTTTCCGACCCCTGATCAAGCTGAGGATTATTGGTTCAAAGATATCTCCCCGCGATGTCTGTTCGCAAGCGGCAGATGCGATTCAGGGCCTGCTCCGCTCGCACTCTCAACTCTACACTCTTCGTCGCACGCCATCGTTCGTGCCATACTTTGTTTTGACCTCGGCTATCATGCATCTTGCGATCAGCGCGCCGGTGACTCAGTCGTCAAACAAGAAGGAAGGGATCATGAACCCTTCTGAGGAAGCCAAGGACTCTGTCGACAGTCACGTGGCACAGGCTATCAAACAAGGCGTCGAAGACCTGAAAGAAATGTCGCCATGCCACCACTTTGCCGAGCAGGCGCTCAACATTCTTCGCTACCTCGCGCACAAGTGGAACATTGAGGTGGACATGGGCAGTGACAACGTGCCACTGGAAGAGTATGCGCGCAGCGCCAGGCCGTTCACGAGTAGTCTCAACTTTTTTGCGCCCAACGTACGCGAGGAGGACTTTGTCTGCGAATGGGGTACCGGCGCGGGTGATGGAGTCCCGCGAGAGATGTCTTCTGTTGAAGGGCTGTCGGCGCTGGCATCTGGCAGCGGGGAACAAGAAGAGACGACGGAAGGCAAGGCATATGCGCGTGCTGCCATGTCGGCCGCAGCGGAAAATCATCTGTTCTGGCCCTTCCCCATGCAAGGGCGCCCAATACTGCCGACTGGACAACTGCTGCGCGATGCTGGGTTTGAGAAGCTGTGAACACACAGTCGCGGGCCCGGATGGATGTACATGTGTACGAGGGAGGGCGACGGATGGGAGAAGTGCAATGTTCAAGCAGCGAACGAGATGTATACCCGAGTGCACAATGTATGAATGAAAGGACATTGGCGCCGTCGATACATGCCTGTTTCGTGCATCCTGCGCGAGGCTGTATCGAAGATGTTGGGAGTATGGCTGTGAGGTGAAGGCCAACGTGAGGTACCGCACCTACCTCAGGCACCTCACCAACCTCGGGAGTTACTGCCATGGCGACTCAATGACGCTCGGGCCACCTAGCTGACTCTCTCACGTCTTGCACCGAATGGGGCATGAGCGCCCCAGCAGCAGCTGCCTCGGCTGATTGACGGTTGCGCCTGGTAGTTGAACGACTGCCGAACCACGAGATGCTTCGTCCATGACACGCGCCTCTCGACGAAGCCCCTCCCACTACCCTCTCATCACCCATCATCACCATCATCGCCAAAACCACGGTCGCGCCATTATTCCGATACCCGCTCCTCTGTCATTCCATCTCGTCTGCTCTACGCCTGTCAATCTATAATCAAGATACCTCTACTTGTCGCGCGCGCTTCTCCTTCAATGCGATGCCCGCGCCACTGAACGGGCTTTCCAAGTCCAACACGCCAAAACCGCAACCCTCTTCATACCGTTCCTCCATCGGCAGCGTCCTATCTCTCCCGCCAAAATGGCTCCAAAAGTACGAAGATTTCATCACCAAGAACGGGAGCCAGGTCTCTCAGATTGAATCTGGCCTGAGGTCCCTCACATACGTCATTCCAGGTACGTCTCTTCCGCATGGACACGATGGCATCCAACGTGCAACTGACTTTGCACCGTCTAGGTCGCTTTCGCGACGCCGAGATAGCCTCCGAGACTGTCCACTCGAGCGTGCAGCTGCTGTCGCTCTACCACGACACCCTTCTCACGCGAGCCCTCTCACGGCTGCCCATCACCAAAATCCCATCCCCACACAATCGATACACACAGTTCTGGACCCAACGCAACACCATGTATCGCCGCGTCGCGATGCTCCTGCAGATGGTCACATATACGCAGCTGCTGTGGGAGATGGCAGCGAAACGAAAGGGTGGCAACCGTGGGCGATGGCGCGTTGTCGTGCTCCTCGAAGCCATCAAGGCTCTGTGCCGGCTGCTGCTGTTGCGCATCACGCGCTCGCGGCCTCTTGTGACGCCGGTGCTCCCTGAGCGCGAGCCGGTGCCCGAAGACCCTGAGGAGCAGGCGGCCGCGGCGAACGAGCTCCAGCAGCTCATCGGCGGTGACCCAGTGGAGGATGTGGACGACGGCGTCAAGGCACACGAGAAGGAATGGGCGATGCCCAGGACTGGCATGAACCTGCCGTCACTGCCCCGGCCCGGGGACATCAGTAGCTATCTGCTCGGCAAGGTACTCACCTCGGACGACATCAAGCCCGCGCCTCAGCTGTTGAACCAGATCCAGGGCCAGGCCCAAGCCGCCGAGGTGCTCCACATTTTGGCGCCCCTCATTTACGCTTTGGCGTTGGCGCGGAGTAAAGATAGGGGGTCGTGGACGCCGTGGCTAGTGGGGTTGAGCGTCGAGTACGCCGCACGACAGCTACGGGATCGCGGCTTCCGGACGACGCCACTCGAGCGAGACGAGTGGAACAAGAGGGCATGGGCCATGGGCTGGTGGACGATGAGGGGCGCTTTCTACGAGAAGGTCATGAAGGGCGTGGTGGGCGGTGTCAGGTCTCGGATGCCCAGCATAGTGGGAGGCATCTTGGAAGACTACGAGTACTTGTGGGAAAACTACTACTTCAGCACGAGCGCGTAGCACCGCTCAGCTATGGCCATTAGCCGCGTGCCCGCTGCTGGGCCGTGTGGTCTGGAAATATATAAGCCGCCCGCAGCACACTTCTCACCGGGCTCACTGGTCACATTGGATCGCATGTCGTCGCGCGGTCTGGTACGTGGCGTCCAATCGTTCTTTTTTCTCACCGTGATAGATGATCTCGCCGGATCAGGACCTTGATCGGAAGAGTACGGGAATGGATACGGACACGAGACATGCGGGACTTTGCCCATCTCAGACACGCCAGAAGGAAGAGGAGGGGAGGACAAGCCACAAGTCAGGAGATTGGGCGGTACTCTACGTCGTGTGCAGATGCCCGCCCGCCGGATCACTCGCCACTTTACATGACAAGCATGCGGCGTTACGCTACTGCTGAGCTAGCCAGGCTACCTAACGAAGGCAGAGGAATACCCGAAGAATGGTAGAGCCCTGTTCCATCGCCTGGCTTGTCGAAGGGAAGCGATCATGACCACCAGACCAATCGTCGTACTTCTTCGATCTCCTCCTCTCCGATTTCGAAGAGACACATTGATGCAAGTACTGTCTGTCACTGTCGGACGCACATAATGAGGGACGCAAGCAAGCACACCGCGACACGCGAGGCTGCCTCAGGCCAACATGAGCCAACATGATGCAAGAGATGTTCGAGGCTCTCGACGCAGTTGGCCAACTGGACCGGTGTGCATTTCAAGCGACAGGTGCAAGAATGTGGTCGCGACTTGAGACCAAGTTGCTGGGATAACGTTGGGGCGGCGGAACACGTTGGCGCCGATCCTTCGCTCGGGGAGATGGTTCCGCCCAGGCCGCCCCAGGTGAGACGCCGGGGGTGCGGTTTTCCTTTTTCTTTTTGTCGTCGCCAGTGGCAGAGGCATCCATCCTCGCTTCGCCATGATTAGTCTTGTAGCATCAATTCGCGGGCCCAGAGTGTGTGGGTGCCCTGGTTTGTTTCCCGCCTTGTCCACGACCAGGCTCTAGCCCTCTTCCTCTCTCGCACACCAATATCCCTGTCTATGGTGCTGTGAGTAATATGGAACCGGTGAGAGGGGACGACAGGCCAGGGACTGCTGCTGGGCCTTTTGCTTGAGAGCGTGGCCGGGGGGGGGGGGGAGCGGGTATTGGCAGCCGCGGGATCCGACTTCGATCAGAACACGCCCACGCGTACGCACGCACGCACACACATGTCACGGTTCTTCAGGATCGATCTTGACCGGGAGCTTGGGTTGATGGTCATCGGCAGACGTTTTGCATGCTGCACCGTGAAGGCGTGTTCGAAGACGCCCCCGTAATTTTACGGGCTCGGCACCCTATGCCTGGCACCGTCCCTCCCTCTCTTTATTTCTTTCTCTCTTCTTCTGTTGGCAATGTCGACGTCTTCAGATGGAAATGCATTGTGGACCCATCTGTTGTCGAGCGGAGGGGCCTCCTTTGGGCATTGGCTCGCGGGTAGAGCCGTAGTCAATTGCTCATTGACCAGGTATGTACTTACTATACGGATGGGGCAGTACACAGAACGGGCTTCATAGTCTGTTTCATTAGCTCAGGCGCCTCTCCTGGCTTGTCTTGCTGCTTTTGGCCATGGTCGGAGAGGGGGAGCTGTCATCAGCCAGCCTTGCACGGGCGGAGAAGAGCGCGCACTACACAGTCAAGCAATGCAATGCATAGCAAAGCAAACCAAAGCAAAGGACAGCACAGCAAAGCAAAGCAATGCACAGCTCAGTACAGGTCGAGGTAGAGGAGTAGTTGCTCCGGACAGATGATGGACGTCGAGACAAGACCGACTACTTCACATACATAACCTTCTCTTTCCCCTCTCTGAGACAGGGCTTGCTGACAGGCATGTACCGTACACACGCCGAAGATTATCGGTCACGGACGCGATGAGCGACATGACAATACCATGCGGAACAGACAGGCCGGCCAATCCAGCCTTCGTTGACGCGTGAACGTGCAAGGACCTCTCTCTGTTGGCCTGAGATGAGGAGACGAAAAAGAAAACATCGCCATTGAGCAAGGCTCATCAACAATGAGTCGTCCAGGTTGTCCCCCCAGGCTAGACTACAACGAGAGCGCCATGCAGAGGACCAAGGACGGTCCATAGTCCCACGATTGCGAATGCTCTGCGGCGCTTCATTGGCCCGTCACCCACCAGATCTAAGTCGTCTTGTTGGTCATTATGTCTATCGATCTCTTCTTCGCATCTGCGCATGGGAGGGGTGTGGTCCCCCCTCTCTTCCCGATCCTCCGATGGTCGCCGGGGGTGGTGAGGACTAGGGGATTGGGCTGTTCGTTCATCGACTGGGCCTGGAGAGGGCCCTTCCTGAACAATCTCCACACACACTTTGAGGGGGGGGGGTGCACCAAGTGGGTGAAGCTGGCGCGGGCACGTCAAAAAGACTTGTGAGGCATGGATTTGAATCTCACTCGCCTCAAGTTCGACGCAAGGCAACGTGGAGACACGAGCGTCGGCCGGGTGTGACACGGGGCAGGGAGGGATGAAGGTTGGAGGAGGGCAGCGGAGGCAAGCAAAAGCCCATCATCCATGGCTTAACGCCGCCCCGTCTGACTTTCTGATTGATGCAATACATGGCTCCCATTTCTTTTTGGCCAGGAGATGGGTGGAGGGAAACGACGCATGGATGGGTTGGCGTCGCGATTTTTATGCCGTGACACCATAGCAAAACCTCCCTCTTGTGTGACCCTACCTGACCTATCCCAAGGTACCTTGCCTCAAGGTGCCTTGCTTTACACTGTCTGTGTCGCCGACGGCGGGCTGGGCTCCCATCTCCCCATCATCACTGGTTTGACGCCCGTCCCTTTTCCACCATCCTGTCGTCAAGATATCATATCAGCAAGGATACGCCGCTCGGACAGTTGTTGCGCCTCGCCGTTGAACAGGCATGTCTCTGACTGGTACGCTGCACTGCACTGCACTACGCACATTCACCCGACAGCCGCTTCTCCTCTGCGCCCCCCAAGTATACAGCCTGACCCTGGGCGCAAGCTGGAGCCTGACTTGATCTGAACACCAGCACAGAGGAGACAACGTGAGACCGAGGAAACGAGGAAAGCAAGGAGGTCAAACGCGTTTGCTTGCCTGCTTCCTACTCTGCGCCACAGATCTGCCTGACCGGTCTGGTGCAGACGCTGATAAGGCAACGTCCTTCGTCCACCGCCTCGATCCCTTGGTGGTGCTGGTGGTGCTGCTGTTGCTGCTGTCAGATATTGGTCGTGCCCAGACATCAAGCTGCTGTGTAACGTCAAGGGTGCGCATCAGTTCCCCTTTCAAGACGCCGACCACCAGCTTTCGCGTTCACTGGCAATTCGCTCTCTCAACTCTCACACGGTTTCATCTTTATCACCAGTCTCTCTCACCCTGACGCTCTCACACACACACATCGGTCTTTTCGGGTCCCTACAGATCAGGCCGCGCCCTCTTCGCGCTTCCAAAATGAGCCTCACCGTCACGCCTCAGCCGCAGGCCAACTTTGGAGATCACAGGTTTTCAGGCTTCACGGTGCCGTACAATGCCCACCTCGCACAACAGCAGTCTTGGGGCATGCCACCCCCGCCGCCGTCGCAGATGAGTCGCGGCCACCCGCATGGCCACCCGCATTTCGACGCGCCAGCGCCAGCTCACACGGCGCCCGTCATGACAGAGTACGACCCGTATGCGCAGCAGCGATCACCGCAGTATCAGGAGCATGAGCAGTACCATCTTCACCCGGATCATTTTTACGGCGGCCCCCACACGTCAACGCAGCAGCAACAGCAGCAGCAGCAGGAGCCCTGGGCTGGGCCGGGCCCAGATGGCTCCTACGCCCCGGTCCTGCTGCCCGCCGCCCTCGAGACGCCGCCCGGTGCCCAGTTCTTGACGCCTACGGACCCCGGCTTTGGTGAGGATCTCGAACCGGCGGCGCCACCAGCCCCCACCGACGCCTGTTCGTCGTATGAGACACTGCAACCTCCGCCGCCGCCGCCGCCGCCTCAGCAGCAGCAGCAGCAGCAAGCCGTATTTGACCCAGCTGTCATGTCGATCAACCCCAGCGCCCTCAGTGACCTTGACCCAAATCGAATCCGCCAGGTGCTTGTTGGTATACACGGACACGTCGATACCTTCCTCAGAGGGGTCGAGGAGGAGGCGAACAAGAAGAGGAAAGCGTCCAGCGAGCCGTTGGATGAGACGCAGGACCAGGCCCAGCATGCTTCGGTAGACGCGAGGCAGCAGCCAGAATCTGACGTCGAAGACCAGTTCGACTTTGGTGACAGGCAGTTGAGTGCCCTTGAGGACCGTCTGTCGGACAGGCCTAGAGCCATGCTCAACGCTAAGCTCATGGCGAAACTGAAGGAAAACGCCAGGACGAGGGGCAAGTCCAACGTTATGAGGAAGCCCAAGAACAAGAACAAGGCCGCTCAGGCTACATCTCAAGACGACCTTAGGGATAGTGACAAGAGTAAGGAAGGCAAGGGGCAAGTCGCGGATGCGGGTGACAATGCGGACGAGCCCAGAGGAGATTCAGAGCCCGAATCGGAGGAGGAATCCGAGGTGATCGAGACACCCACAAAAGTCTTCGACTCGATCTCCATTGTCGAAGGCGATGTGCCATCCCACGGCTGGACCACGGATTACTATGGGCTGACGGACGCGCGAAAACGATACGGCACGGGCATCGGATGGGAAACGCAGGAGACCGAGGCTGAGACCCCGGTACAGCATCCCCTGCAGCACACGGCCATGTTCGTCTGCAAGAAATGCTGCCTGCGGTGGAAGGGTGTGTCACTTGAGAACAGGAAGTTGTTCAGAGAGGACAATACCGAAGAGCGAAAACTGCATCGCGTGGTGAGACGCCCCCCCCCCCCCCCGGCGGGTGCCAGTCTCGCCTTGAAAGCCCCCCTTGACTGACTTTGACAGCCCCAAGCTGCCAAAAAAGGAGATCCGGGACATACGCGCCCCGGCTGCAGAGAGGTATGCTTGGTTCCCTCAT